TATAATTAAGTTAAAGTATTTATATTTAGTATAGGTTTAATACTATATAACTAATTAAATAACTAATATATCCTTTAAGGTATATTTTAAAGTTCTTTTTATTAACTTCTTTTTCTTATTTTTAATTAAGAGGATATACTTAGTATTTATATATATACTATTCTTTTATATTAATCTTTTTACTAATTATATACTTAATACCTTATTTACTTTCTTTAAACTATAAATTTATTTTTTATAATAGTAATTTATATCTATATACTTTCTTTAGGCTATTTCTAAGTAGGAAGGTAGTTATTTTTATTACTTTAAACTATAAAGTTATAGATAATTCTAAAGATATTATTAAGATAAGTATTTTCTTAATAACTATCCTTTTAAACCTTTTATTTAACCTATTTAGCTTATAAATATATACTAATATAGCTTTAATCTTAATTCTTAATTTCTTTATTTATTTTTAATACTTTATAAGAGTATCTTTATAGATTATAACCTTTTTATTATTATATTTTATAATAAGGACTTTAAGGTTAAATTGCCTTTTAATCTATATTATAAAATTCTTAATTATAAAAAAAAGAGTCTTAATATTTTTAAAAATAGTTAAAATAGAATAAATTAAACTAGTATATTTATCTTATATTATAAAAAAAAAGCTTATTCTATTATAACTTAAAAGGTATTCTTATAAATCCTATTTAATTCTTTTAAAAGGTTAAGTAGTAAATATATTACTAGTTTCCTTATTAATAATATTTTCTATTAAAATAATACTATATACTTTATAATCTAAATATTATATTTTAATAATTTAGTTATTAGTTAATTCTTAAATTAAAGCCTTAAGTAATTCTTTTCTAAGGTATCCTAATTATAGATACTATAAATAACTATCCCCCTTTCTAAGGAGGGATATTCCTTTTAATATATAATTAAGATTATATTTAAAGGTATTTAAGACTATTTTCTAAAATACTAACTCCTTTAGTTATTAAATTAGTTTATATTTAAAGAATAGAATATTATCCTTTTTATATAGTTAAGCTATATAGTAATTATTTTTAAGTATACTTTCCTTTAAAATATTATTATAGTTATTAATCTAGAGCCTAGTTTTAGCTTTTAGGATACTAGCTAAGATTAAATTTATATAGAAGCTAAGAATATAATAGATATTTATTAAATAAAGATTAATTCCTAGCCTATTAAAGGTAGTTAAGATATATTTTATAATTCTTATTTCTATATTAATAATAATAGATTAATAATCTTTAGCCTTAATTAAGATATTTTATAACTTCTTATAGGAATTTAGCTTAAGAAGGCTTTTATTATTTATAATATAGTATAAGCTATAATTATCTAAAAGTATACTTTTATAGTATAGGTAGTAGTTTCTATAGATAGTAAAGAATATATTCTTTATAGGTTTAAAAGTACTTTTAAATAAAATATATATATTATATTCCTTTTATAGCTACTTTCTTTTACTTATAAATACTTTAAAGGTAGTTTATTTAGGTTTATTTATAATTTTCTTAATTTTCTTAGCTTAGAATTTATTTATAGTTATATTTAGTTTAAAAGAACCTAGGTATACCTTTTAGATAATATAGTATTTCTCTAGCTTTTATAAGTAAGTCTAATCTTTTTTTTAATAAAGATAGTTATATCTTTATTTTTTAGATTTCTTTTTTTATTTATTATCTAATATAAAAGAAGTATTCTTAATTAACTTTTTATACTTTAATTCCTTTATATTTTCTTTAAATATATCTATAGTAGTTTATAAAGTCTAATTTAATATTAAATTATTCTCTAATAAAATACCTATATTAATAAAATCCTTTTTTAAAGATATAGCCTATTTAGGTATTATTTTCTTTTTAATTATATTTAAAAAATTAATAATAGCTATTAATCTTTCTATATTAAGAATTTAATAAAGTAATATTATTTAATATACTTTTTTTTATATTTAGATTTAACTTAGTTTATTTAATATTATTTTTCTAATAGTTATAATTTACTTATATTTTCTTCTTATCTTTTACCTTATTTTTTTAAGATTTAAGGTAATAATAACCTTTAATTCCTTAAGAATATCCTTAAAAGTATATTAATTATAAATAGCTTTTAATTCTATTACCTTTATTTTAATAGTTCTTTAAGCTTTTAAAAAAAGCTTAAAGTTTATAGTAGTATTAACCTAGACCTAGACTAGACTAATATTCTTTTACCTCTTTTTAATTATAGTTACTATTTCTTTTTAAAAATCTATTACCTCTTTATAAGTAATTTTTAGGTTTATATAGTTAATACTTAAGTATTTATCTTTATATTAAAGCTAAATAAACTTATAAGGCTTTAGGTATAAATTATTATTAAAATAAGGCTAATTTAGGTTTATATAATCTTAAACTTACTTTAAAGATATATAGGCTTTAAAGTAGAATTTTTATTTATATTATTATTTTAATTCTTTAAACTTAAAGTTAGAATAGGTTAAAGTAGTTATTATTTTTTAAGTTAATATATTAAAAAAAAGAAAAAAAAAGATTAAGAATATTTTTATATATTTTAAATAAGTTTATAAATAAAATAAAAGTTTTAAATAATAAAAAGTATCTTTTATTATTTACCTTTTAAGCTTATAACTTTTATAAATTATATAAATAGGTTAATATAAATATTAAATAATTAGTTATAATTAAAAGTAATTTTATATAATAAAGTTAAAAAATAATATATATTAGAATTTATAACTATTTTTATTTTATTCTTTTTTAATTAAAAAAGGAAATTCTTTCTTTTTTATACTTATTTTCTAGCCTAGCTAATTAGCCTAATTATACTTCTTTAATATATCTTTTTATTACCTAATTCTATTAGTAATTAAGATTAGTTTCTCTAAACCTAACTCCTTTATCTATATACTACTATCCCTTTCTAGCTTCCTGCTATAAGTGGGTCTCTAGCTAATTGTGTGCACTGTGATCTCCACTTAAATCACAACAGTTCCTTATGAACCTACCTAGATATATCTAGGTACCTAGTTATACATAATACTTCGTTGCCCAAAGCTTGCAATCTGTACCAGGATCTCACCTCTGGATATGTATCATTCAATCAGACATGATACTGCCGCGACAGGTCCCATAATTTGTATGTTTGCATCGGGTGCCATGTCTTGCTTTGCAGACAGTCTCGCGTTGACCCAGGACAATTATTTGTGCAGTCTGCAGGTGGTCTCCCAGTTGGTTTTGTTGTCCGAGTGTTTTAGACACAAATCACCGCGACATGGCACATCAAGGACGATCGTCAAGTTGCCAACACAATAAGTGTATTGAGCCCGCAGAACCAAGCAGTCGCCCCTGACGCTCGGGTTATACTTGAGAAACGGCGCATAATCAGTTTTTGTAGCGGGCCACTATGCGGTGACAAGTATCGCCCTTGTCCATGATGTGGTGAGGCTGATCATTGAAGGGACGAGACTCCCATATAGAGATTGTCCGCACCCTTGGAGTGCAACACAACGTGGCTCCAGATGACCATGTACGGAGTAATTTTGTTCGAATACTCCATGCCCTCGTTGTCCTCCTTCTCTCGCGTATCACGATTGCTGCAAGGGATGGCCGGAAGGGGCAGGAGGTATCTCACGTTCCCTTTGACATGGCCCGCCAAGCAGTCGATGCAGAACCCACCTCTCAGATCATTTCCTGGTCTGCGCAATATCAATTGTCGTATCCTGGGATATATATAGCGTCGTGTCCATAACTACCACGACGGTGAGCCGCCGTGACTCCGTGAGCGGGTGTGACAAGCGGAGCGGCGGGCCGGCACCCACCGAGACGGACGCTCTCGGTCGACCACCTATGTACCTAGTCAGTAATTACTACCTGATGGGCAGCTCGCGGGGGATAAAATCGCAGACAGGGGGGGATTCTTGGCTTGGATATGTGCGCTTGATGGCATGACGCGGCCCATACATTGCCGGTGTGGCGTTGGCTTGGTGCGTGGTAAAGGAGTGACGCGCATCGGACTCGAGGAGCAAAAAGGAATGGCAGAATAACCAGATAAACAATTTGTTCAATATCTCAGTGCCGTGTTTCACAAACATGTGTTTCCCGTTGTTGGAGCAAAAGGGGTTCATTGCGCCACAGTACCAGGAGAGGGTTGGTGAGACTCTTAAGGAGGGGATGCGGCAGTGCAAACTGCCACGGGGAGTCCCTGTACATTTTCACTATCCCCTGTAATATTCGCTGTATTTTTGGAATATTGCTCTATAATTCTAACCTTCCGTCCAGGTAGGTAGGTAGTACAAATTATATACCTACCCAATCCATGTCCTCCTCTTCTTTTCTCTCCATCCACGCCGAACTAATTCGTATACGTTCTTAATATTTTCCACCACTCTTTTTGGATTTTTGAATGTTCAGGTACATTCCCATTCAACCCCTGAAGCTGCCCTGAAGCTGGCCTAACCCCCCCCCGAAACCCCCTTTTAGCCTTTCAACTAGCAGGCCTCGATCGCCTCCCCACTCCAGCCTAACCTGCTGCGGCCTGCCAAACCCCGGCAAGCCGACACGCCACCAGAAAAAACCCCCATCATCGATTCGTTTCTCCCACGCGAGCTTTCTTTTGCCTGCCTCATCCCTCCCTTGGTATCGCCACGTTCCATCTACGGCTCGTTCGACTCATCCCATTTTCTCCCTCTCTTCATTTTCTAGCGATTCGATTCCTTCCGTGTTTTCCCTCGATCTCATTATCGCGTCTTCGTCGAATCCACCACTGAGTACTCATTAACGCAACACGGAGCTCGAAACCATTACATTCCACGAACCGCGCCTTACCCCCACCCCCTTTCTTCAAATCTGGGGAACTTGGCTGCACAAGGGCCAACGACGCGATCGACAGTCTGCGATAGCCGCCATCATCTCGACCCTACGTACGACAATTAACTGCGAGCCCGCTGTTGGCGGCCAAGATTCGACGCGATGCGATTTACTTCCAGCTCGCCCATTCTACTCCTCATCTTGCCTGCACTCATCGGCGCTGTGAAAGACGGTGCCACTATTGACGATACTGCTGCCATTGCTACCAATGACGATGTCACAGCCCCCAAGGGCCGCACCGGCCTGCCCACCAAGGATGCCCCTGTCGACGGTCGCGACGGCAAGCCGCATCAAGGCCCTTTTGTCGAGACGGACGGCAAACCCGCCAAAGGAAGCGCAGACAGCAAGTCATCAGCCGCCGCCGTAGAGAAGATCAAAGGCAGACCTCAGGATCCGACCATTGTCGACGGCAAGAAGATTCCTGAGTCCAACGACGGCATCATGTTTGACAAGAACCGCGAAAAGGCCAAGGAGGGCACTACTGGTACTCAGGGTGGTGTTTCCGAAAAGGACAAGGCCCGCAAGGCAAAAGAAGGCAAGACGGGTGAAAAGCTCGTCACCCAGCCAGAGTCTCCCAAGGAGAAGCTCCCTCTACCACACAGCGAAGAAGCAAAGATGAACGAGGGAAAGGAAAAATCCAAGACTAAGCCATTAGACAAGGAAGCCATCAAGGACGGTGATAACGGCGGCTACGCCGGATTCGACGTAAGCGTCCCTCACCCCCCATGCTCTGCTCCCATGCTAACATGCAACAGAAACCCGACGATCTGGGCGAAAAGACCCGTGAACAACCTCCCGTACCGCAATCCGTCGACAAGGACCATCTCGAAATTCACAACCCCACAACGACAAAATCATCTTCGAAAACGACTCTGGCCGACGGTGACGAGGGCATCATTCAGCCCTTCCACTCCTTTATCCTCTCCCTCACCATGATTCTCGTCTCTGAAGTTGGCGACAAGACCTTTCTCGTCGCGGCCTTGATGGCCATGAAGCACGACAGACTGGTCGTCTTCTCTGCCGCCTTCGGTGCCCTCCTTGTCATGACATTCCTCTCCGCCATCCTCGGACACGCCGTGCCTGCTCTGATCCCGAAACGTATTACTAGCCTGCTCGCTGCTGGACTTTTCCTGGTATTTGGCGCCAAGTTGCTACGCGAGGGCATGAAGATGGACCCCAATGAAGGTGTTGGTGCGGAAATGCACGAGGTCGAGCAAGAGCTCGCTGCCAAGGAAAAGGAATATGGACGCGACCGTCACGGTGCCATGTCCGCGGATGCTCTGGAGATGGGCCTCAACGGTCGTGGTTCGCGATCCAAGAGCCGCCTCGGTTCTCCCCCGCGTTCTCCGTCCCAGTCGCCCTCTCGCCATCCGTCGAGAAAGGCTGGCCCCCTGGCCGGCTTGCTATTCGGCGCCAGCAATTTGTGCAGTCTCCTCATCAGCCCTATCTGGGTACAGACCTTCGTCATGACGTTCCTCGGCGAGTGGGGTGACCGAAGCCAGATTGCCACCATTGCCATGGCCGCTGGTCAGGATTACTGGTGGGTAACCTTGGGCGCTACTGTTGGCCATGGAATCTGCACAGGTGTCGCGGTTATTGGAGGGCGGGCTATTGCTGGCCGTGTCAGCATGAAGGTTGTGACTGTTGGCGGCGCTGTCGCGTTTCTTGCCTTTGGTCTCATCTACTTTGTCGAATCATTCTACGCATAAATTTTCCCTCATCATCAACACCTCTACGGACATCATGGACGACGGCCTCCTATTTTATCTCCTACGACGCCGTATCTATCTGTCGATCGTTTCTTCGTCAAGACTCACTCATTCCACGACCAGGCATCACTTACACATTTTTAAAATACCAACACCCACATTTCTTCTTTTTTCTTTGAAAATTTCATTTTCCTACTCCTGGATGGAGAATTTCTACGCCTATCTTGTAATCAACAGTTGTACGATGCTGGAGGCGGGATGGATGAATCGCAGAAAAACAGGTCGGCCCAGCGTTTTCTTTTTCGTCCAGGGTCTCGACATGACTTGTCGATAAGCTGCATAACGGAACTTGCAGTGGGGAATAGAACAATACCAAAGGGAAGAGCATTTCCGGCAAAAAGCTTTGTCTTGTTGCAATTTACTGGGAGGACATGTACAGCATGAAAAGCGGAGTTTTTGTTTTCAAGAAGACTTGCCCACTCCTTTTGTTTTCTTTTGTTTTTGTTGTCTTCTGTTTCCGTATTCTCGATTGTATTTCTCCGCGGGCTTCCTCTCATTTTGGGAGAGTGGCCAGATGACTGCACGTTTCTTAGCTTGGAACTGGTGGCAATAGATCCGGCCGGCGTGCTACTAATCAACAGACTTGGTATTCACCTCTTGCAAGCCAGTGACTCACACGGACACATACACTCACACTCACTCGCTCACTTAGACAACGGGGGAAGACTTGAGGATGGTTTACATTGCAGGCCTCATCGTCATCAGCCCATGCAACATGTCTCAAGACGAGGCTCCAGCACGTCGGAGCAGCCTTCTCCAGCCTCGTGATGAGCGTGGGCCCGGAGCTGCGGCCAAGAGATCCCCGGTTTCCACGTTGCGCGCGGACCTGGGCGCGCTCTCGCCGGCCCTTTCAACCCTAGCTTCTCGGCTATTTTAGCTTCTTTCAAGTGCATGTGTCATTTACACGCGTCACCGGCGGCAAGTCGCTACGTTGCAGCTCAAGGAGGGCGCTGCCGACGCCCGCAAGTAGAAGACCAGAGGATGCATGCTAACGGTGCTTCCGCAACGTTGGTTTGTTTTGTGTTACCCGAGACGATGACCTAAACTTTACTTGAAAGCTAGTCACCATTTTTGGTTGGAGTGCTTCGGTGTACATGGCTTGGCTTTCCTCGACACTACTCCGAAAGAGACCGCCATCACAGTCAGTGTAACGAGAGACGGTGGCTTTTCCCCCTCGCTTTGCATCCCTGATTCGGTCAAAGTATCATTTTGTTTTTCCTTCTGCAGTGGGAGAAACCGCAAGCGGCAGCTCGTAGTCCCTGGCACACACGCCGCCACGCCAATCGGGAGAGAGCAGGGGAGCACTGGCCGGGGCCTCTTGAACCCAGGAGCCAGGTGCGGCAGGATCAGCCATGCAGACATGTGCATGCAGTGGGTGGTATGCACAAAGGGAGTGAGTCCCATCATGTGTGGCTTTGTAAAGTTTCATGAGGAGCTGCACGGGGAGAAGGCTGCAATGGCAAGGAGGGGTTTTGGCGTGTGGGAGAAATCAGCCACCGGATCACAAAAGATCATCACCGGCGGGCGGAGCTCAGACGATGCAAGCAACGACAGCCGCATCGTCCGACCTGTCATCTAGGGGCGGATTGTCGGCGCCTTGTGTAGTTGAGGCTTGTGGTGCGACGCCCCGACCTGCATCGGTCACGCCGTCCAAGCAAAGTGGTAGGGTTGTCTCGACACGACCACACTCTACTCCGTACTGTGTTGACTATCGAATGGTGTCTCTCGGCCCTGCAGCGGCGGTTCTAAAATTAGAAGGAGCTGTGGTGTGCGGAGGCTGGGCAGTGGTGATGTTGTGGGAGCAGACTTGTGAACTCGGATGGCAAGGTGTCAAAGCTGTACACGATCACATGCGAATACAACAACGAGCCACGCACAAGCCACCGTCTCGATCATCAGCGTGGGTGGGAGGAATCCTGCATCTTGATCCAACAGCGGGATATTCTCTTGTCCCTTTTTGTTCTCAAGGTTGGTTGGCTGGCTGGCTAGCGCTACAGGGAAATCAATCCGCAAATACATCGAAAAAAGGCCCGACCAGGCCAAGGCGAAGAACCATGGTCACTCCACCTTGGGATTTATCAGATGGTTGGTTCGTCAAAGGAAGAAACAACAGCGTTGCAGCGGTTTCGACATAGTTTGGTCTCCACAGACTTGTTGCGGGCGCAGGAAGGGGGGCCAAGGAATAAAGTTGACACTTTGGTGTCGGCTGCCCGTTGAACCGGCCCTGCAAGGCCCGACCCATATTCTGGCTAACTATGAGTTAGTGCTGAGCCGGAAACTGGGCCTTTTGCTGATCGATGGTGGCAGCGAGAGCCGAGAAAGTGGAAGAAGAGACAAGGGGGGGTGTGAGGCTGCAAGGGCCATTTGCTGCAACGACATTATACCCGGTCGCCGGGCGGTCTCGCTTCCGCTTCTCCAATCAAGACGGGTGACAAGAAATTAAACTGGCTGACGAAAATACCCCGTGTCTCAAGAACGGTTGCCGCCCAGCCGAGCAGGGTGTGTTGGGCACGAAGAGCGAAGAGCAGCTTCCCTCTCCGATGCCTTGCCAGTTCAATACAAGCGCAAGTACACAACGCGAGAATGTCTTGCGGCCGCAGGGGCAGAGACAAGACAGCCTAACGATTGTACAACACGACCCTCCATGTACGATGGCAGGTTACCTCGACGATTGCGACCCCCAGTTGTCACCCATGGGTTGGCTCGATCCTCGGCCAGTTCTTGCTGTACAGGAGGCCACTGCCCCCCCGGCCGGTCCTATGATGTCGCTTGGAATCAAGGCAAGCTGGTTTTCTCGGCAGAGAGACCCCCAAGGCGTGTGTGTCGAACCTTTTGTCTCGTGTTCCTTTGGCCATGCGACACGCCTTCGTGAAGCCCGACTACAACTGGCTTCGGAGCCATCATGCAGCACACGACGGCGACGTGATGAGGGGTGGCCGCGCTGCGGGCCCTGCTAAATCGCTCTCGGACTCGATCCAGTTTCTCCCCTACTAGCAGCGCAGCAGCAAACCGTGCATGGACAAGAGCTCGCGTGGCCTGCAGCCAGATTCTGCTCCGTGGCGCGGCTCCGAGCGGGTGGGTTGCTTATCCGAGAGACATTGGTTCCGCCCTTGTTACTAGTAAGATGACCATAGTCCAGGTTCTCTCCTTTCTGTATTGATTTGCAAGATCCTTGTACATGTTTCTCGGTACCATGATACGCCCGGCTGCTGTCGGGGGAGGGCGGGCGGCTGCCTTGCACGCGCGACCCCCCCTCGAAAGGCAGAGAGACGTTAGTTGTCATGTTGCTCGGTTCAATTTTGTGCTACCGCATCAGAGACTTGGCGCGCCAATGTTTCGTTTTTTCCTGTCGTGATTTGCTGATCTTGGACAAGGGGTCGAAGCAGCTCTCTGGTATAAAAGACTCGGGCTTCACCTCATTTCGTTCCAGTATTTGCCTCTCTCCCACGCGCTTCTCTCTACTCTTCACCCCAATTTGCCGCCCTTTCCCTCTTTATTTCAGCAAAAGCCCCAAATCTGAGCAACCCTTTTGAAAAATCATGCCTCTCTACACCTGCCCAGGCTGCAAGAAGCCAATTGCCGAGTCGCAGCCTCTGGATCACTGCCTGCAATGCGAAGCCATGTATGTTGGGTCCCCCGCGCTTCGCAGGTATCGTTTACTTCCAAAGCCTGTCGAGATGCCTAACACAGACCCAGGAACGAGAGGCAGCGAGCGCGAAACCGAACCCGCGCGTCCTCTGCATCGGAGAGCACTGAAGCCGTCGTCGAATGCACCATTGTCACCATCACCCTGCGACGTCGCAGCCAGCAGTACGGCAACGCGGCGCGCGCGTCTGGCTCGCCGCCGTCGTACGAAGACGTCTTTCAGTGGGAGGCCGAGGCGAGTGCCGCCGAAAACAGGCCGCCGCAGCAGCAGGAGACGAGTGGCATGCCTCGACGAGGAGCGGCGACGGCGACGATTCCCATCCACACCAAGAAGGCGTAAAATGTTAGGCCATCTCGCCAAAGCATACCCTTTTTGAGGGTCTTATTGTGAGGGATTGCGTGATATTGGGTGGCATTTTGGCTTCATACTGTATCGTACTTGCGCACGTTTTTCTATATTTAATCTAATGCAACGCCTCACGGCAGGGTCGCACCCTCCACAGCCCGCAACTCGGTCCCTCGGAAAGCATCGCCTCACGGCTTAATTGTGCCAGACATGTTTTACTTCATACGAGATAGAGTAACCATGGTACAGAGACTGTTAGCCTCCCAAAATTGTCTGCTTTCGTACAGTGGCTGCGCAGCACGCCATTGCCCTCCTGCCGGTGTCACACCCCCCCCCATCTGAGCCCATGTCTCTTCTCACGTCGTACGGGGCGCTGTCATTTACGATACTCTACGCCATTGGACGCAGGTAAATATGAGAAGACTTGCATTTCGTTTCATCTAAACAATTCAAGACAAGAAAGAGAATCCCCAGCAGCCGCCTCCCCCTTGGCAGCCGCCACATGGGCGTGCTACGAGAACTGCGCAACAATCGAAGCATGTTTTTTTTTCCCCTCAGCCTGCCCCCCCTCGTTTTACTTCTTCCCCCGCAACGCCGCCCATTCGTGCTCGGTGATGCCAAAGGCAATCTCGTCGTGCCAGGCGCGGTTAAAGTAGATCCTCTCCTTGTAGCGGCCCTCGACGCGGAAGCCGAGCTTCTGGTAGACGCGGACGGCGCGCTGGTTGAAGTCGGCGGCGCTGAGCGAGACGCTGTGCAGGCCGGCGTGGGCAAAGGCCCAGTCGAGCATCCAGTCGATGGCCTCGGCGCCGTAGCCCTGGCCCTGCCAGGCGCGGGCCAGCGTGATGCCCATGCCGGCGGTGCGGTGGTGCGCGGTGCGCGGCGCCAGCCCGCCCCAGCCGAGCGTCATGTTGCCGATGATGACGGGCGGCAGCTCCGGGGAGGCATCGGCGGCGGGCAGCAGCGCAATGGCCACGCCGAGCAGCGCTTGCGAGATGACGGCAATGGCCCCGTCCAGATCGGCGCTGCCGACCGGCTGCAGCACCGCGTTCGAGGCCAGCGCCGTCACTACCGGGTCCTGCTGCAGCCCCGCGAGCGCTTGTCGCACGGCGGGGTCGCCCGGCTCGATCCGGATCATGCGGAGGCGCTTCGTCTGCCAGGCATTGACGACGTCTTCGGTGGTGTAGTCGACGGTGTACGTGGACGAGGTGTCAATGGTGGATTCGGTCGCCATGTTGAAGGGTGTGTTAGTTAGTTGTTTCTTAGATTTGATGGATTGTCGTGCTGGCTATGTATATATTTAAGACACTGCAGGTTCCATCGAGTTTATAAGTCCTTGTGATCCATCGTCATCAAGAGCAAACCAGCACACGCTATAATGAACTAAGGCGTTTGTTCTAATTATTCTTCAGACGGCCAGGCCCAGTTGGGACAGCGGCCTGACTGCAATCGGTCAAGGAAACGCGCATCTAGAACGTGGTCCTCAGCCTCACGGTGGATTCAATCGTGTTGCCCCCATTCTATCAACGTATAGTACGGCGCCTCCAAGCCCTATGCGTTGCGATCAGCATGCCGTGCTGAAACCAAGTGTAACGATGGCTTCACATCATTGCGATGGGGTGTCGATGAAAGAGCATATTGTTCTTGGTGCCGATCTTATTGTTCCTGCTACTTAGTTGATTTTCGCGCGACGCCAAATATGGGGCACCAACGGGCGCGACATAAACTTTATCCTTCATCATCCATTCACCAGTTGTGCATCTAGCCAGCACTCATCTTGTCTGCTTGCTTGCTTGCATTGTCTTGTCCTCCGTTGCACCATGCAAGGCCGTGCTGCCAGCGGCGCTATTTTGCCGCGGGCGCTGCTCGAGGCCCAGCTGGGGCAGATTGACCTCCTCATGGCCATGTACCCTATAGAAGGCAGTGTGGTTGTGGCCGACTCCTCGACACCCGCCCTGAAGTGCTTGCGTGAGGCTTTGGCTGAGGATTCCATGTCAGATGTCCCGTCTAGCCTAGGCGACATTGACTTGGTTTTGGAGTTGGACATTCCGCCACAAGACAACCAAGCTTCCCGTAGGACGGCGCAGCTCAGCATCACCATCCCGTTGCGGCATCCGCAAGACGAAGACACCACAGAAGATGCACCGCCCGCGCGAATACGGCTCCAGCAGCCGTCGTGGATGAGCAAAGCAGAGGCGAGCAACCTCATGGCCGAGCTGCCTGTCGACGACGACCTCTTTGCTTCCATTGAAAACGTGACAGCAGCCGTGTCCTCGCACCTTTCACAAACGCAGATACACGAAGAAAAAGCCAGCGCCGCCTCGGCGGCGGCCCCGGCAACGACAGAAGAGGCCCTGACGCGCGTGTGGTTCTACTTCCCGTCCATCAGCACGCGGTCGAAGCGCGACGACCTGGTGCAGCACGCGCCGTCGTACGGGCTCACGGGCTTCCTGCTGGCGGGCAAGCCGGGCCTGCTGTGCGTCGAGGGCGGCGCGCGGGCCGTCGACGACTACATGCGCTTCATCAAGACGGAGAGCTGGGGCGACATCCCCGCGCACCACAAAAAGGTCAGCGAGCGGTACCGGCAGCCGGGCCTCGAGGCCCGGGCCTTTGCCGGCATGCATGAGATCACGGGCACGCTGGAGCGCCGCGGCGAGAGGGCCAACAGGAACGACATGAGGGCCCTCGAGGCCTGGCTCGCCGAGAGGGGTCTGGGGGATGCCTTGGTCAAGGTGCTCATCTGAGCAAGCCCGGGGTCAGTCATCCATCGCCACACCGTACTGCGGTAGGCCGCTTTCCCCCGCCCCAACGGTCGGCCTAGAAAATCAGCTGTTTTTTTTCTTCCCTGGCCACCAGCGCCCGCAGCCGAGTCATGCATGTCTTGCGCAACAGTGGACGACTAACTAGTAACTTCCGCTGGATATGCCGGTTACGCCATGGCGTATTGTGGCTTGCCAGCGCGCGCGCAAGGGAAATTCGGGTGTCGCTCGTCTGTGTGCCGGAAATGGCTCTTTTCGCTTGACAAAGTGCAGATCGGCATACCAGTACGCCTTTTCGTCAGCACTGCAAGGGTCAGAGAAAAAAAGGCAAATGAGACTGTCGAGTAATAGACTGCAGAAGGATTAAATACTCCGTAGATATGCATGCGGGTGACAAAAGAATGGTCACACAGGCAAAGGGACATGTAATAAAATGGGATAAAAGATAAACAGGTTAAATAAGAATAAATAAGAATAAATAAGAATAAATAAAATAAATAAAAATAAAATGATGGTATATTACCATAGCAGTTTATTTACTTCTCTAATGATACGAATACGAATAGCAAATATCGACTGCTCATCTACGGTTCGATCGAGATAATACGATCAGATTTAGACTGATAAATTCACTGGTCATCAGCCAGTATCAAACACTTGTCAAAGTCGATGGTAAATCTGTCATTATTGTGGGATAGCTCATTAGCTTATCGCTAATGGAGGCTAGCACACACAACTCAACGTCACGATGAGGCAAACCCGGCGTCACAACTCTGATGACAGACGGCGTCCTTGCATTGCGATATATAAGGCACAATCCAGCATAAAGTTGATTGACTTGTATTAACCCCAAAACTATCGGCCATCATGTTTTACGCACAACGCTTGACTACTACTGCAACACGGTCCCGCGCGGTCCAGAGTGCCTTGGTGCGAAGGATATCTTCAGAGCCAGGAGGGCCAAAGCCAGCCGAATCGAGCACCGCGCCAAAACTGTATGACTCGCACCTGTCCTTCCTCCTGGAAACGCCGCTGACAAGATGTGTAGGCCGGGGTGGCAAATAGCCGCCGTCGCCGGTGTCGCAGTCGCCGGCGTGTATGCCATGTTTATCGCGCGGCCAGACGCAGTTGCCAAGTCCTCAGTGCCTACCAATCAAACCAAGAACCCGTCACAGTCTCGAGACGAGACAAGGAAATAAGAAATGTTCATGTAATTTGTACAACATCCGTATTTCGGGGTTGGTGTAAATACACAGAGACGCCCAACGGGATATCTCGTGTACGTCATAATGATGGACTACTATAATTGGAAAGTTGGAAATGCAGAATCACCATCCTCGTTGGGATTGTCTGATTATTTGGCAAAGGTGGAAGGAAGACGAGGAAAAAGTAACGAATCAAACAAATTGCCAACTGCGTGCCTTGGTGGCGGAGCAAAGTCCCCGTCCAGCCCATCAAGATGGCCCTTCTCGACTGTACCTAGTGAAGCCTTCATGTGGCATAAAAAAATGATTGAAAATACTATAAACTGAGCCATTCATGTATACATGCTGCGTAATTGTTTCTTATTGATATGTGCAGATGAAGACGCAATTCTACCGTGTTCGTGTTCATGTCACCGCCGGTGTTCATTGTCGAATGGTCCCCTTCCACAGCCAGGTGAATTCCCATTCAACTACCCGAACAACCTCACCTGGATGATAAACCAGCTCGTGTTTCTTTCCCGTCAGGAGGCCGCTGGCACTTCTACACCGTCATCAGCAACAACTCACGTCCCCGGTCCGTCACGTCCCCGGCGATCCACTTGCTCTTCAGGGTCCTCGCCCACCACCATCGGCGTTCTCGATATTGCCCCCCGGGCTGAGACAGTTGGACCCGAATACTGGTGCCCCTCGTTGATCGGGCTCCATTATGATCAGGCTGCAGGCCAGCTGCCTGTTGTGCCAGCCCAGCCAAGTTGTTACACGGGGCGACAAGCAGGGCCCTTGTCGGCAATCATGCCGGACATGTCTTGCAATCAGACGATTCTGCCCCGCGTCGTTTGTGTGCCCTCGTTCTTGGCCCTTGGCGGCCCGACTGAGCGGTCATGGACGTGTTACACTAAATAAACAACTAGTAGTTTGGTCGCGAGGCCAGGGCTCCCTGGACGTCGTACAAAATAGTTGATGACCACCGTCGTCTGCGGAAAGGCGGCGCCCGCCGCCACACCGTTGAGTTGGCCGTGCTTATCGGCAATCTCCTCGATGGCGAGTTGCTTGGCAATACTTGGAGTGGTGCACACAGCTGACCTCCACACTCTCTGAGACACACGGCGGCCCTTTACTTCCACCAACTCATCAATTCAGAATCCCTGAGAATCAAAACACGAATCTGTACTCTGGCTGTAAGGATCGGAGCTTGCTTCCTTTTCATGTTCATGTCGGACACCGCCTTCCTACGTTGGCCAGTAAACTTCGGCAGGGATCTCTGCGATTGCAACACCCGAAATGGTCCCCTGGCGCCACCCGTGATGATGATGCCCACTACCGAGGTCGAAGCCTGCAAAGTGTTTACTGTACAGAGGCCCTGTCCCGGCTCCTGTGGAAGTCACGGAACTACATACCGAGGTATGTAGCGAATTGGCTCGTGAAGTGATGAGCGTGGAAATAGAGTTGTTGAATGTTTCTCGACCTGGATGATTCCTCGTGCCAACCATCATTGAAAGGTCAATAAAGAACTGCAAGGCAGATGACAGCGATTGATACCCAATACGTCTACATTCAGTATACGCTCAAGTGAGCGAGTATGTGTCCGTTATTCCGCGAGCACATTGTTTATAGATGCTAGGAATCTAGAGCTTGTAGAAGCGCTGAAATTTTCAGGTGTCCCTTCTACAAGTCCCTCTTGGAGCACTGATTTCTACCGTACTTGTGGTCGTCTGCACTTCGTCTCAGCCCATTTATTATATTATTACCCCCCGCGTTCTGGGTCTAGACTTTCTCTGGCCCCGTCAACTCTCGCGAGACAGGTGCAAACTGGCAAGCAAACTCATTGAGCTTTCCAGCGGTGGATACAAGTTGTATATTGCTTGGTACCAGATCGGGTAATACTAAGAGGACGCGGATCTTCTCAGCATCATGGTGACCAATGCTCCTAAGCGTACTTCAACTGAGCCCCAAATCTTTCATCAGAGGCCATGACATGATGCGGAAGCCATCACGATTGAGAATGGAACTTTAGAGAAGCATGGCTGCTGGTCAACTAATGAGCCTCGTTCGCTTGTGTCATGGGGTTGGCAAGGGCGACGCCCCGAAGGATTGGGACGAGCGTTAAACAAGAAGAGGCAGGTGCTTTGTGGCGCGCGCCCAGGCTAACTTAAATTCCCAATGCCACACAGGCAACCAGGATGCATGATACATTAGTAGGTAGCATAAGCAAGACCCCGGAAGTACGGACTTTGTCTCTCGGTTCGGTGGGCATCTCTCGCTGCATTTAGCCCTTGATCGGCATCACCTCAGCTGAGCACTATCTGAGCCACGTCGAGGTATCCCACATGCATAGAGATACACTGCAACGACTGAAAGACACAGGGTCCAGTGCATACGTGTATTCGTATTGATGTCGGTGGCTCACCGAGGGAGCAAGTACGGTCAGGTCTATCATTATGCTGCGACACCAGCGGGCGAGGCTGAGACACCGCGTGAGTTGCAATTTCTTGTACGGATTATGGAAGGAATTGAGGCGGACTCGGTAGTCCGTCGGCAGGGGTGGACAACGTTGAGGACTGGACCGGACCCGCGAGCAGGAGTTTATTAGCAAGTTTTTGTCAGCTATGTAACTAGCGGCACCTGCGATTGATCCCGGAGGAGGCGAAACGCTCGTTTGATAGTTATTGGCTGGCTCTCTGAGCGAGCGCCACTCGTCGTCACAGGCGCCAAAAAACAGCTCAAACTCTTTGGACATGTGTACCAAGCACACGTCGTATGTAGCGAGACAAAGAAGACGGGTTGACGGGTAAAGGCGGTGAGGTCTGCTTTTGCTTTTGAATGAAGGAAAAAGAAATGAAAAAATAAAACGAAATGATGCATTGTCTGAAAGTTGATGGAAAAGCCAACGGCACCAGCCAATGGCGAGGAGAGGAGCACGCTCCGTAGTAGCCGTTATAGCGCAAGAGAAGGATCCAACGGTAACGATGGAATAAGTAAGCTAGTGGGCAAGTCCCCATCTATTCCGCCCGGCCGTGACCGACCGAAGGTCATCTCACAACGGTCGCAACACTATCTTAGTAGTCAACTAACGTGACCACGGCCGTGTTCAAAGCGTACTGGTACTGGTACTGGGATTGGGACTGGGCTCGAAGGCCAGGCCAGGCCGTGCATTGAAAACGGACCCCCGAGACAAGGACGCGACCCTTTCCCCCCCGCAAGCATGCCAAAACGAACGAATGACTGCCCGCCTTGACACCACTCTAGACTCTCGAATAGACTCTAAAAAGGACAGGTCCCTCCCGGACAGGCTCCGGGATCCCTGATTGGCTGGGCCCGTCATGTTCTGCAATCCACCCCAAGACCCGTCACTCTGGATCGGCGGGCATTCTTGCCCGTTTGCCGTGGGCGGGCTAATAAATGCACCATCAGCTGGGCATTGGCAGACGAGGCAGGCCATGGACGGGGGAAGCGGAAAGCAGAGTTGTGCAGTTTCTGCCAATTCTTCAAAACAAAGGGACGCCGCCACCGGTCTCTTCATGCGCCAGCGACTTGGCATCCTGTACACAACAAACAGATGGCACCAATGAAGCCGCCAGATTCTTTATTCCGCATCTCACACCTTTCCGTGATTTTTTTCCCTTTTTTCTCTCCAGTCCTCTGAGCAAGCAAGCCACAGTGCTCATTGCGGATGCAGCTTAGTGACAATAAAGTGCCGTCCGAGCCATGCCTCGCCGCCCGTCACCAGATCGCTGCCAGTTCTGCCGACGGAGAAAGAAAAAGGTATGCCGCGCATGGATGGCATCATCATGAGCCTTTACAAAATTCCCGTACTTCTTCTCCTTATAACCCCTGCTAACTAGGACCGAACCTTGGATCGACCCTGTAGTGCGACGGGCAGAACCCTTGCTACGCATGCAGCAAAGCGAAAATCGAATGTGTTTACGCCATACCGGCACCGCCTTCCACCGATGCGAATGCACAATCTGGAAAGCAAAAGTCGATAAAGCCAAGGGTACCGAAACCAAACAAGTCGACCGATGCGCCGCAACGGAGCGATGGCACGCGCAACGTCTTTGGAGGGATGCTCGAGACGACAGGAAGCAAGGAAAGCGCCTTGGCTACCAAGAATACATCATCGTTATTGCGCCAGGAACCTAATGTCGAGGGGGGATCCCAAGGTGCGAGACCTCTTACATGACTTGTTCAAACACGTCTCAAAAATCATATAGGCTCCGACAATGTGGTGACTAACCCAACGATATCCTCAAAGCAGGCCCCGAGCATCCTACACAAAGCATCGAATCAACAGCATTCCAACGAGCTTTCTCAACCAGTGACGCGGAAGATCTCTCCGACGGCTCATCCTCGCCGCGACCTCGCCCATACGTCTCGCCCCATATAGACTGGCCGCAAGCCCGCGTCCTGCGCGTTCTCGACAACATCCTGCAGTGGGACTGCGTCGCCTTTTGCCTCATCGACCGCGAACGCTTCAAGCGCGATCTACAGACGGGCGCCAGCGCGTACTGCACGCCCGCGCTCGTCGACGCGCTGCTGGCCCTGTCCGTCGTCGTCTTCCGGCACAACGTCATTGACGAGGTCGCTAACCGCGCGACGGAAAAGCCGGCCTGGGACGTTTTCAGCGCCACGCTCGCCAACGAGGCAATTCAGACCCTGCACCGCGGCAAGTGGCTTCCCGAGGCGATCCCGGACATACAGGCACTCGGCGTGCTGACGCTGTACTGTGCGTGCAACGGTTGGAAGGACGAGACGCGCAACTTTGCCATGGACTTTGCCGAGGCGATGCGGAAATATCGCGTACAAAATGCAGGGTCAACGGGCACGCCGATGAGCAGGCGGCGGGTGTCGGCTAGCACATACTGCGGCGCGATATCAATGAATCGGTAGGATCGGAGAGCGCCGTGAGATACGAAGAAACGGGCAAAGTACTAACCATGGATTAGCGTGTTGGTTCAAATATCGAGATATAGACCGGGTGGGCCCATAGACTCGCAAGAAACAACCGCCAAGCACCCCAACTCCATTGGGGGAGGCACTTGCGATAGCCAGAGCTGGACAGACCATTTATTACGACCAACACTCGGTACGTGTCCTCTTAAGTAGACTGCAATCACGAAACTAACCCGAGCTTTTCAGCCAACGAATTCGTTGCGGGCGATTCCGAGCTGCGCGGAGACGACATATACCTGGTTGCAGCAGAGCTCTATCAGTTAATAGAGCAAGTCTTCAAGACTTGCTGCGTGCTGGAGAAGGACAGAACCTTTGCCGAAGCCACGGCTACATATATCAAGGGCCTCGAGTGGTATCAAAGCTTTTTCAAATACTCCGAGGCCTACACGGGCCGCGAGCCCCTGATTCTCTTTGTACAGTAAGTTGCCACTCTTACCACTGGCGCAACAAGCGAAAACAAGAAGAAGGAAAAAAGAAGGAGAAAAGACAAATGCTCACGCGACACCTAGCACATATTACCACTTTTGCATCCTCGCCTTGTTCACGCCCTACATGATGGACCAGACCGTGGTGGGCAACGGCGGGAGCCCGCCGGGCAAGATATGCGAAGAGGCAGCCAACATCATCCTCAAGCTGATGAACCACCACGACTCGTTAGCGGGCGATGCGGAACCTGTCGGGTTTATGCGCTCTTTCAAGAATGCCTCGCTCGAGTTTTTGGAGGTGTATGGACGACTTCAATAGACGAAAGGGAAGGAATAAAAGTACCAATTGTAATGAACCAAAACATGGGGCACTCTGGGGAATTGGAAAATGGGAATGAGTGCCATGGCGCAATTTTTTTTTTTTTTTTTTGCTTGTTAATAGGTTCTATACCACACCCAGCAGGCCCGTGAGGTAGGCCGCACGTGGAGATTCCTTGTTCTCGGCTACGGGCTCAGGAGAATTCCGGTCTGGCGGTATTGGAAGGGATATCAACAGGGCCAAACTATATGGCTTCATTCGTATAGGCAGCGCCGTTTCTGCCGCCTTTCCAGCTATTATTAGTCATTAGAAGAGGTGTTGATTGAGGGTTACAATTGCCTCCATCACCGCCGTCTCCTTCAGCGCTCAAATCCTTCAATCAACACTCTGTTAATGACCAACAGCTGCTGTGCGTGACAAGTTAACGCAGCGCCTCTCTGGAGGGGGTATGCCGTGCCTGTAACTTGACTGAGAGGTGCTTCCAAGATTTGTATTTTTGAGTCGCTGACAACCCTGACAACCCCTTGAAGACGACCCGAATTATGTATTGTTTTGGTATCTTTACTTTTTCTGGTCTTTTCGGGCCCTGCGAGGATCGACGCTGGAGGAAAGCGTCCTGTCTCGGCGCATACCATACGTGGCAGTTGATCCTGGACAAGGGCAAGCTAATCTAGAGACAAGGGGTCCTTCGGTGCAACTTGGGAATTGGAATGCAACGCAAGACGGAAGTAGTTAGTAATGGACTACTGTCGGGTCGTCGCTGGAAAGGGTCGACGATGCACCAAGCCCTCCGTCCGTGTCAGACCACGTCATGTAACGATGCAGCATCTGAGGAGACAGGGATGTTCCTGGAAAGGATCCCCGCGACAAGGACGGGGCAACCGGCCGTACACTATGGGCACGGAAGCTCCAAATTTATTTGGCTCGCGATGGGCTACGCGAACTTGATAGACGGGACATCCTGGTCGATACTAGACAACGTAAGGGCGGCTATTCGATTTATTCATGGGGTTACTTATAGTTTATTAGTGCTATACCCCCCCCGCTGGCGACCGAGGATGCAGGCAGCCTCGTTAGTTGCCGCTTCAGACGGAGATAAGGCGGACCAGGTTCTTGGGCCGACAATAAATCAAGTAAGAAGCGGATCAATATACCCGCCTGCGGGGTATATCCTTAGGTATTTCGCGATTATGACATCTGTACTACCACCATCCGTCATATATGCTCTACAAATGACAAGCAGCAGCGCCTCTATTTCTACCATGTGTCGCTGTTGGTTCTAAATCATGCAAAACTGCTTCATTTCAGCCGTTGTATACCGTACGCCAAACAGCCCTTGAGGAGAGTGACTGTGTGATTGCAAGTTTTGTTTGGGGTCAGTCCTCATCATCAACACGGCACCCCGGCAACGTCGCTCAGTGCATAGACCAAGTGGGTGAAAAGGCAGTCAACAGAGGTGTAATCATTGCAACCAGTCCAATTAATATTCGGGGAAATCTTATGTAACATGTTGGCGGACATGCAGCAATGCTAAAATGAGCAGCGACAAGTGCCGCTGCGACCAGACCAATACAAAAACGCCAAAAGGCCAAATGGAGTAAATATGCGCTGACGAAAAACTTCATGCTCATGTCCCTGCAAAACATATACAGGCAAGGGACAATCTCTAACCCAACATTATTAATGTGTGCTGCCGTCTTTATAAATCGGCCTTGTCATTTGTTGCTTTCTCGGCATTCGCTGCAGGCTCGATCTCAATGGGGGCCTCGGATGCCTCCTCATTCTCAGCCTGCTTCCCCGTCTTCTCCGAGAGTTGAGCCGCCTCCATCTTTTCCTCGTCGAGTTGTTCGTCGTTGTGCTTCGTGGGCGTCGTCTCAGACGTTGTAATTTCCGAATTATCCCTCACATCTTCTGAGGACTCGCGCGTCGGAGTCATCGGTCTTCGACTGGGCGTGCTCGTGCCCGGTGAGTCGGCAGCCAAAAGAGCAGCAATGCTTGTCGACGACATGCGTTGCGAGTTGCTCCTAGAATGAGTACCTCTTTGGGTTTCAGGTCGGCTCATCATTTCAGACTGCATCTGCGCAAATTCCTTGGAGCTCCACGAGGCTCGATGAACACGAGCCGCGCGGGGGATGCTGCTAGTAGAGTAGCGCGAGCTCGCGCTGTTTGCGCGACTTCGCTGACCACCACCAACAGCCTGTCCCGTGAATCCGGGCTGCGGGCCCGACATTTCTCCTAGCTCATCCTCATCCTCAATCTTGGGAGCTCGCCGAACAGTGCGTACGTTGAAGCCAGGCTCCGTAGGCTCTGGTTCCGTCTCCTCTGGCTTGGGCGGTGCAGGTAGGTCATCGGTGCGCTTCTGCATATGTTCAAAGTACTTGACACGCATATCGACAAACGGTTCTGTGAATTCTTCCTTGTTGCGCGACAGCGACATCCAGGACGACATGATGCCCAGTGCAGCAAGTATTAGAACAACGACTGCAAGGAAAGCCTGCACCACAACAATAATGAGACCAATCGCGGTGGCGCCAATTCGGTTCAAGTTGTATTCGGCAATAAAGGCAATGGACAGGCCAGTTGTGATGACTTTTGCAATCGACATCATCCAAACAGCGACTACCGAGTTGCGAGAGCCCTCAAATGCCGCTAATTTGATGATGACGACCGAGGCAATAATCTCAAATAGAAAAAGTCCAAAAACTTGGGCCAATGGCGTGCGAGCACCTCCGCCCAGGAAGCATGCACGAACAAACTGATATCCGAGATAGACGGCAAAATACCACCAGCGAGTGCGACGATAGCGACCAGAGAGCCAGCCGAATCGCTTGATGAAACCCGCGTCTTGGTGAACAGTCGGGCGATTCGGGTCGTCGTCGGTATAGACGATCCTGGTGATGGGCACAGAGGCGTATAAGCGGTGTTGCTCGGCCGTCTCTTGTTCGGCGCGCTCACTATTTCGAACGGCAGACACGAACGGGACCTTCTTAAAGAGCTTCGCGCTTTCGAATCGAATAGCATCGGGTGCGGTAGAGTACTTGCCATGTCGAAGCCGAAAGTAGCAGGCATAGGCAGCTGAGCCTCCAATTCCAATCAAGAAAAGTAAAAAGACAATGGCAGCAATAGCGGTTGGTCCGTCCGGGCCACGGAGAGAGAATTGATACATGGCAAGAGTAGTCATAACAAAGAAGCCAATGAAGCAAGTGCGCAGTAGGGCAGATGCGAGATATCCGCCAAGGTGGCTGCGGAAGTAGTTGAAGCCATCGGTTTTTAGCACCTTGAATCTGATCAATATGTCCAGTGTGAACTTGAACAGCACCATCAGCACCATGACGAGGCCAAGCATGGCCATGAACCAGATCAGGGCCAAGGTGAAGGCCTCTGCCGGTGGGATATTGAGCTCGGAAAGTGTTCCAGGAAGACCGGGCCAGGTACCTGGCATGGGCATCCCAGGTGTATTGGGCTCGCCACCCCAGGCGTAGCTATCTAGGTCGCTAATTGGTGAAGGCTTCTCTCCTGTCTGAGCGTCTGCGCGTCCATAGATCTGCTGTGTCAAGCCTCCGTTATTGTTGATGGGTACGGATCCGGCACCTCCAACTTGGGTCACGCTGACGACGTTGCCTGTAAAAGAACTGATGGAACGAACGAGGCCATGCGTGGCAAACATGCCCGAGGGCCAGGCAAAGTTACTCCACCAGGCCGGTAGCACGCTGGGCCAATTGACAGAGAGTGCACCAGAGAAGAATATGTATTGAAAGGTCTCGAAGACGATGAGGACAGAAAACGAGTGGGCGTAGTGCATGCGCATATGCGGAATGCTGATGCCATAGACGGCGGTGACGAAGGAGGAGAGCATAGCGGCAATGACAAAGATACCCAAGGTAGTTCCGATTGCGTCGGGCTGCGATAACGTCTTTCCGTTTGATATGACGGCCTGGAAACAGCCAATCTCGGTCTGTGTCGAGTTGGCAAAGATTTGGATACGCGCAAACCCCTCAAAATCGGGAATGTTCATGATGACTTGGGGCAGGCCAGCGACCTCATCTGCCGAGAGCGGAACAACGGCAAAGGCGCTGATGCGATTATCTGAGGTGAGGGGACATAATGTGTCCATGTGCGCTTTGCAAGGATCGTACGTCATGTTGAATCGCGTCTCGCCGTAGGCTTGAATTGACAGATGGAGGGCGAGCGACTCCTTTCGAATATTACTAGCTCCATCGAGATGGAAGAAGATGGTCTGGCCATTCTTGCCGCTATAATAGGCGACATCAAAGATGGAAAAGTTGAATAAACTGCCGCCGCGGAGGCAATCTGCGAAGCCGCCCGAGTAGAGGGAGGGTTGGGGGGCAATGTCGAGTTTCTGGATGGCGCCATTGAAGTCGTAGCCCTGGATGACCTTGGATTCGTCGGCAGCGGCGGCTGGCATGAGGGCGAAAAGAGAAGCGAGCAGGAGAATTCGGCTGGTCAAGAACCGCCCTGGTCTGGTTTCGACGAGCATCTCTGCTGCGATCGGCGAGCCGCACGCTCGGGTGCGGGTATTATTGGAGGCTCTCGTACTGGAATGGCGATCGATCCGGAGGCGATGGGCGTTGTCGAATACGGCAGAGGAGCGTTAGAAGTGGTGTTAATGCGAGCAGCTTATGGCATGGAAGATTGACGCGGCGACACTTCAGCAGATGGGCTTGCTTGTCAAGAGATGAAAACGCTGCTGGTGTTTCATCAGGTTCGTATTGGGATGGTGCAAGCCAAGAGGTGCCCAAGCCCACTAATTAAGTGCACGGGGTGCAGGCAGCGCAACGAGCAAGGCAGGGTTGGCCGCTGGTATTTTCTGGGATGGTTGATGATGATTCCGGGGGAGGAAAGCAGCGAGGCAGACGTTACAAGACGTTGCTTTGATGCAGAGTTCAAGCCAAGGCCGGAGTTGTAATGGCAAAAATGTTTGGATGATGCGAGATGTCAAACAAAGTTGAAGCGAGAATGGGCCAAGGTCATGCTCAGGCGGCGCTAGTCTCTATCGAGGTAGGTACCAATGCGCCCTGCTACCTTGGCAACAGAGGATTATTTCCTGGCAGTACAGATTACCTAGTTTGTGTTGGCTCCTTTCCCAGAAAACAGGTAGAATGTTGATTCGGAATGAAGGCGAAAAGGACTTCAAAGTCACAGGGAGTACACAGCGATAAGGTGAGGCACCACCTAGGTACCTAACCTCCTAGGTAGTTACCATACCTAGCTGAGCTTCAGTGGACACGGGCGGGAGGGCTGTTTAGCGGGGCCTTGTCCGCTAGATTTCCTCAAATGCTATTTAATTTGCCTGTGGAGGCTCACTAATAATAACGATAACGATCCAAGAAACACAGAATATCATCGATGAACCCGAGCAACAGGATCATTCTTTTTTTCCGGCTGTAGTTTTCTGTCTTTTGCTCTCCTTGATGCTCGGCCAGCTTCAGACGAAGGTGCCATTTAGCAGGTGGGATAAAACACAACGATGATTGGCTATAGATGTCAAGGTCGTGAAGTGCGGGCAAAGATAAGCTCTCTTTATCTATGTACATACACACCAGCCGACATTTATGAGCCCTTCAAGGAGCCAAAAATTGAAGGCACTTGAACAATGTACACCGCTTTGAATGAGTAAAAGGCAAGCCAATGACAGCCCGGTACAGTCATTTCTGCCTAGTGCCTGGCCGTTGGTCGGTTGGTTAGTTCAACGACTGATCGGATACAGGGTAGCGAACGGGTGGGTGTCTGGTAGCCTCCGATCAGGAACATCATGCCTGATGATTTCATGTTCAACGAACAGTAATCAGCCTTGGTTAATTATATATTCCTGATATATCCTTAGAATATTCTGGATAAGAAGACAGGGAACTGCAGATTTGGGAGGCTATAATTTGGTAGCGTACGGTGCGGACATGTAATTGGCGACTCCAGTTCGACGCCGGCCGTCCGCAAGGTATCCGCACGGCCCGACGGCCGGCCAAGGTTATACATTGGACGTACTTGGTTAACAGGGTGATAAAGAAGGACACAAAAGAGGGCGGGGAAAGGCTTTAGCATGGGTCAATCGCCGGTCGGTCTCCAAGGGTAGCGTTGAACCGCATCTGTAAAAGACCAAAGGCGGGGACCTCATTGAGAGAAATAAAACACTCAGCGAGGCAGAAATGGTGCACACGATGAGGCGAGAATAAGGCGTTGGGGGCTGGAATATATTTTAGTCGGATTGGGGTGAGCAAGGCTGGGCAAGAATGTCGACAGCGGCAGCCAAGCAACGCCCCTGCAAAATAAGAGCAGCAATGGACGTGATTGCGCTGTCTGAGTTTGCAATGGCGGTTTGTCTAGAAGCTGGTCATGTTTGTCTGCCATAATTGAAGGCTGAGATGGAGTCGGGCGGTATTGCACCATCGGTACGCGCGGTGACCTCACTAGATGCCGTCCACGGCTTTCCCCGATTGGGCCACCCCTCTGACGTTATGGCGAGGCTTTCTGGCAAAAGTCTGACCGATGGTCCGAAAGTACCGGTACTTGGAGGGTCGCTGAACGGGGCAGATTGAATCCGTAGCTCAACTTGCTTTCCTGTCATGGTCTTGGCTATTGTGGTTTTGGATATATCTTCTCCAAGGGTGATGACCTGTCTGGTTATACAAACAAAATGAATCAAGAAATCAATACTTGCAACCCAAGTCTGGTACATGATCATGGCCCGTCTCACAAGGTGGGACGTAGTGAACAAACAACACAACCACAGTTTGCCAGGTCATGTATTCCCCTTGGCTACCTACATATGTAACTACCTAAGTAGCGATTCCCCATCTTTCAGATCCTGATCTGAGCAGTTTTTATTGCTATTCTGCACCCGAAATGGCGCACTGTCGTCGCTGAGACAAGTCCGACGTGGGGGTGTGACTGGAAGTACCTGTACATGATCACAGTATCGTCAGGTACAGCAAGCCTGTGACACGCATCCAAGTGGTGGCTGCAGCAAGAGAGCTAGGATTGTGTACAATAACTACTTCGGGGTTCGAAGGGAAGGTGCGACTGTCAGTATTAATACCACGCTCTTTCCTCGTCATCTGCTTCCGCTTCCCTTCTCGTGACAATCATCACGACCCGCTCTACTTGATTCTTGTCCTTTTTTAATAAACTATACTAAACCATCAACACTTACTTAACACTTCTGCCTCTTCCTTGTCCGCCCTCCGACCTGACTAGCAAGTTCCTCGACGGTCCGGAGCCCCACGATTGCGTGATTGCCAACTGCGGACTCTTAAGCCGCACTAACGATTGCATCTCCGGACCGCGCTGCTATTTTTTTCGCCGCTGATAGTTTCGGGACCTCGCCAAAGCCTATTTAATTTTTTTCCACCTCGTCGTTCTCCTGCCTCAACCCTCTCTCTTCTCTTCACCCGCTTCTCTGTGTCGCATCTTCTCCTCGAGTCGGTCGAATCTTTGTGGCAGTCTCAACTCGACCAAATCCTCTCCTCCGTCCCCTCCACTGCCTCCATAATTACATCACCATGGCCAATACTCCCCACGGCGGCGTCCTCAAGGACCTCTTCGCCCGCGATCTCCCGCGCCAGACTGAGCTTCTCGCCGAGTCCGAGACTCTACCCGCTCTTGTCCTCACTGAGCGCCACCTTTGCGACCTCGAACTTATTCTCAATGGCGGTTTCTCTCCCCTCGAGGGTAGGCCAAGCCGCGCCGCGCTGTCCAGTACCCCGCTGACATCATTTCACAGGCTTCATGACCGAGCAGGACTACAACGGGTGAGACTCTTCTTCAGCCCACGCCAGGTTGTTTTCTATTGCTAACCTTGCCGTTTACAGCGTCGTCAAGGACAACCGCCTTGCTAGCGGCCTGCTCTTCAGCATGCCCATCACCCTCGATGTCGACCAAAAGCAGATTGACCAGCTTGGCCTCAAGGCTGGTGCGCGCATTACCCTGCGCGACTCTCGCGACGATCGCAACCTCGCCATTCTCACTATCGAGGACATCTACCGCCCTGACAAGTATGTTCCCTTTCTATGTTGCCACAATTAGGTTCTGCGGCTGACAATTGCAGGGTCAACGAGGCCAAGAACGTCTTTGGCAGCGACGACGACACCCATCCTGGGATCAAGCACCTCTTCAGCACCGCCAAGGAATTCTACGTCGGTGGCAAGCTCGAGGCCATCAACCGTCTCGAGCACTACGACTTCCTCGATCTGCGCTGTATGTCACGGTTTTCTCTCTCTACTTCTGTACCTAAGCTAACTAAATAGTCACTCCCGCCGAGCTCCGCTCCCACTTCAGCAAGCTCGGATGGCAAAAGGTCGTTGCTTTCCAGACTCGTAACCCCATGCACCGTGCTCACCGCGAGTTGACGGTCCGCGCCGCCCGCTCCCAGCAGGCCAACGTCCTCATCCACCCCGTTGTCGGTATGACCAAGCCCGGTGACATTGATCACTTCACGCGTGTTCGTGTCTACAAGGCCCTCATTGCCAGATACCCCAACGGCATGGCTGCTCTCGCTCTTCTCCCCCTTGCCATGCGCATGGGTGGTCCTCGCGAGGCTCTCTGGCACGCCATCATTCGCAAAAACCATGGCTCTACCCATTTCATCGTCGGTCGCGACCACGCCGGGCCTGGCAAGAACAAGAACGGCAAGGACCACTACGGTCCTTATGATGCCCAAACCCTGGTTCAGCAGTACCAGGAGGAGCTCGGCATCAAGATGGTCGAGTTCCAGGAGATGATTTACCTCCCCGACCGTGACGAGTACCAACCCGCCAACGAGATTCCCGAAGGTACTCGCACCATGAATATCTCGGGTACCGAGCTTCGCAACCGCCTCCGCACTGGCAAGGAGATTCCCGAGTGGTTTTCCTACCCCGAGGTTGTTAAGGCCCTTCGCGAGCAGAACCCTCTTCCCCGTGAAAAGGGCTTCACAGTCTTCATGACTGGATTCCAGAATTCTGGCAAGGACCAGATTGCCCGCGCTCTCCAGACTACCCTCAACCAGGGGGGTGGCCGCCCCGTCTCCATGCTTCTCGGCGAGACTGTTCGGTCCGAACTCTCTCCTGAGCTAGGCTTTAGCCGTGCTGACCGCGATCTTAACATTTCTCGCATCGCCTACGTCGCCTCTGAGCTGACCAGAGCCGGCGCCGCCGTCATTGCCGCCCCCATTGCTCCGTTTGAGCAAGCCCGTAAGCAGGCCCGCGAACTCATTGAGAAGTCTGGTCCCTTCTTCCTCATCCATGTCGCCACCCCTATTGAGTACTGCGAGAAGTCTGATCGCCGCGGTATCTACAAGGCTGCTCGTGCTGGCCAGATCAAGGGTTTCACTGGTGTGGATGACCCCTACGAGGCCCCCACCCAGGCGGACCTTGTTGTTGATGTCGAGAAGCAAAATGTTCGCTCCATTGTTCACGAGATTATTCTTTTGCTCGAGAGCAACGGTCTTCTCGACCGCTTCTAAACAAAAGCATCGCGGGTTTGACATTTGCATCTTTTTTCTTTGGATAGGAGGCGGGACCATATATAGAAGATCTTGGAGATCTGGCGTTTGAATGACTATATACATTTTCTTTATATAACCATGTGATGGATGTTATGACTGGGCACCTTGGAAAGCTTGATGACATTCACCTAGAAGGACGATTGAACTGTTTCTGCGAAAATAGACTGCTTACAAATCAACTGATACCGCGTCGGAGATGGATTTGAGTAATGCATCCCTGGCTAGCAACTATTAATACCATGTTTCAGATGCAATGCAGCTTGCCTCGCCTGAGCTACTGGTATTATACCTTTCAGCCCTCGTCGTGTAACTAACCAGATAGCCTATGTAGATCTATCGACCCCACCAATTTGGCTTGCCAGGTTGCCAGGAACCCCTGGCGCCACGTATGCACGGGTTGAGGAAACTAGGCACGAAAACTAGTTAAGAGACTTGCCCATTATGCATGTCTCAAGGTGTAAGGTGTGTAGGTATGTTACCCGAAACATCGCACGAGCGCCTGTGGTTCTACGCTGTACAATGGCGCGGCTAGCTGGCAAGGCGCAGCAGATGGCGAGGGACTGCAAATTGATCGAGGGAGAGGGAAAAAACAGGAACCGAATCAAAGATGACAACAGAAAAATAAAGGTTAAAAATGTCGTAAAAAAAGACGTGTTGGCTAGTATCAACCTGACATATCTTCAATTATTAGGAGGTGCCCCATGAACCCAAGTAAATTTAAGGTACGTACTTCCCCCGCTCTACGCCTACGACCAGTTTTTCTCCTCTACATCGTTCCATCCTCTTCATCAGAGCTATACCTTTCACTCGTATGTCTCATCGTACTTTGTCTCCCTTCGACCTGTTTTGTGAACCATCAAGAATAAAATGCCGCCAAACCTCACATTGCATTTCGCGACAGGACCGTCGAATACCACGCTCGCGACTGCCTACGCATTGATACTACTGCAACCACTGCGGAAGGGGGCATTCCTGCTCCCTCTGGCGGCTCTCTGGGCTACCATACCTTCGCACAGAGTCCTCCCGACTTTTTTGATCCAGGCGCGTGTCGAAGGGTCAGCAACGTTGAGGTACTGGACAAGCTCGGTCGGCGCGTTGCGGCCGTGGAACCGCAGGAGAGGGTCAGCGCCACGGCTCATCATGAGGCGCAGCAGGTCGCGGCGGTGCTCGACGACGGGCTCCTGGTAAGGTGATCGATGCCACCACATGGTGTCTGGGGTCGGGTGCTGGTAGACGGTGCACAACATGTGCAGCGCCGAGCTGCCAAGCGGCGAGGCCGACGCGTTGATGTCGGCACCGCGCGCCAGCAGGTGGTCGACGGCCGCGACCAGTAGCCGCTCTACGGCTGCCATCTCCTTGGTGCCCGAGTCAACAAGCAGGTGCAGAAGTAGCGCACTCGGGTCCACGCCGGGCTGTGCGAGGAACAGGTCTACGAGCCGACGCCAACCGCACCACGCCGCTGCGAAGAAGGGGTCTCGGTTGCGCACCCCCCGGCAGTACCGTCGCATGATGCGACCCATCGCCCCGTCCATACATCCAGCCTCGACCAGAATCGTCACAATGGCGAAGAAGTGGTCATTGTTGAGCGCCTCTAGCTGCCAGCGGTCGATGAGCAACTCCAGGCATGACGGCGTCGTCGCTTGAATCAGTGTGCCGGGCACGTCGTCGGGCGCCGCTGGTGTCCGGGCACCCCGCTCTACCAGGAAAGCGAGGTTTTGAAGCGTGGCTTGTTTCTGTGCCGCGGTGCCCGTCATGGACGGAATTGCGTCTAGGAATTCGAGGAGGGGCGTGCTAAACTGCTGCCGCGGCCGCCAGTCCCAGTTGAAGCCGCGATCCCAAACCCGTGGCTCCGTCCGATTGAGGCAACAGCCGTGGGAAAGACAGTCTTCCAGTATCGAGGTATCGTGGACTTGCGATTGGGCGAGACGCCGGACCGCTGCGAAGAGCGGGTGTCTGGTCGGCCGCGTGGCGGGACGAAAGTGTAGCGTCGATGGCTCGTAGGCGGCGCCATGATGCACCAGGAGTTGGTTCATGCTGGCATCGCTCGTTAATATGGAAGCTGACAGAGGCGCGATGCTTCCAAAGCGACGGTGCTCATGCGCGGCGTTGACGTCGGCGCCAGCTTGAAGGAAAAGCCGCACCAACGCTTCGGATGCTCCAGCCACTATGGCGCGCGACAACGGCCACGCAGTGTCTCGGTCCGTATACGCCTCGATACAAGAAAGGAATCCGCACTCAGCGAGCGCCTGTAGCGTGCCAAGGCGGCCAGGGCTTACCAGTCGCTTCATGAGCGCACGTAGTTGAGTTTGGAGCGCAGCCGGCGCCACGCCTTCGAAGCTGACGCCGCATGCGCGCAGATGCTCGAATATGCGTAAAGACTGGCGGCGCACGGATAGGGCGAGGGTTGACAGCCGTTTGGGGCTGCGCACACGCGGGCGGCCGGTCTCGCCCGTCTTGTTGACGCCGGGCTCCGGCTTCTTGGTCTTGAAGACGGTCACGACGCTGAGCGGTGCGCCAGCTTGTACACAGCACTGGAATAGAGCTACGTCATCGTGGCGGAGCGCCCACAACATGGCACGTTGATTGCGTGTGAAGGGCTCGAGGAGAAACGGTACACCGTAGATGTGTAAGCGACTGCATGTTGAGTAGAGCCTGGCTTCGTCGCCAATGTCGAGGTAGGAAACGATGTTCTGAAAGACTTCGAGTGGTAGTGTCTCGATGATACCGAAGCACATTGTTTCACACAGGGGTTCGGCCATGAAACCAGCAAGAATCAACAATGGACGCAGAGAGATGGAGTAATCCTGGCGAAGCACAACTGTCAATTTTGTCAGGGCAGAAGAAGGAGTAGCGAGAAAGCATTCTCGTAGGCGCATGTGAGCCTTAAATACGACATGCCCTGGAATGAGTACGACACCCCAGAAACGCAGGAAAATTTCAAGACAAGATCAATTCCTCGCCAGAACATCGGTCAAGGCCCCTTCCAATCGGAAGTTTGAGGAGGGATATGTCATCATCCCAAACATGCAGATGTAAGGAGACACGCCACTGTGAATCGTGACGGGCATTTGCATCTAGCATGTCTCAGAGCATGAGATGGTATTCGCCTGTGCCTGTTTTCTCCTTGGCTGCAAAAGGGTCTCGCCGATGCCATGCAGTCGCGTGCTGCATGGCCACGCCAGCAGCGGCGGCTTCTATTCGATAGTCATGTCGCCCGAGCAAACCTTGATTCTTTTTATTTCTGTTTACTTTTGCGCCATGTCTCACGTCGACGTCCATTTCTTCTCTCAAGATTTCTGGAAAGAGAAGTTGCGAGACATTGTCCTTTTTTTCCCTTGGTATTACGACGGGAAGGATCTGCTCATTCTTCCAGGGCGAAAACCGAACTATGGGGTCTGCCCTTTCGAACAATTCGATGAAGCCGTTGCCTTATATGAGGACACCAGGCCAATAGACCGGCGAACCGAGTTGCGCAGCGTTTGGGGGAGATATGCAATTCCCTTGCACCATGCGCAAAGTGACGATGCTGCATATTCGGCGCCCTACATTCGGAGGACCGCCTCACCGCAATTCTAGGTTCGTTCCGTAGATCGGCAGGCAAACTTCTCCGGGCGCGGGGCGGCGACCACAAGAAGGTGTCCGCCCCAGAATCCGCGGTCAGGCTGAGAAGCTTTGCCCTCATGCGAGACGGGTAGTCGACTGCATGTTGTCAACGCATCGGCATTGGCGGCGTCCAGAAAAGGGGCCGCGTCGGCAGGCCTGGTGCCATTTGTGACGCCCGAGTCCTCGTCCTCGTCCTCGTCCTCGTCCTCGTCCTCGTCGTTGGTGGTGGTGGCGGTGGTGTTGTCAACATGCGGGCGCTTAACTGCCCGAATGTTCCAATCATGGCGAGAAAGTCGGGATGAACGGGATGCGGGGACTGCAACGCGATCCTCTGGGAGCCAGATGGACCAGGGCAGGGGGGGCAGCGCCGAACCCTTGATCACACCATATGCACGTCACCCTGTCAAGACAAGGTGGGCTGGTCGCCCCCCTGGTCTGGATGTGAACAAGGGTCACTAACTAGTTAGACAGGAGAGCACGAGGCGGCTACGGAGTACGGATACGGACCAAAGTTCATTTATTCGTATACTTTGTATGCGTTTGGAAGAAGCCGGCCCCTTGTGCATCGCATGTCCGGTTGCGACTCTGGTCTGCGCCGCAATGCTACCTCGACCCAAGCCTCACTCTGCAGGCTTGATAGCCCTTGCCAACACCTGTATTTGTGACTCAGAGATGATGCAAGGCGCGTTGTTTGGGTAGCAGGATCGTGCCGCTTCTGCAATACCCAGCTTTTCTCTTGGTCTCTCAGTCCCCATGGTCATAGGGCCACTTGCAGCCGGTGTAGTGTATGTGCATTTTTCTGTCCATCTTTGCCAGCAGCATGGCGACGGCCGTTTGGGCCGTACGAAGTAGTTATGTATCCATACCCATCACCATAACTCACGACGGAGGACTCTGACTAGGCTATTTCCGTGGATGATCAGCGTCAGTACCCCCACACCCTCACACATCCGGAACCCGATGCATGGCGAAATTTAGTCATTCATATGAACCGATATTATTATTAATTTCTTACTATGCTTTTGCTCCGACCTTTGTGTGTGATTCACCCCCTTGCGTACTCCAGACTACCCCCGCGAATCTAGACTACGGCAGTGCTGCCCGTGCTCCTCGACATCGGGCGCTTCTCCCCCGTCGTCGGCCGCGACGCGGGCGAGCGAATGCGTGCCATTTCCAAATCGTCAGCGTCCTGGCCCGGGTTGGCGTTGCCGTAATCCACCCACTTGAGGAAGCTGTAGAGCAGAAAGGCGATGACGGCGCCCATGACGGGGCCGAGCCAGTAGATCCAGTGGTAGCCGACAAAGCTGGTGACGACGGCGGGTCCAAAGGAGCGCGCCGGGTTGATGCCGGTGCCGGTAAAGTTGGTGCCGCAAATGTGGGCGATGAAGACGGCCAGGCCGATGCCGATGGGGGCCAAAAAGGTGGCCCGGTGCTTCTCGACGGCGAGGAAGTAGACGGTCAGCACGAGCTGCGCGGTGAGGAACATTTCGATGAAGAGGCCCCGCACGATGCTCGTGCCGTCGCCGAGCGTGTTGGCGACGCCGAGGGGACCGGGGAGGATGCCGTCGGCCACGGCGGCGGCGGCGATGCCGGCGACGATTTGGGTCGCGACAACGAGGACGCCGCGGAGGGGCGAGACGGCACCGACGAGAACCAGACCGAGCGTCACCTGTCAATGCTTGTCAGCTCTTCTGTACTTTTGTCCTTGTAGTTGTATATCCAAGACGAGATACGTACGGCAGGGTTAAACATGCCGCCGGTAACGCGGTAAAAGATCCACACGTTGACTGTGAGGGCAGTGCCAAACGAGGCGGCAATGTACATGAGGCTGGCGGGGGCCAGGGGGGCCTTGGGGTTCTCCGGGTTGTTGTTGTCGAGCGCGGCCTGGGTGCCGATGAAGGCGAGGAGGAGGAACATGAAGGTGCCGCAGAACTCGCCGACCATGACGGTCAGCGTGTGCTTGTACTGGCTGGGGATGGGGTGGTCGCGGCTGTTCTTGCTGTAGTCGTTGCCGTCAATGGCGGGCTCCGGCTGGTTCGGGGCATCTTGGACGACGACGCCGGCCATGATGTCGGTAGTTGGTATGGGGTATGTGCTTGATCCACGAGTAGGGGTCTTTTGTGATGTGAGGAAGCGGTCGAAGACTACACTATCAGATGCCGCAAAACTTGTATGGGATAAGACGGCCAGAAGACAAGTTTTCACAGGCAGGAAACGGCTAGGCTTATATAGAATAGGCTGGCCAGACTTCCGGCATAAATTATTAATTGGTGTTAGTGCTCGGCATACACAGAGGGCTCAGGACCTTGTTCTATGTCGGAATGGTCTGGTCTGCTGCATCGACCAATCGCAGTGGAAGCAACTCGATATAGCAACAGAATGGTGGGTGGTTCACGCTAGAGGAATAGACCCTGGCCACACATCATGTTCATCGCTTGGGATTCTCCAACGGCGTAACCATCCTAGTTTCCGCAAGCGGATGGGGGGTATAGAATGAGCATTTCCTTGGTGGAGGCAACACGCACACACACACAGACACACACACACACACCCAGCGTTGCCCCAGTTGCCGATCTCAGCTGTCACTGCATTCATGCAAAGACAACGCCACAACTCGCTTGGACAGGCCGATGATGTAGTTGACATGCGAGCCCATATAACAGTACAGCTTTGCAAGCCCAAGCTTGTACCTCCTTGACCACAGAGGGAAGCACTATTGTACCTGAGCAATGCAACTGCGAACTAAAGAAACGGGGTTTTCTTTCTTCGCTGACTACTTGCTTAGCCCATCGTTCTAGTTCTTTTGGCACCAGCAAGCGCAAGGGGAGACTCATCCGCCGCCCCCAGGTAAACTTTGACGCTTTGCGCCATTCGGACTAGATCCGGCCGTTGTTGCCCTCCCGGTTGGTAACGAAGGCGTGAGCAAAGTCAGCTAAACCGCATAAAGGAGCGGGCTCGGCGTTTTTTGAAACAATTTTTTTTTCTCCCTTTTTTGCGCAGAAAAAAAAAAAAAAAGTCTGTTCCTCGTAAAGGCGGAGTTTTGGAGGGTGGCTGCCATACAGCAAACTTGTGCCTGTTGAGCTGAATTCGTTTCGCGTTTCGCTTCGGATTGGTTTGGTGAGAGAGGACACAGCTACAACCACACACACAGCTTTGAAGGGGGGGGGGGGGGGAAGGGAGGCGTCGGCTACAGAAAAAAGGTTGTGCGAGCCAAGCACAAGTTACATGTTGTCTTTGCTTGCTGTCTGGAGGCCTAAGCTATCACAGAGCTATAAACTTTGCTCTACAAGTTGTTGAAGCCCAAAGCTGGGTGGCTTTCTCTTTGTAAAATGACGTTACCATGGCACTTCTAGTCCCGGTTATGTAGAGTTTCCGGCGTAGAGAAAATAGCCACAAACACAACTTCTTGGCGAAATCGCACCAATGAGCCAAGGTAATCAATTTTCCAACTTTTCTTTTTTCCCACAAGTAGTATCCGATTATACTACACGCCGGTGCAAGACTAGATAGTTATGCAGACCGGCTCGGCCACGGCGGACGCGGTTGTCCGGGAGTTGTGGCGAGCGTGCGATGGACCAGTCTGGACCGACCCCGTTTTGCTCAAAGCCACCCGAGAAACTGAGTTTTTTTCTTTCTCTTTCATTCTGCGAATTGCCTCTAGTTGCCGTCCAAGGGAATAAACGGGCCTATGCCTCCTGTTCAGCTCCTCTGGGTGCTTTCTCCCGGCGCACAATGCTAATGAAACCAAGCGTTGCAGTCTTGGCCGTCTAGCGCTTCAACCCCATCAACATCGGAGCACACACGCATGCAGATACACTCTCCATTCCATCAGCTGATGAGTAGCACTAGTTAGCACCGATGCACAATTTGCGACGTTGGTAGTCGAGCGCATTACGCGGAGCCACCCCGTTGCCAGCATTCCATCTGATGTACCTGGACCAGTCTACATGAGACCGTCATTGATGATGGATTGACCACGCCCTGCATGTGCATCATATTTGATAGATACAGAAAAACCTTGGTACAACGCTGAAAGTGTTTTGCAAGGCGAATAGTGGCACGCATACAAAGTGAGGCGGGGATGGCGTTTGGTAACATGTGCGTTGCCTAGCTGCGCGAGCCTGAGAGTGTGCCTGCACCAGTGAACCTTGCGTCTAGTAATCAAATGGCTGGGCTTGGGATCAATGCCCTCCCGATGAGATCAGAGGCTGAACCTTGCTTTCAGGCCGTGACTTCTCGGCAGAGAGGCCCGCGCCCTGGATCTGAATCGAAAGCTATTGGTGTGGCTGTCCTGCTGCCACTCGTCGGTAGAAATATGACGCGCAGCGGTATTAGTAAAAAATAAACTCAAAACGCCGTCCCAGCCTCTTCTTTGTATATTGGAATAGCACCCTTTTCGGTTCGCCGTTGCATTGTCACATGCTGCTCAAGCATACGAGTCTATGTAGGGAAGCATCTTTCGCGCAGTGCATGGCAAGCCACCACCACCACGACAACCGCCACCTGAAGAATGCCGCAAATAAGTGATGATGGGCACCCTCTGCAATGAACTCGTTTACCCAGAATATGATATAAAGGATGCGCGGTGAAGCAAGTTCTGAAAAAGCCCACGTCAATGATCGTCGCTGCTGCAGAAAATGCCGCCGGCGTCACTCGCGGATCGTCACTCGCGGATCGTCACTCGCGGATCGTCACTGCTGCCGTGACGCCGTGGATGGAATATTCCCTCATGAAACTCGCTCACATACTCAAAAAAAAATCTGGATAGATCAATATCTGTAAGCGGATCTGCCACGATGCCGGCATGCATGTACGTGTCCAAACCTACCTGCTGATTCTTGACAAGACCTGGACACGAGCACAAAGTACTTGGATACTATTCGCTACTGAATGCACCGGTGGCGTTTAGAGGATGCGCTTTAAAAAAATTCCTCAAATAAATTCGCTATCAACACGTTGAATTAATCTGCCCTATGTACCCCGGATTTCTGAGAGGGATAATCAGCTGCTTACACTCCCCGCACGCGACGACGGCGGCATCTAGCATACACCGCGCGAGAGCACGAATAGCTTGCGCCATCCTCGCTAATAGCTCGATTTTGGGGGGGGGAGAGTGTTTGCGATTTCAAGGGCCAGTGAAGTTGCGGCTCCAGCTCCCAACAATATACGTGTGGTATGGTACCACTTCCGGCATTTAGGTGGTAAATGTGTTGCACTTGTTCTATTTGCTTTTATGAAACTAAATTCTGCATAGTTGATTGCTATCACGTCGTACATACCTTTGACAACTTAAACTGTCCTGTCACTGTCCCGGAATGATGGACCGCTCGTGAGCCGCCCGAGGCACGGCAGCCGACGCAGAGTCGGATCTGCTGTGTCACTCACCACTCGCGTCATACCGTGGACGTTGAATGATCGATGACGTTTCAACAGGCCACTCATCTTAACCAAGTCAAGTTTGTCTCTGGCCACACGCAGCAAAGGCCACAAGATCCGATTGCCCCCCGACTTGGCCAACCAATGGCACAATCACAGCTTCGCCATCGTCCCCAAGAGCCACAAATGTACCATACATGTGTTGTATATGACCTGCAAGGATTTTTAGAGATTGAGGTGCCAATACCTTGGCATATGAGATGCAAAGAGATGAATAAGTTTTGAAAGAGGTGGCAGTTGGAAAGTGCCAACGTTTACGTACCACGACCGGAGATGCATCAAGGTTTGTGTTCCCGCGCAGAGGAGGCATGTGTCGCTTCTTACAGTAGATGATGCTAGCGCCCAAGCACAATGGTCCTGCCCAAGACGACAAGACTGGTTTTGTACGCATACTTGTGGGACGTATTTTGTTCTGCTGTTGGGGGTCAATCAAAGTCGTTAGGCAGCGCGCCAAGCTGCCCAGCTCGACCTGCGGCCCAACTGCTAACGTTGATGAATTGAGTACTCATGCGGTAATAGGACCGAGTTCAGAAGAAGTTTAGAAACGTCTAGAACTAGTTTATTTTGGACACAACTGGGCAAAAATGTGGCGACGCTGATATGAGGTTCATTGTTGACTGCCCGGGACAAGACCGAGCCAACAACAAAGACATTAACAAAGAATTATGTTCTAGTATCAAGCAAGAAAATAAAAAAAAGGATCTAGAACGTACATCGTTCTGAAGCAGCAAAGTCTGGTTGAGTGGCAGCCACAGAGCTGTGTCGACTCTCTCCCAAAGTCTCATCTCCGGAATGTTTGGACAGTTGACCAAGGCCTTGACTGTCGCAGTTATGATCATCGGCAGAGATGTTTCCGATTTAGTTACCGTGTAGAGCAAGGTGGTGATGTGTGCTCGCGCGTGCGACCCCTGTCGTTCAAAGAGCTAGCGAACCATCCCCTCAATATGTTCGGACGTTCGTTACAAGGTATTTAAAGACACACAGCGCTTAGCGGTGCAAATCATTCGTTCAACCTTGCCAAGTCTAGTGCTAAATTTAAGTTGTCCCCTGATTCCGCAATAGACACGGCCAATGAGCCTCCAACAACCCAATCACCCCCCACACGGCCGCTGCCGTTGGCGCCTAGCCAGCTGGAGTCATTCATCCATCGGGCCGCCACTTTTTCTGCCCTGCCACCCGCCACCGACTTGTGCACCTAGTGCGAGCGGCCGCATGCTGCCTGGTGCATCTAACCATCTACATATTCTGACGTCTTACCGCATAACCTTGGGCAAACAAACGTCAAGCCGAAGATATTGAATCATCCAACACGAACGACTGTCCGACCCTCTGCCCAGGCCGCCCCTCCCCCAACCACCAGGGCCACCCCGCCCCAGATGCTCAGCCATGCCGGCCAAGGACCGTGACGTCGACGCCTCTGCCGAAGACGACCGTCCCCGCGAGAAGCCGCGACGCCCCAAGTCTGAACGGAAGCCCGACCGTGACCGAGAGCGGGACAAGGACAAGGATAAGGACAAGGAGCGCGAGCGCCGCCATCGCTCCTCAAAGTCGTCCCGCAGCAAGGTCGGCGGTGAGGATGGCGACGCGGGCTCGCTCGTGTCCTCCTCCTCCAAGCGCCCCCGGAAGCGAGAAAAGGACAGAGACAGGACCCGTGAAGATGGCGATGACAGGTCCTCGCTACGAACAAAGTCACTCAGCGACGTGGGTGGCCGCGGCGCCGCCTCGTCACTGCTAACCGCCTCGCTCGTCGATGGTGGCAAACGGGTGACCCTGCCTTACCCCTCATTCAGCAAAGCACACAGCAAGGAGGCCGTCGTCAGCAGAGATAACCTGTCGTCGCCCTCCCGAGACTCGCGTATTCCTACACCAGAGCCGACCGATGCGGGCGACGACCATCGCCGACGCAAGTCCGAGGATGTGAGCCGCACCGGTTCAGGGTCCAAGAAATCATCCAGACCGCCTACTCCCCCCGAGACAGATGTATCCGCCGACAAACGCAAGTCATCAGAATCAAAGAGGAGTCCGGGCCATAGCAGAGACCGGGATAGGACAAAGGACAAGCCCACCGCTTCGACGGTTTCCAGGTCCGCGTCGAGGCATGGAGAAGGGTCGAGGATTAGTCGCCGCTCCGTCTCTTCCAGCCAAGCAACATACGTCAAGCCTGCAAACCACAAATCACATGAAAAGCTCAGAACCTCTGAATCAAGACTGTCAAGCTCCTCATCCCGCCACTCGCCGCGCCGATCGGACTCGACACGAAGTGTCCGACGGTCTGAGGGTCGCGATGGTCACTCCTCGCCATCCAGTGTACAGAATTCGTCTCCCAGGACGCCTACGCAGGGCCCCCAATTCACGTCACCGTTTTATGACCAAAATGGTGCTGAGAGGCTAGACTCGACTATTCCCTCAAAGACGGCCACGCCAGCACAAGCTCCTCCACCGCCTCCACCACCCCCGCCTCCTATGGATATCTACGATATGCCGCGCGTCGACTATCTACTACAAAACGGCGGACTCTCGTGCCCAGTATCACGGCACTTTTTGTCTGTGCTGCCCCTTCAAAATGGCGCGCGTGGCTCACGCACGCCACTCTCAGGGACCGATACACTATTTGCGCCCTTCTTCAACCTGCTTGATCAGTACAGCACAGTCATAGACAAGCAAGGATCCATCGCCGTTGCTACCGGACATCGCTCCGTTGCGAGACGACTGCTTGACCGCCTCGAGAACATCTTCTCGCGCGACCTGCCACCTCATGGATGCGCATGCATCATGTGCGACCGATCCAACGACATACATCGCGGGCTAACCTGGGGCGACGTATTGGAGTGGGTAAGCGGTCGTATCGCATTACCCCAGTGGCCTCCCTTTGATCTCGCCGAGATAGGGAGCAAGGCTGCTGAAATATCAGCAGAAGAGCCGCAGAGGCCTTCATCGCCGATCAAACTGGATCCTGATATTGCGGAAGAGTTCCGAGAGCACTATCTTCGCCAAACGAAAAAGGTCAGGTCGGCCGTTGACAAATGGCTGCACAGCACAGCAGAGACACCGACCCCGCCACCCCAGGAAGTGGACGATGAAACCCTTGCGTTTGCCATCCTGACCAATTTGGACGATGATGATCGCCCATACTTTAACGCTTTATTGTCTGGGGCTCGCGAGCTTAAGCCGGCCACGAGAGCACCAACACCCATGCTCCGCCAACGAAATGACTTTGTGGTCAAGACCGGTCTTTCGCTCCAGCGCCTGTATCGACTGCAGCAGGCTCCACGTGATGCCGAAAGTGTCACCTTTTTGATCAAGAATCCGCATACACACGATCTGCTTGTAACCCTTTCCAACATTAATAACTCGGAATGGGAGATTCTTACCTCTGGCCGATTCGATGGGTTCTTGTGGTCCGGGGCTGACGTTGATGACCAAATCACAACCCCGGGCCTGGAGTCCAGATCCCAGACACCAGCACACGGGTACTTTGCTAGCCGCAGCACGATGAGCCCCGGCCCGCGCAGCTCCTCCGCCATGAGCTCACGTGGACCAACTCCGTTCTCGCGCGGGACCACCCCTGCGTCTTTCATCAGTACTAGCTCAGTTGGGCCGGGCGGTCGACAAGCAGTATCCAACGACGAAGAGATGGAGATGGCGGCCATTGCGGAAATGGAGCGCGAGATTTACCAAGGCATGGAAAGTTTGGAAGACGCTTTTGAGAAGCTTCATCATCAGGCCGAGGTGGTGCGCACAGCTTTGCGACAGCGCGGTGCTGGCCTGATGCAGAGTCTGCAAAGCCGACGAAGAGTGGACGTCCTGCCTGCGCAGACCCCGACGCCTGGCGCAGGACAGGAGCGGGCGTCGTGGGCACCAAGTAGCGAAGGAGAGGCCGCTAGCGATGACGAATGGTTCGAGGAGTACGACATTATGCCAGATGACTCGGCAAGCAATATTAGCAGCTCCCGACATCGCCGACCCAAGAGGCGAACCGAGCGACGGACGCCGGCGCCGATTGAGGAGGACGAGGAAGAGTAGATTATGACTACAGGCATGATTGGATGACGATACCTTTGGAAATGAGTTTGCATACCTGGGAGTATATACCAGCAAATATGAAGCGCGATGCTGGATTTGATTTTCTTGCCTGTTTTTGCATTTACACTGGATTTGGCGGAGTGCTTTTTAGGGTTTTATGCATTGTGGATGATGGATGGGTCAATCTGCTGCAATAGTATGGTAAATTTGCACAAATGCAGACTGAAATAAATTACAAGAATTGGATTCGCCCAACCCTTTGTATTTCTGCTTGCTAACGAGACTACCTAATAAGAATACGTGGTGTCACGACCAACTTGGACCACCTGCCCCACTGTGTGATGCTTCAGTCCGCCATCAAGCATCAAGCGTTGGAAGCTCTTCTTCTCTGCACCCCATCCCAGGCGGCCCTGACAAACCACCATGGCCTTTGCCCCCGAGGAGTTTACTCCAGGAACAAGCCCAATTATTCATGAGCTTTGCAGTTCTGGGGGAGATCCCCCGCACTGGGAGCCCCTGTATCGCCAGGCCTGCGACTTTGGTCCTGAAATTTTCACGCAGCGCATGGTCACCTTTATTCGCAATCCAAACCTGAACACGACCTGGTTGTTTCGCGGCGATATCCTCTTTGACGATGAGCCGGGATATGGAGAGGATACAGAGCATCACGGGTCGCTGGACATGGTGGGCAGTTTTGATGTGGCCTGGCCGGAGCGTAGGGTCGTGGCTGGGATGACGAGGACGAGGACCATGGTGCGCAAATTAATTCCGCGAAACCAGCGGCGCGACGACCCTATGAACCAGACGTGCGAATTTCACCGAACCAGCACCTCTCAAGACGTCCCGACTCCCAGTCCTGGAAAGACGTCAACGTTGGTTCTCTACGTCCCGCACGCCCAAACGGTCGAGGATATGCCCTTTTACCACCCCAGCGTCCGCGCCATTGCCCACCTGCACGAATGGGACGCCGACACTCAACGAGGCTCTGTCTCCGTCCACTTCCATCCCTTTCCCGCTGGTATTTTCGTCGCAGACGAGAAGCTGCGCCGCGTGGGCTACCACCTCCTCGAGCGGCTGCACAAGCACGGCGAAAGCTCGCTGCGCGGCTACACCAAACGCGTGCACCACGATGCCGTGATCCCGCAGCCGCGGTTCCAGGACCGCTACTCGGCGCTCAAGAACAAGTATGCGCGGGTCGTGATGGATGCCTGGGCGGAGACGACGGACCCGAAGAAGCACGTCTTCGAGGACCTCGGCATCGCCGCGTTCCTGATGGAGCTGTGGTCGGACATGTACGGCGCGGACAGGGTCCGGTTTCCGGGGTTTGTGGACATTGGCTGCGGAAACGGCTTGCTGGTGTACATTTTGAACCAAGAGGGCTACCCAGGCTGGGGCTTTGACGCGCGGAAACGCAAGTCCTGGCTTCAGTACAGCACGACGCCGTGTGCCGCGTCGCCAACGGGGTCGTCGCTGGTGGAAAGGTGCCTGATGCCGAGTGTGGTGCCCAAGCCTGAGAATGAGACACCGATTGAGGACGGCTTCATCCACGACGGGTTGTTTGAAAAAGGCACATTCATCATCTCCAACCACGCGGATGAGCTCACGCCCTGGACGCCCATCCTGGGTGCCCTCTCCGACTGCCCATGGATCTCCATTCCCTGCTGCAGTCACGACCTGACAGGGGCCCGGTTCCGCGCACCGCCGCCGCGCGACAAGACGAAACCCAAGTCGACGTACGCTTCGCTGGTGGACTGGGTGGCGCAGATTGCCGAGGACTGCGGTTGGACCGTCGAGACGGAGATGCTGCGGATACCCAGCACGAGGAACACGGGCCTCTTGGGACGACGACGAACAATAGATACACAAGACGTCAATATTGCAAGCGTATTGGCAAAGTACGGTGGCGTTGCGGGATATTATGCGAATATTGCCAAGTTGGTGAAGACAGGCCCACGATCTCACTAAGTATTGCCAGTGTATTGCAGGGCTCTAATCTAGATCCGGCACAGGGAGATGGTCGACAAGCTTCATGTTCAGCCCGAGGCTCTTCAACGCTTCGACGGCATTCTTGTCGCGGAGCTCCGCGGTCTCTTTTTCACTGGCCAGCACGAATTCTTGCCTCAGCACCTTCGTGTCCAGCGAGACGCCATACTGCGCGGCCGTGGCGTCATCAATAGGCTCCAGGTCCACGATGAGGCTCTGCTTGACCCCGAATACAGCATCCGTCTTTTCGTACGGATCTCCACGCACATATACGGCGCTACCTGCAATTAGTCTCCCAACCCTGCAATTACAAAGCCCAAAGCGAACACTTACGTGACAAGGTGGTCCCATCCCGGCTTCTCTAGCATAAAGTGCATATGCGCCGGCCGCCACGGGTGGCGCCCCAACATCTGCAGCAGCTGCCCAACCGGCCCGTCGGTCGGGATCGGATAGCTCACCGGAACAATGGCCCTGAACCAGAACCCGCCGTCCTCACCACTGCGCATGACGCCCCGCTCGCTCGGCCCGTCGCGGCCCTCGTGCTGGACGTCATAGTGCCCCGAAGCGTCCGTCTCCCAGATATCCACCTTGACGTCGGCGATGGGGCGTCCCGCGCGATCGCGCACGGCGCACAGCACCAGCAGCGGCTCGCCCGCCGGGTCCGCCGAGAGACGCGCGCCGGCGGCGACAACGGGCGCGTCGTGCGTGTGGAACGGACCCAGCACGGAGCCCTCTGTGCACGAGGCCGGCTTGGGGTGGTTGACGGCGTCGACGAGGAGCGACAGCCCGAGCACGTCGGACAGCAGGATGAACTCTTGCCGCACGGCGCTGCACGTCTGCCCGGTGCGGGTCAGGAACTGGATCGCGGCGGTCCACTCGGCGGTGCTGAGGCGCGTCTCGCGCGCCAGGTCGTGCAGGTGCGTCACGAGGCGCTCCATGAGGTAGCGGAGGCGCGCGTCGGGGCACTGCGCGTTGATGCGGATCGTGTTGGGCGTGATGTTGTCCATGGTCAGGTCGAGCAGCTCCGGCGTGGGAGGAGGTGCGGTTGACGCCATTATGGGCAGACTGGTAGAAGGCCAACGGAATAGAGATGGACTCACAGAAGAAGTGATTCAAGATGAAATTATAACTCCAACTTGGTGATTTTATTCTATTTTGAATGACCAATCAGATCAGTGCCTTTACACAGTTCTGGGCTTGACCCCCGCGGACTAGGCTTTGCTAAGATCTTGCTAAGATCTTGATAAGCGTGGCGGCCGAAAGGTGCGGGTGCTTCACCCCGCAGATCTTGCGTTTCCCCTTGTCTTGGTGATTATGAATTGATTTCTAAGCGTGACACTCGTCGCCATGCATTGCCGAGCTTGCGACACCAGTGGATCTAGCATGGTGTTTACACCCGAACAACCGTTATTCGTTCATTGTATCCTCTTGCAGATTTTAGTATAATTTTACTCCAAATGTCGATTGGATGGCTTCACCAGTGATTCCTTCCAACGTCCCTATTTCTCGCTGGTGGTGTCTCGGTCAAAAGACCACTGCGGCCATGGGCATCGGTCGGGGATTTTCGTGATGTAAAATGCGGCGCAGCACATCAAACAAAAGTGTATTCTGCCAGAAATTACTGCGGTAAGCGATATTTGGAAAAATAGTCCAAAATGATGGGCGTGGCATTGTAGCTCGCCACATGGTGGTCCTTTTTTCGAGTTGTCTGCGTTCGGCGCCGTGCTCGGCCAGTCATGCCCGATATCCGACTCGAAAACGTGCGTGACCAAGCCGGCCTTGTCGCCGCTTCCGTACTTATACGCCACGGTATTCGGCGCCACGGCGCTCGTCTGGTTCTGCAGCCCGAGCTCGTTGCGCAGCGCCCACTGCTGGACAAAGTGCGGAATGGCCGGCAGGCACGCGCCCTTGCGCACGCCGCCGCGTAGTGGATCGTGGAGTCGTTGCCGCCGTGGAACTCGATGAGCGGGACGTCGGCGCGGCCCCGGCAGCGCGCCAGCAGCGGCACGGTGTCGGGGTGGCACGGCGACGCGGCGACGTAGAACGCGCCGGAGACGGGCGCAAAGGCGGCGATGCGCCGCGAGGCGCGCGCGTCGCAGGCCAGGATGTTGCAGAAGCCGCCGCCGTCGGACTTGCCAGAGGCGTAGATGCGCGCCGTGTCGACGTTGTACTTGCTCTCGAGATAGTCGAGGATGTCGTTGGTGAAGAGCACGTCGTTGATGGTGTCGCCGGGTACGCCCTGCCACGAGTTCTTGGTTCTCATTAGCTGACCGGAGCAGGGATAGTTTTCTTTTGGTAAAAAAACTCACTTTGACGCCTTGAGGGTATACCACAATGGAGACGGCGTTGGTGTCGGCCGTCGTGAAGCCGTCCAGCTCGAGCTGATCTTTGGCCGTCTTGTTGCCGCCGTGGAACGAGAGAAGCACAGAGCCCGGGGTTTTGGAGCTGTACGTGGACGACACCCAGAGCAGAAACGACCGCGTCAGCTTGTTGCTGGTGATGGTAATGGTGGATGTACTGCCACTAGCTGAAGCAAAGGCACCCGCGGCGAGAGGAAACAGTATGCTGGTCGAGAACTTCATGTTTGCGGCTGGCTTGTCTTGGTGAGACGTGCCTTTCGGGGCGAGGCACCTTTGTTATATATATGCACGTCTGTGATGACAAGCTAATTGGTGGAACGCTGGTGCTGACGAGAGTAGAGCCTTGCCGATCATCTACAAAACTTGAGCCCGATCAGCGAGGCGGCGGCGCAGCAAGGCGGAGCTTAATTATCCGGCAACGGCTGACCGTAAGCGCCGACCGGGTAGTTCGGGAAGAAGCCTCAAAATGCATTCTTTACAGGGGAGAACTCTGGGCTGAGCGCTGCCCTTCACCAGCCGAGTTGGCCGTGCTACCCGAGATCGGCAGATGGATGCGTTGAGCGCAATGCATCGTTGGCAGGCAATGCGAGATTGGGCCCGAGAAGGGATATGTTTGGTCTTTCTTGGCAAGCGAAGAGAAGTGAATGTGAGAAGTGATAACAAACGGTTCCTCCTATTGAAGGTAATCAACCACAACTTAGGCACTTTGGTATAAAGTATAGAAATCACATACATATACAAAAAAAGCGACATATTAAATTTTCTTATTTGAAGTTCAAATAAGCTAGCCATTCAAGTATATAAAGGAATTACCGTCGGGATCACCCGCTCTTTACCTTGTGTCATGCGCGGCCGGCGGCTGGTGCTCAATTGACCTGGATTCTAGAGCCAACTAAATCTCCGAGGCTAATCTGCTACCATCAGGAACTCTTGGGTGCCTTGACAATCTTGACGACAATGACCTCCGGCTTGGCACCACTCTTCTTATACTCGGGCGTGTTGTACAGCGGGTTGCTCAGGTCCGGCGTGACACCCATCTGGCCGCCGTTGGTGCCGCAGCCGTATATTGCCTTCTTCTCGTCGCCAGACTTCGCGGGAGCGCCGGCGTCAATGGCCCTGGCAAGGTCCTCCTACAGGACGGACGAGCTGACGCGCGAGTTGATTTGCTTGGACAGCGCAAGCACGCTGCCGGACTCGGGAACGGGAAGAGACCACTCGGCACAGTCGCTAAAGGACTTGGGCATGTTCCAGAACTTGGCCGCGGTTGTTCTCCGAAATGTAGAGGAGGTATCGAGAAGGAAACGTGACCAGGGGTACAAAAAAATCTCTGGAGAGAATACTGAGAGAGGGAATGGATGCCCAGTGGCCGACTAGCTAAGATTTACGTCTGTTGTAGAATGGAGCGGGCGTCGCAAGCCGGTCTCGCCAGTTTCTAGTCGTTCTGACGGTTTTGAACCTTCTGCATTTAGCCATCTGTAGCATCCTTGCACATTGAATAAATTATGGAACGAATTAGCACTCTTATTTGATTTGTGAAGCATATTTTATTTTTAACGTTTTTCTATCTATTTCTTTTAATTTCACACGGTTGCCAGAGAATTTCTCAAATTATAAACATTCTATTTCGTTGAAGTTCTGTCATTTTATATACAGTCTAATTATCATAACAAAAAAAAAGAATCCTAGAAAATACACGTCAATATTTATGCCGTGTCCAGAACGATGACTTCAGCTGCTACAGAGCCAATGCTCTCGATAGAGAGCTTGTCGCCAGCGTTGACGCCTTCAACAAAGGCACCATCGCCTTCGACCAGCTCAGCATCCTCACGGCCATCGATGCGAATCTTGGCCTTGCCATTTTGCGTCATGGGCAAGTGCACGTAGACCTTTCTCTTGTTGGCCTCGGTCGCCTTGGCGCCAACCACCCACTCAAACGTCTTTTCCGGCGCAATGATGCCGGCGCCCATGGCGAAGTCGGCATGGATGGGGATGGACTCGGCAATGGCGGGCTTTGCGTCCTCTTCTTGCTGCGCCGTGGCCTCTGGCCCGCCCTGCAGCGGACTGAGGATGGTGACGAAGCCCTTCTTCTTTGCCTCGTCGTCAAAGGTGCGGGTGTGGTAGCGCGGCTTCAGGCCCTTTTTCCAGGGCATGGCCCAGATCTGCAGGAAGTGGACCGTGTCCGACTTGTGCTCGTTGAACTCGCTGTGGGCGATGCCGGAGCCGCCCGTAGTGAACTGGACGTCGCCGCGGCGCATGCGGTAGAACTTGTCCGACGGGCCGCCCTCGCGGCCCTTGGCGAGCATGGAGTCGCGGTGCGTGAGCTCGCCCGACAGGATGTAGCTAAAGATTTCAAAGTCGCGGTGCGGGTGCGTCGGGAAGCCCGAGTTGGCCTTGACCCGGTCCTCGTTGAGCACGCGCAGCGAGCCAAAGTGCGAAAACTTGGGGTTGTACCAGTCGGCAAAGGAGAAGCTGTGGTACGTGTTGAGCCAGCCGTGGTCAGAGTGGCCGCGCGTGCCGGAGCGGTGCGGCGTGATCTTGGCTTGGCGCAGGACAGACTTGGACATGTTGCCGGCAGTCTTGATCATGGGTGTTTCTGGGGTTGAGGTGGTTGGCGTCGTGGTGTTTGAAGACTCTGCCGAGAATAGGGAAGTGGTGAGCTGCTGCAAGCAAGCGGAAGCTGTTGGGTTGAAGATGATGATGAGTGTGGACAGAAAAGCAATCAAAATTGCAGAGATGGTAGTGAACCGCGGCATATATAGGAGATTTCTATAGGGATGGAATTGTTTGGAAAAGTTTAGCACGTCTGAATTGCCCAAGCATTTCCAATGCTTTGACATCGTGGGCAATGCTGAGTATTAATAACATGGTTGCATGGCCATCGTGAGACCCGATGAGGACTAGCGTTCACTAGCGTCATTACATAATGATTCTTAAGCTGCAGGTAATCGACAAGGCGGGGAGTCAGCCAATCAGAGAGCCTCGTTTATCTCCGTGTTCCACTTTATCTGATGACTGGATATTCGTAATTCAGCCATTTTTCCATTCAATTTCCAGTTCCAGCCAGTTCCGTATGACGTGCATCCCGTTGGTGCAAAAGAGGTGATTCCAGGTGTTGCACTAAGCCTATCCGGGAGGGAGGACCAGTTCTCTGTCCCTAAAACGTTTACAGCGGTGCATTGCTTCAATAAGACATTGTATGGATAAGGAAAAATCCACTGGTCAGCCAACGAACCACATCATGGCAATCAAGGTGCTGTCCTGTGCCCTAGAAATAATTACTTGTCTCGAGGCAAAAAATCTAAAAAGAAGAGAGACAACTTTTTGAATTCGCAGGCTCGAGATTTGGATGTAACAGCTTCTCATTCTCGAGCCCGTTTCCAGTCCGAGGCCGCAGCACATTCAAGGACAGAGCCGCAACCCCTGCAGTGCAGCACTCCGTAATCATCGACGTCACTCTGCCCTCACCATCACGTCCCTCGCATAACCTTTAAAGACGAACATCGCCCTCGCCTCAAAAACGCATGCACTCCAGCATCAGTTGCTTTGAAGCATAATAAGCAGCAAAGACAATATCACCATGTTTTCCTGTTTTGGAAGCGATGGCGACGACCGAGAACGTGAGCCCCTGCTGCCTCAGTACAATGACGATACCAGCCGCCAGGCGCGGCTGCACGAGAAGCTGCACAGCTACCAAATGCTACGAGCCATCTCCAAAGGATACATGCCATCGACAGAACAGACAAAAGTTCAATTGAGAACTCTTCTTTCCTCGCAGGCCCTTAATCCGTCAGAAACCGCTGGTCTGTCCAGTTCCGGGCGCGCGCTCGTCCGCACCACCAAGGAATGGCTGCAGCTCTTCATCGATCTTTTAGACCAGAAAAACTCAAAAGATCAAATCCAAGATTTCATCTGGTATCTCACGAGCGCCAGAGTTCACCTTGACGCAAACGGTGCAGGCAGCATTTTTAACAAGGGGAAAGCGCGCGCCAAGGTTTCGGCAGCAGCAGAGTCGCTGCGCACCGTTTTCTCTCTTGCGCTGATGAACAACGACTTTCGAGTGCTCGTGGCAGATATTGGTACCATTTCTACCCAAATACTGCGAGACGGCGCTTTTGCCATTGGCGAAGCGTCCCAAGAGGCTGGCAAACAGCTCGAGTCTGGCGCTGCAGATGGATCGAGCGATTTGGCCGCATTAAAAGCCACCGATAAAAGGGCTGAAGAGAAATTCTCAAAGGAGGATTTGGAGAAGAAAGCCGACCAGGTCAAAAATGAGATCAAGGGGGAAGCTGCACAGGTCTCGGAGGAGGTGTACACCAGCTTGCAAGACCACATGGGTGAGGAGACGCAAAAAATAATAATCAACCGCCTCAAAGCAGCAGTCGGTGGACTTCGCCAGAAGAAGGATTACTCAGAAGCCGTGTCGCATCTCGCAGAACTTTTGCAGCGCTGCGCCGCCATTTATCTTTCAGCCGCCGGCGAAGCGGCTGAGGAGGTGGAAGCGAATATTGAGCTGAACCGGCAGGCGAAGGCGGCGGCCACCAACTTCTGGAGCTTCATATCTTCGTTTGGTGACAAGAGCCTCTGGGACGACGTCGCTGTCTCGTTTCGCGATTTTCTCGACAAGAATCACGAGAACAAGGCAAATGCCGAGCAGCTCGCGCAGGAGCTCATCACAATGGTACAAAAGATGCTGTCGGATCCAGAATTCTTGGAAAACTTTGGAGACAAGAAACATGAATTCAAGGAAAAGACGAAAGAATTGACCAAGGACTCCTCCCTAGGTGATGATATTTCCCATCTAATCAGTACCACGCAGTCGGCGGTGCACACAGCGATCCACGACCCAGCCGTTCAGAAACTGATCTCCTCGTCATTCCGCCTTGCTGAGATTCTTTTCCCGACAAACCAAAACAGCAACTCGGAATTGCTGACAGACTTTGGAAACACATTCTTGCCGCTACTAGTGCAGGCGGTGCAGCATCTACCCATTCCGCGCCTGGAGGTGGCAACCCCCAAAGTCGACCTACTTTTGGAGAACCTCATTCTGCAGCCCGGAAAAACGGTCAACAACAGCTCATTCCTGCCTTATAATATCCATTTCATGACGCGAAACGATTTAGATGTCACCAAGCTTCGATTTGGCACCACATCGTCCATGACGAACCTGCTCTCCATCAAACTTGCCGGCGTCTCCGTCGCGGCGGACGACTTGGGCTACTGGATGCGCGTACACTCTGGCATCCTGCGCTTCATGGACGAGGGTCTTGCAGGATTCCACCTTGACGAGCGCGGCATCGACGTGGACGTGGAGCTCGAAATCGGCCGGGACCGCCTCGAGGAGCTGGTGGTGCTCCGCGACGCCAAGGTCAAGATTCACCACCTCGACTACAAGCTGCGCAAGTCCAAATTTACCTGCCTGGCATGGCTTTTTAAGCTCATTTTGCGTCCCATTATCCGCAAGGCGCTCGAATCAACCATGAAGTCGGCCATTGCCGACGGCGTCAAGTCTCTCAACAGAGAGCTCGTGTTTGCGCGGGAACGGCTTCGCGCTGCGCGCGTCTGCAGCCCAGACAGCATGTGGACGTTTTTCAAGGCCATTGCGGCGCGGTTCACCCTGGAGGATGACCCCAACGTTTCCGTGCGAGTGGGCGTGAAACCCGGGCAGGATGTCTTTAGAGGCCGCTACGCACCAGGTAGCCTGGTAAAGCTATGGGAGGAGGAGGCTGAGGATGCTCAGCAGAACATTCACGAGTACAGAAAGGATGGGTGGAGAAACGACATATTTAGTGTACAGACTGTTCCGGTGTAGAATGGGTTCTATTATCGAAACATGTAAGCTGAGTCTGCTTTTGAGGCTTGGAGCTTGGTCCAGCCGGAGGCAACTGCTAGACAACTTGAGTAGGCGTATTTTGGCATTTATTATTCAAGCGACCAATCAATGACATGGCACGTTCTTTGACAATTACTTTCCTTTTGGTTCCACTAATTTCTGAGCCTATTGAGTGAGGTTATCTCAATTTTGAGGTGATGTTCTACATCATCATTCTGTCAGGTTATCCTGCCAACAAGACTGCAAAAAAGCTATCAAGTCACAGTTGCTAGGAAAGTGCCAAGAGAATTCGTTGATGTCATTGATTGGAAGAGGATATGCGTAGCCTACGACGAGGCTCGGATGGACAGCCTGCCGAAGCCGCCCACGACCAATCCAAGTTACAGCCTTCTTAGTATTTGACTATGGACTGGTGGAAGTGCCTCTCCGGAGACTAGACCAACAACTAGTGTGCCAGATATACTAGCGAGGTTAGTGAACCGTGCTGGAACGGCCCCTTGACCTGTCATTTAGTATGTCCGAACGACGGGGCACGTGGCGATGTTGGGCTCCGCGTCGCCGGCTTTGGACATTGTTTCCTAGTTCCGGAGTTTCTTGGCCACCACCATGAACAAAGAGAACTAGCAACGTTTCTTCAGTAGTAGTGGAACTGTTCAACACGGTAGAGCTAGTTTAGACCAATGTCCCAGTTTCGTTGCAACGCCTGAGACTCAGCTTCCACATTTCTCACTGCTTCCGCCGCGGAAATGTTGCTGGCTGTTGTGTATATCAACTAGGTCAACAGAGCGTCGACTGCTTGAATTTCATTGAGTGATATTATGATAAATATTGTCAGATATTGATTATTGTGGAAGCATCAATACAGTAAGCCGTGTCGTAGCACATTAACCAACACATGGTGATGAACAGAAGTGGGAAACCGGCCGAGGCTACCTGGTGCCACAAAACGCCCGTCTGAGATTTTCGTTTATCAAGGTCTTTGAACTGTTGATTTGGAGTGGTGTAGGGCCGTGAATGTCACGTTGAGGCCAAGCATCAAGGGAGAATTAAACTTTGTGGCTGCGAGCCTAGTATGTCAGGGACGCCGCATTCGTCAAGTGGTGGGCCGGAGCCTTGTCTGTCATCTTCTATTTTCGGCAGGCGACGACCGGATCAGCGCAAGCCACCATGGAAACCCAATAATAAGCCAACTTGTACTCGTCAATAATCCGACAATAATCTCACTACCAGCGCCACATCCTTTTCCGTACCGCGGAATGTGGATCGACGTATGAGCGGCGCGACAGTGAATGTGAATACCACCCACCCTTGCTTCTGAAAAGTGACATGATCAAGAATTCCAATCCATTGACCCGTTAAAAAATGTCCGAAACGGTCACGCATGAGGCGCAAACTAGACCGATCCTGCTGCCTGCCGTGTGGGAAGACGCCCACGGGCGCTCCGGCGCGCAACCGTCTTGGAGTTGTTTCCTCCGCTCGAAGCAATCATCCCTGCGTAGACGGCTGGGCAATATTCACCCCTTGTATCCGCACGAGGCTGTCAGATATGTGGAAGAGCGCGAACCAACATGGCAACCCATACGGCTGCAATTCGGCGGACAGAAGTATCCGGAGGTTTCAGCCATTCACACTGCTTGGGCTGTCGCGACGGCCCCATTTCTGATGAATGACTCCAGAGCCTGGTCGCAATTCATGTTGATAAGAAACTATATATACTTGGGTGTATCTGTATACTCGGTCATCGTACGGCCGTTTGGACCAAACACTGACTGACTGCAAACGGAGGACCCCGTGAATCACGACAACTACACCAACTTTTTCCACTGTCAACACGACTCGGTGCTATCCAACCTTTAGCTTCCGCAAAATGCTTGCCAAATCTCTTGTTGCTCTTTCTTCTGCCGCGGCCTTGGCTGCGGCCCAGGGCGGCCTCTTCATCGTGCACTGCAAGCAGTTGACGGTGCAGCGGACCGATCCCATCATCAGCCCCGGTCAACTGAGCAGCCACGTCCACACCATTGTGGGCGGTACCGGCTACTACATGTCCATGAGCAACGAGGATGCCCGGAACGCGCGCAACACCACCTGTGACAAGGCGCTCGACAAGAGCAACTACTGGCAGCCCCAGCTGTACCACCAGTACAACGACAGCAGCTTGGAGCTGATCAAGATGCTTGGCATTGTCAGTCCCGCCGGCCAGAGTTTGATGCGACAATGTGCTAACCGTGACTTTGCAGGCTGCATATTACATTGATCGTTCTTGCGATTATCAGCCCGGCCGCAAAAACTGCAGAGGCGCTCGTGGCGCCATTGCGCCGCCCAAGGGCCTGCGAATGCTCTCGGGCGATACCAGCAGAAGGTCAGCCTCGCAGCTCCCGTTGGTAGTAACATGAAGCTAACTTGGTGTAAAAAGAACCTATGACAAGAACGACAAAAGCCAGCGCGCCATCAGCCACGTGTGTCTCGACCCTGGCAAGGACTACGTTGAGCTTCCCCAGAAGCCCTGCAACGAGATGCGCTCGCAGGTCTTCTTCCCCTCCTGCTGGGACGGGAAGAACCTAGACTCTCCCGACCACAAGAGCCATGTAAGTGCCACGCAATCTCACCAACACCAAAGGCAGACGAGAAGACTCAGCCGCTAAGACATGCACAGGTCGCGTTCCCTGCTCTTGGCGACTACAACACCGGCGTCTGTCCCGAGACGCACCCGGTCGCCATTGTTTCCGTCTTCAATGAGTTTTTCTATAACACGCGCCAGGTCCAAAGCAAAGACTTCCGCCGCTGGGTCTACGCCAACGGCGACACCACCGGCTACGGCCTCCACGGCGACTACTTGCAGGGCTGGGAGGACCAGGACAAGCTGGAGCACGCCATGGAGACATGCACTGGCAAGCAGGGCACTGATGCCCCTAGCTGCAGCCTGTATGTCGGGCCCAATGGCGCCGGCAAGACGTCGTTCCAGAAGCCGGAGAGAGACCCGCCCGCGGAGGATGTTGGCCTGAACGACCGCTTGAAGAAGCTGCCTGGGAACAACCCCATCTACGAGGGGAAGTAAGGTCCGGGGGATATGGAATTGGATTGTTGTGAAATAGTGTATATAAGTTAGTGACTTTCTGGACGGGGGTAAATTGTGACAAATCGTTGTGTACAGCCATACGTGGTGGTGTTCATTGACAGCGACAAATGCTGGTGTCATTGCAACCAGCAAGAGATTTATACAAGCATTTTTTATAACGTCAGAGTATATTTCTCGTTTATTATACGCCGTAGCCGGTGACGGAATGCAAGCCGGCAGGCATCCAGGCTGAGTCTACGCCGGTGTGAGTCATCCCAGCAGCAGTTCTACTTAAGGACAAGTTTGGTGACGGGAATTCGTTAGGTACGCACTCCCTATACTTTGTTTCGTTCGAAAAAAGATCTAAATTGACGCTTGAGATGGCTAAAGCCAACAAGGGCGGTCGCCGCAGAGGCGAAAATCGGGGGTCTGGAGTTGCATCGACTGTACACTACGTCCCTTCTCCGGCCGGGTCCCGGGTTTTTGCTATTGAAGAGCTTACAGTCTCCATACTTTGCCACCTACCTGATGCCGTCTTACTCTCCAAATCCCAGCGCGTCTGTCAACAATGGAGGGCCGTTGCTCAAAAACTCCTTCAGCCACTTCTGAGCGGTGTCCCCGCGCCGTGCAACCGTCCGCCAGGTGGTAGCAGGGAGATCAATGCGCTTCTCCTTGATCATTTTGGGACTATTCTCAGCGACGGCTCAATGCAGCTCGAGATTGGGCTGTGGCTCACCGGCCACCGTTACTCCAGTATGCGTTCGCTGGTTGATCTGCCGATGGCGACGTCTGGTCCGGGGCGGGCGGTGCACGACGCGTACGCCCGTGTCGGCGCGAGCTGGAGAGGCATGCAAATCTACCGCCCGCCCGTCTACGAGCTTCGCTATCGGCGCGAGGTTGGCGCCGAGATCGAGGTGGTCAAGGTGGCGGGCGGCGTGCGGCTGGGACAGGTGTGCGATGTCCTGGTCGCCATCACGGGCCGGACAAAGGGACTGGCGTGGAACGAGATGCGGGTAACTTGGCCCCAAGCGTCGACGGGGCGCGATGACAAAGGCGATGCAGGCAGCGGGGAGAGCGAGACCGTTCGCGAGACCGTCCGGGATTATATCCTCTTGGAAAAGGTCCGGCACGTGTTGCCAGCGTTTTGCGACTGTTTCTGGGGAGGTTGTCGCAACGAGAGGCGCTGCTTGGGCGACAAGAAGAGAAAGATGCAGCTGATTGCATCGAACAAATGGCGAGTCACGAGCAAGGAGTTTATGGAGGAGGATCTGCTGGTACAGATCTAGAGAGCGGCGACGGTCTGTCTCCCGTTGCACGGCAGATTAATATCCCGGTTGTTTTGTGCTAATGGATGCTACGCGAGGCGCAGACTTACCCGCGATCAGACACCAGTGCATCCCTGCTCCGCGTTGTGCGCCCGTAGACGATAAACCCGCGTTTCAGGCGAAGAAGGTTCTATTAATTTGTACATACCTAGTTAGTTATTAGTCGAATTTTTTTCGGGCTGAGTTCCTCGACCAGCCGCTCGGTAAACCAATCCACGACGGGCACATTGTTCGACTAGGTTTGAGCACCAACAAAGGCCAATGCGAAGAGACCAGGGGTTCAAACTTGGCAGAGAAAGAAAGGAAAAAAAAAAACTTATACGGACCAGCCTCTACATTAATACTCTTCTTCCTTCTGCTTGTTTCTTTCCGAGTCGAATTTTTCAGCCAGTAACCGGGTAGCCCTGTCGCTTCTGACACGAGCCCCAGCCACCAGCCACAGGGGTGATGTGAAAGGGAGCCACACTGCTCAGCCTCGGTTACCACCTGCCACCAATTTTTGCCCAATCGAGACTGGCGTGTTCAACTGCCTTGCCAGCTGGCAAACGGACGAAAAAGCCTGACCGCCTCGCAGCTGGCACAGTAGAACATGCCCAAACACCACCAGAGAAACATGTGCCCGTTTTGCCTCCATCATTATAGTTCCTGTCCCTCGCAGCCTTGATGCCTCTGAACCAATTCCTACGTGAGTCCCAATGCTTCTATTCTCATCTGCGACAAGTCCCTATCCACTCCTCCTCCGTTTGTCAGATCCGCCCCAGATCCCCGGCCCGGGGTGGGGCCGCGCGGTGGCTGGCGTTTGACTTTCCAGCCTTCTCATCAGGCCATGGAAGCAAGGAACAAGGCCGCCCGTGTACAGCTTTCCCAACCTCGCGTGTCTAAGAAAAAAAAAATCTTGATAGACCTGTCGGGCCGCAGCTGCATGCACGATGTGGCCATGCATGCTCTTCCTGCATCTCATTTATTTGCCAGTAATTGGTTCGTCTGTCCAAGTGGAGGCGCGCCTGCAGTGTGGAATGCCCATCTTTCGCCATGAATATCTTCATTAACTCTGCTGACAATGTCGCAGCTCCTCGTACGTGAGCCCTCTTCTCATTCCAGACAGGAAAAATTCCCTCTTCTGGCCTCGTGATAACCTTTTATCGTCCGTTTGAGGAGGTTGCCAGCTGCGTGCTGACAGTCGTTGCATCTTAGGTCCGTGGTCGTCACAGGTGCCCGACGACAACTTGAGCGACTTTGGCCGTGATTCCGACTCGACTATGCGCGATCGCATGGACACATCTCACACATCTCCCGCAGCAATACCTTCACCGCACTCCTTGTCGCCGCAGCCGACGCTCACTCGTCGCCCCATTCCGCCGCCCTCAACTCTAACGTCTTCTCCCGAGCTATACGGCCCTGACCGCAGCCAGATTTTCACACGCCTCCTCTCGCGTCGCGCGACGACTCAGCCGGCGAGGAGTCTACCGCAAGTACGATTCGACGAAGTACAGCTGCCCATGTTTGCCGGAATTGGAGGGCCGCCGCCCATGGCTGGGCTCAAGGACGAGCTTGCTCTCGCCGCTGGAAAAGTGACGCCTGGAGTAGACGACACGCCGTATATCCAGTACGCCTTGTCGGCATTGACCCGGGATCGCAGCAGTGACTTCCAGGCGCAACCTCACTCCTCACCACAAACTGCTTCGGCCTACTTCAACCATCTACGCCGCACCAACACCGTTGCCGAAGCCCCATCCCGTCACCTGCCAGTCGTTGCCCAAGAACCAGCTTACACGCAGGTTGATGCTCCCCTGCGACAAATCACCCCACCCCCAGAGGCTTTCCCAACAGCACCTCCTCCAGTTCTCGAGGCACACGACTCCCCTGTTGCCTCTATTCCCATCGGAGACGCGTGGGGAGTCAAGGACCCTTTGAGTACACACTGGGTTGCCGTCACCGAGGACATGCGACAAAGTCTCGATCCGCATGGGCGCACCTATCCACCCCTCACCTACAAGCCGTCAATTTTGCGGCCGTTTTCAATGATGATTTTAATGACCTTATGCTTATGCATGATGGCAGCGATGATATTTTGTGTACAATACTCTTCTCGTCACCACGGGTTAACGCCGTACCCAGGAAGCATATACACGGCGCAGTTTTTTGTTTTCCGCATCCTACCCCAGCTTCTCGGAGCTATCATTCTCATCTACGCGCAGAGCATTGTCAATACGTCCCTGCGGGTTCTGCCCTTTGTGGCCCTCGCCGACGAGGATCCCCAGCAGCGATACCTGGCGCTGTTCGCGGATCTTTACCCCAAGTCGCTACTGTACCCCCAAGTTGTTGGCCCTTGGCAAGTCATGTTGTTCGACATTGCAACATGGCTCGCCCTGTTTACAGTACCGCTGCTTAGCGCATCCTTTACTTGCATTTACCAGAGCGATGGCTGGGTTTGGGCCCCAGTTCCTGTTGTCGTCTGGATTCTCGTGGCATTTTACGGCCTACTAGTTTCGTCAACGATACTCGTCATGGTATTCTGGTTTGGCAAGTGGACAGGATTCGCATGGGACGTTCGGTCCATTGCAGATCTCTTGCCACTTCTGAACCGCAGCAATGCGATTTCCAGCTTTGATCCGCAGAGCTTGTCCGGTGCGCGAGACGACTTCCAGACGGACCTTCGGGATCGATGGTTTGACAGATTGGGATACTGGAGATCCAGCGACATGATTACGGGGGGTATTTGGTACTCCATTGGTGCTGTGGGTGCAAGAGGCAACGATGTCAAGCAAATCGCAGGCATGCGTCGGAACAGCGGCCCCAAGGTATCCATGGACTCAGACTCGACCGCTGCGCCAGGAAACTGGCGTCGCGCCTACGAACGCTACCTCCCTTTCTGCATCCAGTCGTTACCACTCATCCTATATACGGTTCTGTGCACGCTTCTCGTGATTGCGCTACTCATTGCGTCATTTCTGCCCCAAACCCGCCTCGATGACGGTTTCCATCCTCTCTTGGCGGCGCGCCCAGGCAACGGCGCCTTTTCTGCCGCCAACTTTTTATACTCCTTTCTCCCTTCGGCCATTGGCATGCTTTTCTGGATGCTCTTCCAGCCCATTGACATGGCCTTTCGGCGGCTCCAGCCGTGGGCCGACATGGGCCGGCTCGACGGCGCACCGGCCTCCCGGTCCCTGCTGGCCGACTACGCCGCCTGCCTCCCGCTGCAGGCGACGTGGCGGGCGGCCCGCAACGGGCACTGGCGTGTCGCGCTGCTATCCATCATGGCGCCGGCCTTTGTCGCTATTCCCGTGCTGGCTGGCGGCGTCTTCATGGCGTTCGCGCGCAACGACGGCCAGGTCCGCATGTATCCCAGCATGCCCGTATTTGGCGTGCTCGTCGCATTCCTCCTCCTCTACGTGGGCTGCCTGGCGCTGGCCGTGCCCCGCCGTGCCCAGTTTGAGCTGCCCCGCCCGGTGACGTCGATTGCGGCCCTCATGAGCCTGTGCTCGGCCCGCGAGCTCACCCAGGACAGCGCGTTCCGCTCCGTCCGGTCGCGCCAGGACCTCGAGGGCCGCCTCGGCGTCGGCCGTGATCTGCGCGGGGAGACGGTGTGGTTCTATGGCGTGGTGCCCGGTCGCGACGAGCATCGCGTGAGTGTCCGGCGCATGCAGCGCTACACGGAGAAGCCCAGGGTGCGCACTGTGGAAGCCATGGTGTGAGAGACTCGAGATTTGAGAGTATCAAACGATTGAAACGAGTACATATAATGTTCCTACGACACGACATGTCCGCCACGATGGCGGACCACTCACTGTTCCGCGATGATGACAAAACGTATATATACAACCCGATCACCTCGTGTGGTTTGTATGTTCATAGATTATGATGATGTTGAGGCAGGGACGATGATGATACTTGGAATGTTTTGTTATGATACGATCACGTTGTACATGTTTGAACGAGAAGGCGGGAATGATGGAAAAAAACAGCAAGACGCTAGCACATGTTTGGGTATTGTTGAGGGCCGATTTGGTTCACGTGGAGTTTTGCTGTTTTGGGGATTTTGTATATTTTTCTTTGGGGAGTATTTGTGGGCGTTATACGTGGAGGATGCATTCTCGCATATTTTTCTGGATAGACGGAGTTTTCATGGGCAGAGATGAGGATTTGCATTCCGCCCCGACCACCTCTTTGAGGGTAAGTCGAGGCTCAACTGAGTATTTTGCGATTTTTGCCTTTTTTGTCTTTCAAGAAAGAAACCTCCCTGATATCCCTTTCGTGACTTGTACGGTGTACCCTCGGCCATTTTTCTGCCAGCGCCTCTGGAGCGGCGGACGTACGACGGAGAACACAACAGGCATGCCACACACAACAAGAACTGGAATGTGTATAAGTCGTAGACAAGCAAGCACAGCCTGGTAGAAAGTGGGTTCAGATGAGAAAAAAAACCAAACCAGCTGAGACATAGCAGCTGTCACGGGGAAAAAAAGCTGCCACAGTCACAACGTCCTTCAGCCTGCCCGACCCGCGGAAGCTGAGTTTGGTGGCGCAGAGGGACCGCACAGAGGCGGAGGGAAATGTTGACATGACGCGGGGGGCTTGGTGTGTCATCTCTTCACTCTCTCTACTCAGTACAGGATGGGCGGGTGAGGCTGACTGCATGTCTTGCTGGAGAAGCTGTTCATGTCACGGGAGCCGTGCAAACTGCAGCCACTACCGCAGCACAAGTAAGTTGGGACAGGATACGTCTACAGAGCAAAAGGAGGCGATTTTTTCATCGATGGAGCTTTTGGCAAGGGAGGCTTCATAACTAGTTTCCACGTCCCAGGAAGCCGGGATGGCGGGCATGGAAAAAAAACCGAGGCGGGGTACGTCAAGAATCTGCATCGTTCGTTTTTGCCAGAATGTTATTGTCAAGAGATATTCTCTGCCCGCCGAGGGCAGAATCATTTGTTTGTTTTCTCCCCATACACCCCCTACATCACACACTCCCAACTAGCGTTGTAGAGACCACCACGAACTGGAATGCGGCCCGCCATTCTTGGCATACCCGACTATTTACCCGAAAATCTTGGTAGTTACTGCCTGCTGTGTTGTTTGGATTTCTTCCCCACTGGCTGTTTTTGTGTTTATTTGTTCTTGGTCGCTCACTCTTGCGCGAAAACACGACAGGGTGTCTAGTTAGCCAAGACCTCATTCGCGCAATTCGCACTGAAGCTTCACTGATGAGATTTGCAACATTGTGGACGCAGAATGATTATTTTTAAAACAGCCTTCAAGTTAAAATCGTGGTATAAATGAGCGTGAGATGTATTCATCAACAGTAAAGAAAAGCTCAGGTCGAGAGCGAGACGTTGTGCGCGAGGTCGCGTGTAAGTCGTTTTTTTGTCATCAAAAGGATACAGCAGTCTTTTTGTCTGCAAAGCGCAGCACAAATCAAGTAAAGAAAATCGGCGCCTAATAATGCCCAAGTCCCAAATCGTTAAAAATGAATGTCGTTAAAAATAGAGAGTGACGCAAATTCTGGTTGTTGGTCAATGTTGCTGTTGTTCCCGTTGGTCGGTTATTCGGTAGCGTATCATAGGAAAGTCTCGAGACCCTTTTCAGCCATGGCCTCTTCATCGGCTGCGGCGTCCCAGCATACGTCCAAACACGTCCACTCTGCGCTCTCGCTCCGCTGAGGGCGACTTTGTCGGGAATGGGGCTGGAATTGTGTCTGCGCGGTTGCGACCCTTGCGAAGGACCGCGGCATTCTGGGCTGTCGCCGAGGCCTTGTAGCTCTTATCACTGCTGGAGCGCTTGTGGAACCGAAAGAAGGAAATTCCCCCAGACTCTTCGCAATCCGAGTCATGCTCGAAAACCGAATGGGGTTCTGTTGCTTGCTGCTGGGTCTGTAGTTGCTGTTGTTCCTTCAGTTGCTGTTGTAGTTGCTGCTGGCGCTGCTGTTGACGGGCGGCGCCGAGATAGGTGGTGGACTTGTAGTGGCGCGGTCCGTGATGAATGTCATGGGTGGCGGGGGCTTTGGTCAGATCTTCAGACGAGCGTGATGCGACTCTGTGAATGCCAAAGACGTTGCTGCGGCTTCGGGTGTGTCCGTCCGTAGACTTCTTGGGACGATGTGTTGTTCCCGAGGAAGTCTTGGGCCGTACGTCTGTGTTGTGTTGCATTGCGGGGGCAGTCGCAGTCAGGACAGCCAGGGACCGACCCGGCTGCCTCAGACAAGGAGTGAGAAGAGCCTCGGGGCGTCGAGGTCGTGGTGGCGGGGTGCAAGGACTGGGAACGGTGTTTGTGACGGGGCTTCTCGGGGACAAGGGCGCGGGCACAAGACTTGATGGATGCGGGACGGGTTTGAGACTGGGGAATGCAGAGTATGTTGCAGAAGTCTTGCGGGTGTTGGTCGAACTGCTGCGTAGAGGCCATGATACGCCATTAGCCTCGACGGACTTTTGAGATGTCTGCCTCGTGTGTTGTCGGGAGGGGGCCGGAGCTGGGTGTTCTTCTTCGCGCAGATGACGGGGTTTGAGTTGCGTGTCTTCCAGGCGCCATTCGCCCCCAGCTTTCCAGAAGCTATCCCATAGCTCGGTGGAGTGCGAGTGTAACTGGTAGTCGTCCTCCTGCGATACTTCAGAGTCGGTACGGTCGTCGATGAGGCCGGGTGCGGAGCCATCGGAGCCGACAGAACATCTATCGAGGTTGTTGTTGGTCGGGTTTGTCGGGCTGGCTGGCGAGGGGTAGGAGTAGTTGGCCACTGGGTAGTATTTTGACACGAGCTTGATCTCGGCCAATTTGCTGTGACGGTCCATGATCCGCATTGTGTCTGTGTGTTGCTAACTCGGAGCAGAATAGTGCTGAGCAATATCTGGTTGCTGTCGATTTAGATAGATCCTATGAGTCCAGAGTTGGAGTGAACTCTCATAGTGTAGGGAAGTTGCTCGTGTAAAGCGGATGTAAGGGAATGGTGTGGCATGGAGCAGAGGGTATGATATAGCAAAACAAGCTCCCTCCCGGGACACACATATACTACCAGATCGAGAAAAACAAGAACCTAGTTACTGGTAAGAGGAACCCTGCATAAGACACTGTCCGTGGGGCGCATACTGCGGCACGGGAGGGTGTGGGGTGAGGCGTGTGAGCTGAGGAGGAACGACCCTTTGCATTCCCACCCCCTTGGCAAGAGACATGGCATTCCTGCGTCGGCCGGCGTTGTGGCAGAGGCTGCAGATCCCAGCCGTACCAGTATACGCAAGCTCATAGCAGCAGGCTTGTGGACGCTTGGCTCCGATCTGGATTGGCCGGTGAAGCAATGTTGCAGGCTGGGCGGGGAGGTCTTGGTCTTGTAAGTCGTTGGGTGGTGTGGCCACTGATCACCACACGAGGCTCAAAAAGGAACACTTCATGAAAATCGAACTGGTATTCTGCTCAGCCTGGTGGTCATACTTTTGCCACCGCGCACTGCATCGTGTCCCATCATGACTGTGAGCTGTATGCTGACTGTAGTAGCGATGGCCGAGTTGACGACGACTCCATCAGGTAGATTGGCAACGGCTAGGTCTGTGAGAAGGTGAGCTGCATGACACACACAATAGACTACGCAAGGCACAGTCAGTTGAGTGTATGACAGCCCTGTATCCAGTCATCGGTTCGTGTACCTGCTTGGCTGCGGCCCGCGCCTGTGAGAGAAGTCTGCAGGCACGAAAAGTGCAGACTGGAGTACCCCGCGCAGGTTTCTTTTGCCCTTTTTTTTTAACCTTTTTGCTTCTGCATTCGCCATTGATCCCTTCTTCCCCTCTCTTTACCACGCCATTGCCAGCAGGAATTGGCCGATTATCGACTCGCGCACCCGAGGGGTCGTGCCACACCCCCCCTCCTTTGGCTGTTGCATTGGCGGATCGCAAGGGAAACGGCAACGCCGTTCGCAAGGGAAGCAGAGGAAGAAGAGTGGAAACTCCCATACGCAGTAACTACAGAGTTCAACAACTGGTTCGATCAAGCAACTAGATGGAGAATGTCACCGGGGCGGTGCCGCATTGTCGGGACAAGACGAAAAAGCAAAATGCAGGGCGACCTAAAAAGAAAAAGAAAGCATGCAAGCAGGGGCAGGAGCCACTTGGTGGCTGCAGGGCGGGAAAAAGAAGGCGCGACGGCGCGCGCCCGTGACATGACGGGGTACAGAGTTTGAACCTACGTTGAATAGTCCTCTTTTGTAGCGACTCTGTACATTTTTGAACAATGCTTCTCCCTTTCTTGTCTAATCGGCATGTTACGCTACTGGTTACTGGTTGGATAGGACGGCGCCAGCTTGCGTCCTTGTCGGTTCGACGCAAGGGAGGCAAGGGAGTTGGCAAGAGGGGTCCGTTGTGGTTCATGGCCCATAACTAGCTACCTAGTTATGTTACTTCTTCCTTTTTTGCGCATGCTATTAACCAGGTGCGCCCGTATCATTCATGCAAAAAAAAACGAAATGTGATATCGTCTACAGATCCAGAATCTAGAAAAAAAAAATCGCCTCGTTTTTGCTAGCAGAGAGAAAGAAAAAGCCATCAATGCCCTCCAAGCTTGGCATCTAATATCGTGTCTATAGCAACAACGACGGCGTATAAGAGAGCATGGGCCGACTGCGCGACAGCGGGAAGTGACGAGTGATAGATCATCCCTACTAAAGTGACTTATAAAGGCTCAGGCCCCACGGTTCAATGCCAGACATGCAAAAGTCGACGACCTCTCGTGCGAGGCTGGCCCTTGCCGCGATGGTTCCTGGCACCGTGGCAACAGTTGTCTCTTGCAAAGCGAGGCGTGTACGTGGATAGTGGCATCCAGCGTATATCTTGGCTCGCCTGCGAATCGGATCTTTGTATTCCGGTACGAGGCAATTACTTGCACCACCCGCTGTGCTTTGGTTTTGCGTGCCTGGCTCGAGTTTGTTCCCCTGATATGCTGCACCGAAGCTCCTGCTTATACGAAACGCCCAGTGCATAAGCACATCGCAGCTGTTCCCCATCTCTTTCCATTGTGGCCAATTTTCTTTGAGCTTTTCTTACTGCCCAACGTAGATCTTCATTGTAGCAACCATGGCTACGAATCGAGTCTCGCGCGGTCCCGAGGTCCGCGCTGTCACCAAGTTCGATGGCGAATCGGTGAAGCTGCATCTACATTTGCATGCACCCATTCCACCGCTTGGGGCAGTTCTTGCAGTAGCTACACAGGCTTTCCAAACATTGCATCCAGAAAAGGCATGCTTGAATCAAATATAATCGCTCTCGGGACCCCTCCTGTTCTTCTTTGCCAGATCAATTCCAGTATTCCTCGGGGACCATGTGCATAACAATCGCCATTTGACCGCCACCTTCAAACATGTCAACTACTTAATAAGCCAGTCTTATTCCGCATAGTGTGACCAATGAAAAACTCGTCTTAGTAGTGCGTCATCGATCGAGCCCAATTCTTGTCTCTGACCCAACGCACCTCGCCCCAGGTCTCGAGCGCTGATCCAGCTCTATCGGTCAGAGTGTCTAACTCGGCGAAACCCCAACCGCCTTCACATCTCACTTTTTTTCCCTATGCAAAACTGCCTTGGTGGCTTCCTCTCTTGTCTCTTCCCGCAGCGTATAGTATACAATTTGTTTCGGAAGCTGATTTTGACGCAGGTTCTGCGTCTAGACGCCGTCTCCGATCCCCCACCAGTAGGTGGCGTCGGAAAACCGTGATCCAGTGTGCGCAAGTATTGAATCCCCGACAGTGAGCTTCTTCTAGATTGGGCACAGAAACGACAAGCTACTTGGTACCCGGGCCGAGACTGTGTTCCCTGCTCCCATGTCGGGTTGTTGCTCGCATGTCGGTCATTGAGTTGGGCAGCTGTGCGGCAGCCGTGGGAGTCATCGTCCCGTGTCCCATGTTGCAGCGGACCAGAAACGGGATAGAGAGTCGAAATAACGTCCGAGCGATGTGCATTGTCGATCTACGGTGGTGGTGTTTTTTTTTCTTTTTTTCCATTTTCCTTTTCTCGGCAAGGACAAGCGTTGGTATCACAGTCGCAACGCTACTGTCGATGCACCGGCGCCTGACTGACTGAACAATGTGCTGGAAGCGCTTGCAGCTCCGGGGCATGGCCGTGCGCTGCATATGCAGCACTGTATATCGAGATTTATGCTGATTGCTTGCCCTTGCATATTGCCGATTTTGGTGTGGACGGTGTCTTGAGAAGGAGGCTTTATGCGCGCCAGTATAATTGCATATTTGGCCGTATTCACAGCTGGACAGCGCTACTGTAGGAGAGCCTACGCTGCTCTCACGACAAGCTTCAGTCGCAAGAATTTAGATACATAATTTTCAGCAAATGGGGACGCTTCGTTAGTTTCGTCCAAGCCGTTGGCTGTGTGATCTGGCCAGTTGTGGCGGATTTGTGTAAGGCGGTGACCCAGGCTGCATACAAAATTGACTTGGCAATAGGAAAGACAGCCGCTACAAGGCCAAAAGACATTCTAACGACGAAAAGTTCGTTCAGCGCGATAATTTGTCCCAGTTACTCAAATGGAATAATATTAATCTCCACAGGATGCAATCTGAGGCAAAGATGACTGACTCTTTTATATGTAGCTACAGGGTAAGTCGGCTCAAGTCGCTGCCTCGCCTATCAGGCGCCACTTGTGCATTCGCGCGCCCCACCAAATTGGTGACTCCAGTATCAAAATTTCAGACGCTCAGCCTTTTTCCCTTCTCTTCTCTTCTTTCCTCAACCAAGTCCCTAACGCCCTCTAGACAATGTTGCGCTTCCATGCTTCCAAACAGAGATTTCTGCTTCACCGCACAAATCTCAAATCTTTCCTGGCATGCGAGAAATTCGGAGTACTCTCAAACACCACCGCAGTCGCCTGCCTTGTTTGCGGGTGGACGGGTCGACCCGTGAGGGTTCGGCGTCACTCGACGCTCGTGGCTGGCATCAGAAATAGCAGAGCCCAGTTGGCTGTCTCATGGATACTCCCGCCTTCCTCACGGGGGGGTGCGGGCTGGAAGATGAGGCTAGACCTGGTGTCTCTTTGGGAAGCCGTCACAGAGATTGTACACAGTACTTGAGTGCGATGCGCAACTTGGTCTTGCTCGCGTACCCCTCTCTCGCTCTCGGGCTTGAAAAGGAACGCGGGGCCAAAATTCGATTCCGATTATCCTGTCTAGAGGGCTGCTGGGGCTTGGTTCACCTCTTTTTTCCCCATGGTACGTTGTTGGTCTCTTTCGCAAGGCGCTGGTTCAAGGATACTGCTAACGCTGGTCCTGGCATTCCTCAACATGTTACATCTAGTTATCGACCCCGCAAAAGCTGTCAGCCAAGCCTGTCTTTGATTCGGTCTTGGTTTCTCCGTCGTAGATTCAGTTGTCCGATGTTCCAATGTGGAAGTAAACGCGACATGTTTCCACATTCGCCATTCCAGCAATTGTAAACTGTAGATGCCAAAATGACCACGACCGCGCCTCTCACTTCCTCAATTCTGGAACAAATATTCGAACTTGGTACTCTTACGAGCCTTCCCGATCAGTACTGTACGGACAGGCGACGGAGAGATGAACAGCAGAGCTGTAGCGAGAATCGCTGGACAAATTCATGTGAGCCGTGCAGCATGTAGGACTGGTGAACGGGCAAGTTCATATTCCTGCCCCGTTTCTCGAATGCGGTACAACATTTACCGCACTCGCGGTCTAATACGAAGCGTACGCATTTACACCCGTTCCTTCGAGACCAAAGTCGTTTGTTCTTGTCGCTGTTTTGAAGCAGCATCTATTTGGATCACATCACAGTGGGCAGTGGAAGTTGACCGTTCGAATACGCAGAACGAGCCAGTCAATCGCTAACCGGGCTCACAACTGGCTCATTCTGATCATCTAGCCTTTCTCCTGTGTCTGCAGGGTGTGCAATTTTGCATCCATGTCAATCGCGGGAGACTGGAAAGCGATCCCTTGACACTAATCGACACACCACCTCCACTACGAATGATTCCCAATGTCACCCATCGTGCTGTGCTTTCCAAGCTCTTAACCCCTCACAAGAGGCATGCTCTTTTCGCGCTGTACTGCCGGACCTGACGCGAGCCGTGATGTGGTGGGGGCCGATTCAGCATGTCTCACTTGTACAGGACGAAAAGCGCGACTCAGACGCGTTTCTGAGGACAACACTCGGTAACGATCCTGCCGCCTGGAGGCTCTCCCCCTCCACTCGCTTCTCGGCAGGTTTGAGCCCGATCGGTCCCATGTTGCATGAATACCCCATCTAGTCATGGTTCTCCCAAGACTATGTCTTATTCGGCGAAACTTTGACTGCGATAAATGTATAGCCACTTGAAGAGAAAAAAATCCCATAGTGTATCTGGTATTGGATGGCAACTGCGCTGAGAGCGGCATCTTTGTGCATGCCAAGTTTTTTGGAGAGTCCACGAGACGATGTGCGTGGAAGAACGTGCACCTTGGCTTCAATTTTATGAGCGAGTTCGGTATTAGTCGGCGACGGGGATTAACCTGCCACTAGAAGGGATATACCTTCCTCGTTCCTAGTACAGCTTTGAATAATAGATATAAGTACAGTTGCTCGGTTCACCAATTTATTGATGAATGTTTGCGGATGCAGCCCTGGCTGACAATTGAGGGCTGACACGGTTGTAATCGGAAAGGTCTGGCATTCTACCCCCGCAACTGGCGCAGGAAATCAATCATGGGCGAAACGAATAAAGCAAGCCCAAATGTGTTGAACCTCTTTTGAAGGGGAAAATAGCTAGCCACAGCCCAGCGCTGCCCAACCTACGTGTTAGGAAGCCCTTGTTGGGCGGGAGAGCCGCCCGGTTCCAGAAATGGCGCCCGATGGCGTCAGAGGTCTTTATCAGCGTGTTGCTTCTTTAACCCTTCTCGAGGTATAGCCGTGGCGATTGGATGTTGAAAAAGGTTGGGTAAAGGTAAGACTGCGTACCGGCGGACTACATTCAAAGAGATGTAGCATCTGGGTGATGGATGCGTGCTGGGTCGAGTTTACACGGTCTGGGCGCATCAGACAATTGAAATGGGTACTGAAGGGAGTAACTTAGTCTGGTCGATCGCGCTTGTGGCTATCTTCCGAGGAATGTCGTCTGAGAGTAATGCAAACTAAATTACCTGACGAAGCGTACGACATGGCTGATCCATGCGTTTCAATCTCGATTCCCATCTCTCGTCCAAACGGCTGGGATGGAGCATCGAAGCCCGTGACGAGTGGCGCCCGCACACAATGCCTAGGTCTCCACCAGCTTGGGGCCGAGCGAGACAGGGTCTATTTGAGGTCCGAGAGACGATCGGGCTCGTCTTGCGCCGCGTGGAGAGGTCAAACGTCGGCATCGGGTTCTCATGGAATCGCCGGGCACATGAATCGAGTATACACGCGCACGTCCTATCTGGTGGCCGAGTGTGTCGCATGTTGGATGCTGAGATGTTTGATAGGGAAGTGCGGTGTGTGTTCAGACAGCCGAGTAGGAGTTGACTGTGGTGGAAAGGATCAGGCAGCCGAGTAGTTGAATGTGGTGGAAAGGAGAGAAGTTGAGGACACGGATGAATACAGGAGGTGTGTCTCATGACTGTACCTTAGGCCTGGTAATATTTGCCTGTCGATGAAGCCGACAATCCGATGTACTTTCTTGTTTGCTTGATGGGCATGGTGTTGAAGAAGAGTCCATGTCTGTCGACGGACAGCAATCGTGGAGTGGGTACCTGCTTTGGTTGGTACCCAGGTACCAGGTACCGTACCAGCACTGAAGGCACTGCACCGCCGCACTACAGAGCAAGATCGTGCCACGATAACTACTAACTATTCCTGGCTACTATAATTCCTTTTTCAGACGTATTTTTTTTCTTTGTTCTAGACTGGCAATTTCCGCGACGTGGTAGCAAGTTGTGGCGCAGGCCGATACTGTGACAGCCACATAATAATACTCCGCGATAGGTACCTGCCTCAATAGGTACAAAGTACAAATTACTCCGTACCTTGGTTGCGCCACGGCACCAGCCAGCGCACCATCAGACAGGCAACCAGCCACCCGATTTTTTGCTCACCAGTTGGGCCAACGCCATCAGCCTGGGCCTCATCCACTCCCGTCTTTCCATTTCCTAGCCACCATCTTTTTTTTCCTTGACTTTCTCCTGCCACCGCTTCTCTCCTACTTCCGTACTCACTGCTTAAGGAGACCCCCCATGAAGGCTCCATTGTCCTCGGCCGCGCTCAAACAACCGCTCGAGACCCTGTCTCGCCCACGACGCCATCTTCTTTCTACTCTCTCCCATCTTGTCCTCTTCCATCCAGGAGTTGCCCTTGCGACAAACAGAGCACACTAGACGGGCACCGTTCCCACCCCGTGTTACCTCGCCAATTTATCGTCTCGCTCCCTTCTCGCCTGTTCTAGCTACCGCCGAGTGGCTCGCTGCCGCATTCCAGCCTCCCATCTCCGGACGACGACTCTCCGCATTGCTTCGACACTCCATTGCACCTCGTTGCCAGCCATTAGACCGGCCGGATAAGCTCTTGCGCATCCATTGCTTGCGTCTTGTTATTGTCGCAAGCTCTCTCCAGCGCCACCGGTATCAGCGCTGCGTCTAACCCTGCGCCTTCGCTACTCCTTGTCCCATCACCGGCTCCCGTGAGTCGGTGGTGCTCCGTCCACAATTCCCACTCCACGCGGCGCCGGACACTTGCGCAGTCCTCGCCCGAGTGGTTCTGGCTTTGACGACAGTCAATACCCGTCCGCGCCCCAGCCGCGTCCCCAGCAACGCCAACAAGCCCAGTCAGACCCGTCCGACAAGGTCTCCTCGCTCTCCTCGCCCCCCCCGAGTCGAAAAACAGCATCGCCGCTCCAGACACCGTCGTCGCCTCGCACCGAGCGCCCAACACCCACTGCTGCCGAATCCATTGGCCGCACCCACAGCGCTGTCTCCGCGTTCAGTGAACCCCAGCCGCCGTCGCCAGTCTCGGCGCTCGAGACCTCCCACAGCTCCGCACGCCGCCGCTCTGCCGCTCGCCGATACCGCCAGCTCTCGCAGCAGAACTTGACTGAAACAGACGACGCCTCGACAACGCAACCTGACCCCGACGGCTTCCCACCGGCATACTCTTCACATCATCGTGGCTCCTCCAAAGCGCACCCCGTCGTACGAGTCTCCAAGCGCACGCACAGCGCAATTCTCTACGCACTCGAGGAGGCCTTGCGCTATCCTAACCCCTTTACCCCAGACGTAGTTGAGGAATCTGCTGACATGGCCGACTTAATGGCCGCCGGTGGAGGCGCGATTCCCGCTTCGCACAGGGGTGTTGCACCGCCAATGTCCAGCGCCGCCCCTCCGCGTCCCAGTGCTGCTCCTGTCCCTACTAGCTCCCCGTCTGGCATTCGCGGACCCCGCATGATCATGATGGAGCGAGCTGCGAGGGAAGCGAGGCGTGAAGCTGCAGAGAGGCAGCGAACCGAACAAGCCCGCGCGGATGAAGAAGCACGCCAATTGGAAGAGATGCGCCGACGAAACTCAGAGCGACAGTCAGCTGCCGTTACCGACAGGCAAAACCCAAGCATTGCACAACAACAACAAGCAGCCGAAGCTGCTACTCAACGCCAATCTCACGCCTCGCAAGAGCGAGCCCAAGCTCATCAAAGGATACCTAGCCACACACAACCGGCACAGCCGCCTCCACCAGCGACCGCCGCACCTCAGCAGCCGCCATCGCAAGCATACCTTTCCCAAGGCTCCGCTGCGCAACAGCGGCGCGCGTCCGAGTCCCGGCCGACGGAGCCTGCGCCCGCGGCGACTGAGCCTGCCAAGCCACGCAACTCCTTTCCCCATGCCTTTGAACGATGGGAAACGCTTTCGGCGCATTGGGAGGGCCTCACCAGCTACTGGATCAGAAAACTCGAACAAAATAAGGACGATGTAAACAGGGACCCCCTCAGTCAGCAGCTCGCTCGTCAAGTGACGGACCTGTCTGCGGCTGGTGCCAACCTATTCCATGCGGTCGTCGAATTGCAACGTCTACGAGCCAGCTCCGAACGCAAATTTCAGCGATGGTTTTTCGAAACGCGCTCTGAACTAGAGCGTGCCCAAGAAGTAAACGCACTTCTGGAAAAGGCACTCGAAAAGGAACGACGAGAACGAGCAGAAGCCATTCGCGATGCAGTTGATAACGAACGGGGCGTCTCTAAGACACAAAGGCAGCTTCAAGAAATGCGCAAAGAGCTAGCAATTTCGAAAGAGGAAGCGCGTCGCGCATGGGAGGAACTCGGCCGTCGCGAGCAAGAAGAACGTGATCGCACGAGCTCTTTGCAGGCTGGTCATCCAACTATAGTTGGCGGTGTTCAGGTGGTTCCCATGACTCAAAATCCAACCACCAGACAACCAAGCTCCCGAGACGCAGGGACGTATCAAACTGCCGACGCAAGCCGCACGCCAACTGAGCACCACTCTGCAGCTGCCCCCGGCAGTACCAGTGGCTACTACGCTCACGCCGAGAGCTCCGGTAGTGGCCAACGCGGGCCAACCTCGGCGCCGCGAGAGGAGGTCGACTACCTCGAGAGCGAATATGTTCTGGACGCACAGGGACAGCCGATCCTCGACGTGCACGGCAAGAAAATCCCCTATCAGGCGGCACCCTCCACCTACTCAGGCTCGGAGCAGGAAGCAGAAGAGTACGAGACCCCCGCCACCACCAACCCGCCGAGCGGCAGCCACGAGTCGCCAGCCTCTGGCGCGCCGGGAGGCGGCGGCCACAACGATAACGGTCAGTGGACAGGCGCTTACTCCAACCCACAGGACTACTCGGGCGAGGGCTACGGCGCGCCAGGCTGGGAGACGGTACAACGACACCACCACCCTACGCGACTGAGTGACGTGATTGAGGAAGACGAGCGAAGCCGCGCGAGCACGAGCCAGATAGGCCGAGTCTAGGAGTCGGGTTAATTGTCTTTTTTCGTCAAAAATCTTACTTGCTTTCGCGCTAGACAAAAAGGGAGGGATGAGTACTTTTTCTTGTTTTATACTGTGGCGATTTTCTTCTTTTCAGTTTTGCATCATAGCAACAGCCCACGACTAATCGACGACGACTACTCATACACACACACACACACACACACACACAAACACCTCACTTCGCATCTTTTCGGTCTTGACGATGGCGTTGGTATTTTGCATGAAGATGGTTCGTTTGTTTTTTTCCTTTCGGTCTTCTTTCAACTCTCCTTGTTTGTTTTCACCAGAAGCGCTTTGGTCGAGCTAGCTGGTGTGTGTCTATCGCAAACCGCCACGACGACTCTTACGACATACTTGACATATATGCAATTGTGTGTGTATTTTTTTTTTCGATTTGTCATTCTTTGCCTTGTTTACATATTCTTCTCGTTATTTACTCGAACTTATACCTCTTTTCTTCTCATGAGGAAGTGGGTAGGGTGTGGACATATACCTTTCACTTAACAAGACAATACAACGAGCTGTTTATATCTGCCCCAGCGCACTTGGACATGAGACAGCGCCTTGATGTGATTCTAACCAGTCCGCCTCTACGCCAACATCTGCTTCGGTTTGCCCATTGCTACTAATAACCCCGCAACCGTGCTCGAATACGGAGCGGAGACTGGCCCGCCTGCCGAGGCTTGAATCGCGGGTGTCTCGCTAGCTCCACTGTAGCTTGGAAGCTGCGTCAACCTGTTTAAGCACCACTCCACCACCAGGAGCTGTCGTTTACCAGCTTCTCTACAGTCATCCACGCTCAATTAGCCACAGGTTTTTATTTTTCCGGACTCTCATAACCGCATGATTTCAGGCTCATACGCTTTTCCTCTTGCTCCAAAAACCTCTGCCGCCCCGCCTTTAAGAGCCCGCAGTTACCCGAGGCGGCCGCCCTCAAGTTACGATCGGAAAGCCGGCGTCGCCCATTGGCCCGCCCCAACGGCCGTTTTATTCGCCATTGCGGAATACATCGTCGTCAATTCTGCTTAGGGCTTGAGACGCGAAATATGGAAAGGCTGCCGCAGTTCAACGACGTCGCTGTTGCGGACCGCGTTCAGGCAGAGCGGCGCCGCTTCCTTGCCAGCTTCAAAGACGGCGACGTGTTGCGCGTGGCGTCCTCGCATCACCCATCAAAGCAGCCCTGCCGCTTTTTTCAGCAGGCGATACCTGGGAGCTACAATATCTGCTACTTTGTCGAGTTTCCGGCGACGGGTGAGCGATGGACGGTCCGGATCCCGATCCGCCCGTGCCTTGCCCACGGTGGCCGGTCCAAGCTGGCGTCGGAAGTGACGACTATGAAGTACGTGTGCTTGACTCAAGTAGAATTGGATTGGAAAGCATCTAATACGGGTTAGATACCTGGAAGCACATACGGAGATCCCGATACCGACAGTCCGGGGATACAGCTTAGACGCCACAGACTCCCCCCTTTCGCGATACCTAATACTTGACTACGTCGAGGGCACGCTATTAAGTTCGGTCAATATCCAGCGTCTGGACAAGGAGAAGAGGAACCAACTATATGAATCGCTGGCCAAGGTTGTTCTCCAGCTCCGAAGACTTACGTTTCCATCCTTTGGCAGACTGTATCGCGCTGGCGGCAACGAGCTCCGTGTTTCCAACGACATCACTACTCAAGACATAAACACGCAAGAACTAGAAGGTCTTGATCCCCGTCGCATACAACAGGAGTGCTACGGCGAGCGTGACTTGCTACCAAATGCCTCACATTATACAGAAACCCTTATCCGCACGGCATACAATGGCTTCTTCAAAGGCGCCGACGGCGTCGACCCCGACATGATTGAGAGCAGCCTATACCATCTCGATCTCTTCCGCCAGCACGCCGCATTCTGGCTCGACCCTAAGATCTCGCCTGTGCAATTCGTCCTGAGCCACGGCGACTTTACACCCAACCACATCCTGGTCGACGAAAGCACCATGGCCATCACGGCGGTGCTGGACTGGGGATGGAGCCGGGTCGTACCCGTGCAGTACCTCATCCCGCCGCTGTGGCTGCAACACGCCGATGTACCCAAGCTCGCCTGGAAGCACGCCTACGACGGCTACGTATCCCGCGAGCTCGCCGCCTTCCTCGCCGTCGTCCGCGCCGAGGAGCGCCGCGCGTACCAGAGCAGCGCCCTCGCCGACCAGTGGGACCGGACCAAGCACGACGGCGGGTTCCTTATTGCGCACGCGCTCGAGCACAGGCACGACATGGACGCCGTCGCGTTCCGCTACCTCAACGCGCGCTACTACGGCGGCACGTCGGACCTCGACGGTCGCATGGCGCGCTTCCTCCAGGACGATCCGCTGCGAGGCCTGGTTATTGACATGAAGGCGCGCCAGGCCAGGGGCGGTGGGGCGGCGGAGTGCGTGCGGCCGACGCAGAGCAGCAGTAGCAGCATCGCCAGCCGGTTGTGGCCGGTCTCGTCGGCGCTGCAGGGCAGCATGATGCTGCTCTCCACCGGCGTGGGGTACGGACTGTGGCGGCTGGCTCTGGCGTCGGCGCGGCGGCCGCCTCGAATATAGTGTGATTTCTCTATTTGCGGTGTTGCGGCCCGACGACGGCAGGATTCGGCGACCACGATGACATAGTAGTGATGACGGGGCAAGGCCATTTGTGTATTGGCTTATCAACCACAACAAGTACAATAGTGGCCCCTTTGCAAGCAGTGCTTCTTGATTATGTCCTCGGTATAAACACAGATGCAATGAACTGTTGCAGTTGGGCTGTGCAAAGCAGGCTGGCTGAGCGGGGTCGGAGCTTACCTCTTGGTGACGAGAAGTATCCTCACCTTCTGAAAACAAGTTCAATACCTCTACTTGCTAAAATTTGTCCTTTGGTGGCTTGTACCAGCTCAATCATTTCGAAATGGCCAATGAAGTGAAGAACTACTTCCTAGCACCCAGCTGGGACTACTCACCCTCCTCTCAACCTTCCGATACAGTTTGCCTGTGGAATTTTGTCAGCAGCCCTACCAACATGGTGCCCCCTCTCGCTGCTGCGACTGCTAGGCCTACTACTTCTGATGTAGGAGAAACCACAAAGCAGGGATTCGAATGGCTCCGGGAGCGCAACAAGGAGAGCAAAATTGGTATCTGGACAAGGTTCCTCGCCACACTATTTCCAGGGCTCGACGTTGATGTCGGAATCCACGGCGCGAAGACGGCCCAGAACCACTTTACTTTTGAGACCATGGTCACCAAAGAGGCCTATCCGTCGGACGAGTACCTGCAACACATGGTGAGCCAGGGCCCGGTACGAAAATATCTGGAAAGGTTCGACTTCAAAAGACCAGTCTATGTTGTCGTGGGGACAAAGGAAGTCTCCAAAGCCAACGTGAAGCACGTGGCAACAAGAAGCTTGGGTGCAGACTTGAGGTTGAGCGCAGACCTGACCATGACGGGCACACTTACCTCTGTTACCTCTGTTGGTCCGGAGGCAAGCACCGCCCACAGCCGCAGAGACATGACTGGCTTTCAGGACTCTTCCGATTTCGTGTTTGCGTTTCGTCTTCGCAAGCTTGTGATTGACCCCCAGTTTAACATCAGCAGCTACGATGACGCAAAGGGGGGTGTGCTTGGCGACGATGCCGAGAATTCGAACAGGATCCCGATTGTGCGACTCGAAAAGACGGACAGTACAGCGCCTGCGGTCGGCGGACGGCAAGAGATAGTGGAGGAAGGCAATGAACAGGTTTCAGTCACGCTGCTGATTTAACCTGATGTTACTTCTTGGCCTTCTCCAACTTCATATTGGGAACAACACTTGCTTCAATTTCGCTTGCTTCGATTTGCTGGCAGGCGCTTCGGGCAACTGCAGGCTACCACGGCTACCTCTAAAGAACGAAGGAAAAAAACAAACAAACATATACTATCGCATTACTTTACCGTTCATCTACTTAGAGCTTTCCTGAAAATTTCCACAATCGCTTCGCGTGTATTCTCGTGGGGGCTGAAAAACCTTTCCAAGGCCATGTATTGGTATCGCGATGTCTGGTCAGCGAGGTCAGTGACGACCAGCGCTTGCAGTAACCTTTGCATCCCATCATACGTGTTTATCTTGAAGAAAAGGCTATCATGGTCTGGAACCATTCTAGGCACATTCACCAGGAGAAACGCCGCTGTACAGACGGCAATGGCTGTCGCATATGATGTGCCTGAGCGGCGTCGCGTGCAGCAGCTACTCCCGCCGGTTGTCAGCCACGCCGACTCGATATGCTCCCCTAGAGTACTGAGATTGGCATCGTTTTGCGGCGACGGATTGAAGTCCGACTTGATGCCTTTGGCGCTGGTGGAATGGATAGCAAACACGGAGCTGTTTTGAGCCGGAAACATTCGAGAACTGTTTAGCCCGTCATTTGAGGCTGCAGCAAACACCAATATGCTCTTCTCAGGATACACATTGCGTGTCATTCGGTTAATTTGATCTTCAATCTCCTTGATAGGTTTGGGGAAGCCAACGGATAGGTTGACCATGTCAACATCCCAAACATCCCTCGCGTAGCGGAGCGCCTGGACAAGTGTCAGCGGTGCAAACTCTTAGAAAGGTCTGCTGCGACTCACATCTGCAACCTCGCTAGCAAAATCACCTTCAAAATTTCCCGACTTGGTGACCCTAGCGACGTAAAGATCGATGTTTGGGTTCAGTTCAAGGAGCAAATTTGCGACAAAAGTGCCGTGACCGCACTCATCACCGCCATGGGGGGTTTCGACCCCTCGGCCTCCATCTACCCAAGACCGAATACTCTTGATACTGCCATCTGGGTATTCCCCATCAAAAAAATCATGTCCCATGTCAATGCCGGTATCCAACAAGGCAACTTTGACACGAGGGGCAGAAGCTGAGTATTCCTCATTGCACGCTCTGATCACTTTTTTAAACCCGTTTAGCCAGTCATCCGAGGCTCTGTGGCTGCTATTATAATCAGATATGATGGCGGCACGATGAAGGTAGTCGCTTTTCTTCTGATCTGACCCCATTGCTTCATCAATGGTGAAAAGCTCGATTTCATCCACCAGTCGATCTTTCGAGATCACCAAACGAGGTTCTGGGGGCTGTCTCCGGCCGCTCATCGAACTAGAAGAGTCGGGTGCTGGTCTTTGATTCAGTGTTTGGTTTTGTTCAACGCCTTTGCGACGAGGAAGCGAAGCTGCGAGATCGTTCCTAGAGTCCCAACTTTTAGGTGTGGTACTGGAAGTAACCTTCTTCAGCAGCGCTGCTTGTAGCGGGAGTACCACGTTGTTGTAAATTGCTTCCCGAAGAAGCTGGGAGTTGGTCATTCGCTCACTCTGGAGACAGAATTCGATTGCTCGGCGGTTGTGCTCCAAAGTAATCCCTGTATGTCCATTCCCGATCATGGTGTAAAAGGTAGTGTCGGCCTGAGCCCAACGCTCTAGAATAGTCTTAGCAGGCTCCAATTGCAAGAACTGTTCAATACGCTGCCCCAGCTCGAGTTCAAGCAACATCACACCCAATTCGAGAAGTTCGGGTACTTTTTCTCCTGTGGGTTTCATGAGGTTCTCCCGAGGAGTGTCCTTCATAGAAATCTTGAGCCAAGGCTTACAAGGAATGCGGGTACCAAATCGTGTGAATATGATATTGGCCTGTGTCCACCGGCCAGTGAGCCAGCCACTTTCGTAGTAATATGACAAAGCATGCGCCAACTGCAGTGCAATTTTCAACCTGTCTGTCTCGTTCCAATTGAATACATCAAGGCTATATTCCTCCTCGTGATATTCCGACGTTGAAACAATAGCGAACTTGTGTACGAGCCAGCGCTTGGAGCCCTCAAGTTCGAAATGCAGGAGATATGCCTTGAAAATTGGCGGCAGATCCTTTGTGTAAGTGTGTATACAATCACATGCAATCGCATTTCTCTTTCTCCACGAGTCTTCGATACGACGACTCGCAGCGTATGATCGGGTGTGAGATTGAACATGAGGAGCGACGAGCTTGTGAACTCGTGAAAACATCTTGTATATGACTAGACGAGAGGTCTTTTCGATGCGCTTGGTGAATCGTTTCGTCCTGGTAGACGTCCTGGTAGAGTAAGTACTTGGCTTTTGTCCGCATAGAGCTTCACCCACAAGTGACTAGCCTGCGAATGTAAGCGCAGAGATATCCAATAGTTTTGGTCGGCATTTTGGCTCTGGAACAAGATATCCAAGGATCGATCGTCATCCGCCGGTGGAGCAATCTCAAGGGTTCCTAGTCGCAGACGTATCTCTTGGCCTGGGTCGCATCCCTTCAAGAACGCGTCGAATGACCGATTGGCAAAAGCGTGAAGTTCATGATCATATGGAGCTGACGTATTCAAGAGTTCGAGGGGGTTGAGTCGAGCACCGATGGCGACGCAAGCAGCATCGATATCCGCTTTTAGACGTTTGCATGTTTCGGGCGATCGCAGAATGCTGCTGAATCGGGCGCTGTGTAACTTGAGACGCGGGAAACGGCGGTAATCAATATCACGTTGGACCTCCTGTTCGACGTATCAGAAACTGTGTTGCTCTTTGTGATGCATGTTTACCAGTTGCAACTCTCCCGCTTTTGTCAATAACAACTCAAGGCGGCCCGCTATACTTTTCACATCTTTGAAGACGCTCCGGAGGTTTCCTAACGAATCAATATTTTGTAGATAGAAAAGCAACACGGAGGCCTTGGTTTCCACATCACTCCATATGTCATGATAGGAATGACTATGGCGAAGCTCGGCGCTTATGGTTTGAATAGTGATCAGTCCGGTACAGATGGTATACGATATATCAAGGCAAAGTTCTGCATAGTTAATAATTGGCGTCATGATAAAAAAAAAGGGGGCAAGATGAATGCAAGCCAGAGGGTAACACCACTGTTATTGCGCTCTGCACAGAGCCGCACAAATTTGCACAGAGTGAAGGTCCGGTCGAAACTGTCGCAGTCAGGCGTGAGGCACAAATAACATCAAGACAGTATGCCAGAGAAGGCGGTCTGCATGCGCACCCTGCAAGCTGGGGCCGTAGTCAAGCCCCAGCCAGCCTAATTGTATTTGCGGAGAGCGATTTCTCCTCTACCCCTCGTTGCCCAATCTCAGTTCCGGCACTAACTGATCATTACGTCTCTGTTCCCAGAGATCCCACCAAACGTTGAACTGCAACATATCGAACACGCAAGATGATGATACATGATACTAGTAAGCCAGTGCGGTTTGTAGTTGGGCTATGCCTCGGTCAGTTCTTTTTTTATCTCTCAACATCAGCCAGCAGCTGTTGGGGAAGAGTGGCGAGACCAGCGCAGATGATCCACAGCATTATCACGGTCGGCTATCTAGTGCAAAGGAGCTATACCATACCTGGATTGTGAATACGTCTGCCCTGTGTTAAAGAATGGCGGCTATAGGAATTGATCGGCCATGTTACGAACCAGTATGTCGAATGGCCAGAGTTGCTTCAACAGCAAATAGCACCCCGAAAATGCGGCATTGAGTAGCCGAGACATGAGCTGGGCGAGACTTTGGTCAACAGCCCCATCGTTAGTCGTCTCTCAGGGAAAAACGTATCATTTTGAGGATCAAGTAGAAGGTTATTGCTAACCATTTTCTATCAATACATTTTTACTGTTCGTTGTATCTGTCATGGAAATGTGGTATTCCGTCAGTTAGCAAAGAAATGACTGCTGTTAATGAGACGTAAGGCTAGTCTCCGCTACTACGCACGAAACTTGTCCGGTGTGTCCGGCTGCTTCCTCCAGTCTGCCGCCTGAAAGGCCGGCATCGCCTTGAGGGTTTCATACAGCTTCTGGACTTGAGGCACAAACGACAAGTCCATCTTATACATGAAAGCTTGGTCAATAGTCGGCACCAGACAGACGTCGGCCATTGTCACCGCCTCGCCGACCGTAAAGGCGCCCGACGCGGCCTCCCCCCACGTCTCGGTGAGCAGCGCCTCGTACGCGCGAAACCCGTCGGCGAAGCATGCCTCGGCAAACGCGTGCTGGTCATCGCGCTCGCCGCGAACGGCCCTGACTCGCTCCGTGATGCGCGCGTTGGTCGGCGGCGCGACGTCGGTGGTGATGATGTTGACAAAGTCGCGGACGAGCGCCCGCGCCTCGGGCATGTCGCGCGGGGGCAGCAGCGGAGTCGGCGCGGGGAAGCGCTCCTCCAGGTATTCAAGGATGGACACGGACTGCCGGATGATTGTCTTGGTGCCGTCCTGGCGGGTGACGACGAGGGTGGGCACGCTGCGGCTGGGGTTCAGCGTCTGCTGGTAGGCATGGTCGAGGTGCTGATCCGCGGCGAGGTCAATGAAGGAAAACGTGAGCGCGATGGACTTGAGATGCGCGGCGATGATGATGCGCTGGCAGCAGGAGGAAGGTGAAATGAATCGGCAACCTCCATTCCTTCGGCCATTTCTGGTCCGGTCAACGGGGGGACGTTTGGGGCGAAGGAAGAAGGAAGAACGAGGCCATTCTGGAAGCGTGGTCATCACGTGGTAGGTGCGCTTACTTCTTCTCACTTTTAGTAAGACGGTTGACAACGAATCTTTCTTCTACAATATCAAGCGAGCCCCTACTGGTATCGCTACCCACACGCTTTTTGCTCCATTCGAATCGGTACTCCGGATCGTCGCTGTCTTAGCACGGCTGGTGTGGCAATTTTGTGCGACAAGATACTTATGCATGTTCCAAACGCAGGACAACACCCCCAGAGGCGGCCCGAGACACGGCTAAGCACTCGAATTAGATTTTCGATAATAAATGTCTCCTTGTTTGAAAGCGGATACACAGTTTGCCACTCGCAGGCTTCTCACTAGTGGGCAGGTTGCGGGCTGTACTCGATGCCGGGCTCTAGACTCTGGGCCTTGGACTATTACTGGATTACTGGTGCTGTCAGTCAATCCCCATGTGATGTTGTCCTGTAAGTGTAGGAGGGAATATATACTTGAGTGTCTCACAAGCTGATACATACGACCATAGGCAGTAGAGAACACCGCGTCCCGTTTGCTCCGCTGAAGTTAAGCTATTGACCGGCAGATTAGTAGTTGGGTCGGTGACGACCAGCGAACACCGGCTGTTGTATGTTTACTTTTTGCCCTTTTTATCTTTTTTTTGTAGGGTTTTTGGGTTGGGATATTTGACGAGCTCAATCCGCTAATTGACGACCAAAACGCCAAAACGTGGCGCACGCACCTAAATTCAGAGTCAAGGCTGCACATAGTAGCCATACCCTGCTTAAATCTGTCTTTCTAGTTGTAGGTATTTCTTTTAAAGAAAGTAGCACTTATAAAGGTAGATAATATTTTAAGATAATATGGAGAAAAAAAGCCCTACCTCTATTCTATCTTAGGGTCTTCTTTTTAAGAGTATAATTTAAAACCATTACTTTTCGTGCTATAGATGTGTTATTTTTCGGCGCTATTAGGTGTGACATTTAGGTCGTCAAGTATCCCAATCCTTTTTGTATTGCTGCATCCCTGGGAGCGAGACATCAGAATGGCTGTATCCGCCCAACGTCGCACGCTGATGGAGTGTTATAAGCCGCACCTGCGGCCGCGACTTTCCTGCCTGCGAAAACTTCAACTGCTCCTTCCCCCTCACTACGCATTTTCGGTATTGACCCTACCATACTCCTACTATCAAGCCCACACTCGAGGTTTCGAACTTGTTCATTTCACATGGCGAGAGTGATAGACGGCTTGCCGGCCCCGACGCAGGTCCTCCCGCCCAAGATTATCGTTCTGAGTCGTAGCCGGTGAGTCTCTCAGGCATTCTGGCGTGTCATGCTCTTCTAACAGATCCCAAACAGCGTCGGTACCACATCACTGGCCACGGCTCTCGAAATCCTGGGCTACAGGACATTCCACTCGAAGCAAGTGTTTGCAACCGACAGCAACACGAATATGAAACTGTTCGAAGAAGCCCTGCGAATCAAGTATCTCGGAGGCTGTGGCAAGCGCTATGGAAAGGAAGAATTCGATAAATGGTTCGCTGGCTATGATGTATGAAGCGCATACTCCAAACATGTCCTGCACGCCCGCACACCAGATACTAACTAACCACCCGTTCCTCATCGCTTAGGCCATCATGACTGTACCGCAGTACTTTTTCGACGAGTTTCTGGAATGCTACCCGGACGCAAAGTTTATCATTACCGATCGTGATGCCGAGTCGTGGATTAAATCGGTGAAGAACACCATTTGTGAACTGATGAAGATGACAAGGTCATTTCCTCTGAGTCTTCTTGGCAGGACGGACGCATGGCTTGGCGCATTTTGCTCCCTGACTTGCACGTTGGAAAACGTCATCTTCTTCGGCAAAGGAAGCGTCGCCGGCATCGACGCTGCAAAGTCTGATTTCATTGTCAGGTAACTACATGATGCTCGAGGCTCTGCAACGCGCAGGTTGCTGACTGTTCACCCGTCCAGACAGAAACATATCCAGTCCCTGTCTGGCAAGCCTAACGTGGCTGTGTTCAGGCTCGAGGATGGATTCAGCTGGGAGAAGCTCTGTCCGTTCCTTGATCACGAGATACCCGACATTCCGTATCCAAACGCTTATAATCAGGACCACTTTCACACTCGCTGGGCCAACGTTTTGAGGCCGAAAATGTGGTATGCGACCGCCACACTTGTTGCAATCATCATCCCTCTTCTGAGCGTCTTTGCCATTTACTTTGCTTAAAAGGTCTGCGAAGTGTAGATTCGATAAATCATTATACTGCTCTTCAAAGAAACTCGACTTCAACGTGTCTTAGTCGCCGCCGTGTTGCTAACGAACTACGGACTGTCATCGGCGTCGGCTCCCTCTGATTTGTCCTGTTGACGGGGCAGCCAGTGAACTGATGCACGGAACACAATCGCCGATACAATCAGTACTACCCACACCAAGTATCCCATTAACAGGCTATTCTTGACTCCTGCTGCAAATACAGCACTCGCCGCCCCCGGCGTCACAGCACGCACAGCGCCATTTCCAACGAGCGCCAGAGCGTTGATGCCCGACAGTGCGGCGGCGTTTGGCGATGCATCATTGACAGCCAGCTGGACGCTGGTTTGTGCCATGATGACGGCGGAACCAAGCGAAACCATGGCGGGTGCCACGGCAAGCCAGAGCCATTCGCGCGTCACGCCGCCCCCCGACCGCAATAATGCATTCATGATAATGTACCCGGCAAAAACGGGCATGTAGAAGCTCGCGATGGCGCTGAGAAGCCCTTGCGTGCCCAGTCGCTTGTTCAGAAATGGAAATGCAACAAGAAGCCAAAATACCTGGCTAGCACCTTGCACAGTCATGTACATGGAAATCTCAGCAGGGGACAGCTGCATTCCGCCCAATCTGGCCGGCGTGTACAGGTATACCGGTAACACAGCAGACACGGCCACCGCCAGGACTTTGGATTGGGCATAGACAGCCAGAGTAATAGCAACTCCGGGTGCCTTGATCAGCTCCGACGGTGCCATCTGCGTGCCTTGTGCACCATCGGCTGCCTCCTGCGTCTCCTGAAGCCAAAGCAGCGATGCCAAGGCGGCAAAGGCGCTCACGACTCCCACAGCGATGCCGGCGAGAGCATATGGATTCTCCCGCAGCCACGTACTGCTGCCAAACAGATCCGGATACTGCTGCGCCGGATCCGTCAGCATCCCGCCAATCATGGGCCCGACGAAATTGCCCGCGTTGGCAGCAAAGACGAGCCACCCAAACGCCGTGGGCTGCGTATCGGCCGGGAACCCCTCGGAAATCATGGTGCGGGTGATGAGGTTCGAGGCCGCAAAGAGGCCGACGAGGCTGCGGAACAGGTACATTTGCCAGAGCGTGGTGGCCATGCCGAACAGCGACGAGCCGACTGCGGTCCCCGCCAGACTGCATACGAGCGCCGTCTTGCGGCCGAGCCTGTCGGCCAGACGGGCCCAGAGCACGAGCGCCAGAGTCTGCACAATGGCGAAGAGCGACTCGACAAGGCCGCTGTAGAAGCCGACGTCGGACACTGGCAGGCCCGTGTTGCGGTGCACCATGGCGGCAATGTACGGGAAGATGGAGCAGAAGACGACGGGGTCCATCATGCGAGAGAAGCAGAGCAAGATTAACTGAATCCGTGGCATCTGGCTGGAAGAGCTTGCTGCACAATTGTCTTGACGTGTTTCCGCGCCATTGTCCGACGTGGATGAGGATGCCAGCGGTGCTGCATAACATGACACAGCTGCGCTTCGAAGTAGAGGTCTTTGCTCATCTTTCATGTTTGCTGATAGATTGTTCCTCAAGCAATATTTTCCGAATGAAAAGAACGAGGCCAGACGAATATGTACTGTCCAAACGTGGGCTTCTCTTCTACGCAACCGAGACCCTTTAGCTCTTGTATTGACTAGAAGCAGGCCTGTTTTGGGGCGTTGCATAGGCAGAATTCGGAAGCAGGTTTCGGCTAATGCTGTGCTCCAGGGGATGTGTGAGACGGGTGTGCTTGTGGCTTGCTGAAAGCTAGAGCTTTGTGTGACTTGCACAAGATGCCGCTTGCCAGACATTGAGTCTGAGACTTGCGTATCGATCACGAGGGAAAGTAGTAGATTCAACATTCCGGGTACCTTTGATTAGCAGTTGATAACTAGGCAAATGACTCTTTTAGGAACCATGAGAAAATCGCATTCAAGGTTTCGGCAGCCAGCAAACATTACGCGGTTCCGACTAGCCACTCGTGGCGAGCTGCTGGCTGTCCGATACTCGCTCCTGGAAGCAGATGAAACATTGCACACATGCATACATACGTGTCACAGAACAAGTATTAGTTGATGAATCAGTCAAATGTTACTCCCTTAACAAAGCTCTGCGAAGAAACACCGCCTAGCGAGAGCCCGCGCCTTGGTAGAATACAAAACCCGTAGCACTGTAAATGCTATTGCAAGAAAAATCCCCAACTTTTCGCGGGCTGTTGGTTCATGTCCGAGAAACAGAATGAGCGAATATCAAAATCCAATTCCGCCGCGGCACACCAAAGAGATGAAGGCTTTGGTCTTGGGACTGCCCCGTACGGGCACGTCGTGTAAGTGACACTTGCCCGGGCTTGGTATGCTACCATGCTGACCTTGACTAGCTCTTTGCTCGGCGTTGACAATTTTGGGCCTCAAAACGTACAATTACTACGAGATTTTTCGAAATCAAGAACAGGGACATTTTCAGCAATGGTTGTCGGCCATTGACGCAAAATATCGCGGCGACGGAGCGCCTCCGACCAAGGAAGACTTTGACCGAATCGTGGGCGACTTTAACGTATGTGAATGGATTCCGGAGAGAAGTTGGAGTCTGAACTTTGAGTCCCCTTCTCCGGTGCTAATGTCGTCCCGCTTCAGGTCCTCGCAGGCAGTCCTTGCTGGATGTTTGTCGACGAGCTCCTCGCGGCGTATCCCGACGCCAAAGTCATTCTGTCGACGCGACCGCCCGAGGCGTGGCTGCAGTCGCTGCGGCAGACCGTGTTTGCGCTCCTCGGCAGCCGGACCTGGGGCGTCGCCTCGCTCGCGGACCGGTTCGCGGCGCTGCACTGGCGGCTCCTGCACCGCATCTACTTTACGCTGTCGCAGGGCGAGGAGCCGTGGCGTGCCTGCGCCGAGCGCCCGCTGCTCCAGTCGTACCACGCGCATAATGAGTATGTGCGCCGGAGGGTGCCCCGGAGCAGGCTGCTCGAGTACCGGCCTGGGGATGGCTGGGGGCCGCTCTGTGCATTTCTCGGCGTGGAGGTTCCGAAGAGGCCCTTTCCGCATACGAATGGCCGGACAAGCTTTGTGGAGACGGAGAGGGCGAGGTACTGGTCGCTCTGGAGGAAGATGGGGGTAGTGCTGGCCAAGGGGCTGCTTGTAGTAGGATTGGTAGTGGTTCTTGCGCGGATTGCATTCTCTCTTGTCTGATGGGTGGCAGCTGAGTCAACATGTAGCATGGGAGTAGCAACGACCGGGTCGATTACCCTTTATACCACATAGTCTGAGGTAACCAGATCTACGTCCGCCAATACTTTGTCTCATTTCTTCGGTGATAGGTCGGGCGTCGCCCTGTTGTACAGTGGCGCGATAGGGACGGGTCAAGACATTGTAAATGAACCTGTGATACAGACCAATGCGCTGATTCTCGCACATCTCACGCAGGTAATTAATTGCCCCTAAATAGCCGCAGCGAAATGGTTATACGGAAATATATTGCGATTTCTTTGTCTAATTTCGTCACTGTTATAACCCCGAGAAGCGGCGCCGTGATGCCATGTCCAACTCGCTTTAACAATGGCGTACCCGCCTACCCTGTAGTTGAAGAAATCAAAGGAACATGCCTTACTTCGTGACTGGAGGGAAATTCGAGTACGAACAAAATTTAAGTCAGACTTTTTAAAATTACCTTTAGATTTCAGGGTCGTTACAACTCTGCCGCAGCATCAGGCAGCGGCTTGTTGTACTGCGAGTGCTGGTATGGGTGGCAGGATAATGAAGACGCTATCTAGGCTCACCACCAAACACGCCATCGTGTAATAGGTAGATGTAGAAATCGCTTCGCATCCCACAGTGGTCGCACCCCACAGGCAACAACTTGAGTAATTCATCCATTCTAGACGAAACAAAGTACATTTCACCTTAGTTGCAGGGAAGCCAGTCCTTCTCATACCAGGCAGCAGCGCCAGTATCGGACAGGGCGTCGCGCGCGCATTCTCTGTCCCAGGATACAGGGTTGTCGCAACGTCACGTTCTCAAGAGCCGAAACGACAAGTACCGGCATATGCAGCTGACCTGCATATCCAAAGCGATCTTGCGGATGTCAGCTCCGTCCCGGCAGTCTTTGCGCAAGTCAACGAGAGGTTCTGGGGCAGGCGCCTAGTTCGTCGACAACGGCGAGTCTCTCCCGTCCAATCATCACCAACAAGGGGCCAAGGGTGACGGACAGAGACAAGACACTAACAAATGCACGACAGCGGCGGCACAGACTCTGACTCCACCCGACGACCCTTGGCATTAAATATCTGTTGAGCATCTCCATCGCAGCTTCGTACTGCCAGCGTCCTCGAGGCTGCCTGGCAGGCTGTCGCCGGCTTCAGAAGCCTGCCTAGCTGCACCGCCCACGCGTTCATCTAGTTACACGGGCAACAGGCTCACTGACGGGCTTCTTTTCACGGGTTTCGTCGACTTGGAGAATTGGCAAAAAAAAAAAACGGCGCCGCCCACTTGATCGCGGCCGCTAGCAAAGCCTACGCGCCCAGGGTATACCGGTACGTCACGGGTTGAATTTGTTGACCGGGGCTGGAAATGTTATCCGATGACGATACTATAGTTACTGACCCGCCCGCCTCCTCCAGATTTGATTTTGCTGCGTTGGACGGCGGCAAGCCAAACCTGGATGGGGGCGAGTTCTATACGGGGTACGGAACTGGGGTGCCTTGGCTGGCCAGGTTGTCAGGTTGTAGCCGGAGAAGGGTATAAGGATTTTCGCCGTTATTAGCTCGGGCGGTTCTGCGAAAAGACTCCGAGCTAATCACTTAAAGTCAAGTACGGAGGCTTCTGTGTCTGTTCGTTATCATCGCAGCCACGACGACAAGTCGCTCAATCCCATCGCGTGCAGTGGAGAGGCTCTCATTTGTAGTGAGGCAACTAGGCCATGCCAATAGGCCGCGCAGCAAGTCACACGCCCTCGTGAAACGTGTCGATGGCATCCCATAGGCAACTATAGAGATGCACATGTCTCGGCACCGCGACAGTAGTCGATTCCAGGGAGACGTGTCCTGGACCAATCAATCTTGTTTTGAGCCGGACTTGCTCACCAAATGGAACAAACTATACATTGCTATAACAAAATGTCGCGGGGACCTCTAAGCGCCGTCATGCAACATGTGTGGAGGGGGAGGGGGACCTGGGACGAATCAATGCCCTTGCCGCCCACCCAACCCCCGTTGTGGTTGTGGAATGTGTTCGCAGAGAGCGAATAGAATGTCGCAGCTTCAGTAGATTGATCCTTTACTGGGTTAGATCCACGACCCAATCAGCGGGGCTGACACTATTCTTAGGTCTAGCTTGACTATCCTAGGCGCTTCGATGCCTTGCATGGGGCGGGATCATGTCTTACCATTCGAGATGGCAACCTACATGGTTTGATGGGCGGTCGGTGGGTTGTTATGGAAGCCTAAATGCCCTGGCGGTTGCCTCTCACCGTCTTGTAATGGAGCATAGAGATCCAAGTATATAGATTGGGGGCTGGCCGGCATTCGTCGAGCCTTCTGTGTAATCACTTTTTTCCTTTTTCTTCTTCCTTTCCTCTTTCGTCACTGTTCATCCAGCTCCTCCACATCCATCTTGGTTCGTCTCACCAGTCACACAATCCTCCCCGTCCTCGACTACCAATGTCCCACCTCGCACCACGACCCCCGCAACGTCCGGCTCATCACCGCACCCGCAGCCATTCTCAACCCGTCGACAAGCGGGCTGAGCTGGTCGCCCAGCTGGAAGGCTGCATCGGCCAAGTCTTGGAAGCGACAAAGGCGTACAAGTCTCCCCAGCAGCAGACCGCCCATCAGAATGCCAACCAGATGTTCCAGCAGCGCGTCATGGCCTCGCAGGGACATGCGGGAAACATGTCGGAGCAGGACTGGTTCGGTACCATGATGCAGTGCCTGAACGAGAGCACGCGCACGCTGCAGAGCTCCTTTGTGCGCAACACGACGCTGGATGTCGCCCTCAAGGCTTTTGCTTCGGGTGTCTTTGATGCACTAGGACCGGGCTACTTTCAGGAGTCTATTGATAAGTTTCTGGCCTCGTCAAAAGCCAATGCCTCTAATCATACGACCATCCCTCATCACGCGGCTCCGGCGTCGGGTATTCTCTCCCCCCCGAGAGAGATTGGTCCGGGACAAAGTTTCTTGCAACACCCTCTACACAATCTACCCCCGTCGTCTCCTCACCCCTCATCGTTCCCTTCTGCACACCACCAACTTGTTCAGAGACCTGCAAACCACGTCGCATCTGGTCTTGTGGCTGGCCCATATCAGCAGATGCAAAACATCCCGACGGTCCGGCAACCTGTCCCCCCCGTGCGCGGGCGTGGCCGCCCAGTACGTTTCACCCCCCGGGATGCGATTCCTGTACATGTTGCTCACGCAAGTATCTAGCCCAAGCGTCCAGCCCAAAGCGAAGTCCCGAACCTGCCTGCACAAAAGAGAGCCTATGCCTCCGAGGCGCTGCGACAGGCCGCCGGGCCGATGAGACCGCCACCCACCCCTACCCATGCGCAACCGAGCCATGGCAACGCTCTGAAGCCTCGACTGTGTATCGACTTTTGGGACGTACAGCAAGAGAGGGATCCGCGAAGAAGACAGGCTATTCTTGGGTACGGGGGCAAGTGGTACGTCTTCCAGTGCCACCAGCACCATCAAGTTGTCTTTTTCCAGACGGCAGAGGGTGCGAGACACCACATGATGACTCGCCACGCCTTGCCGAGCCAACACATTGATTTCCTCGACATTGTTCGAGAACTCGGCGTCGAAGTCATGAACTGCGATGCTGCCCGTGCGGAGAAGAACAATTTGGACGCCGTCAACATATGGAATCGCTCCGATCCAACAACTGCGGGACACCAAGACACTAGTATCTCGCCTCACGGAATGCTCAATAACCAGACACCACTGCTGACAGCCATTTCTGCCACCCCAAACCCCGATTCGCAGTTCCCCATCTCTGTGCGCATCGAATATGGTTCACTACCACGGACTCAACTCATCTCCCCCAGCACAGTCTCTCTCTCCGATGATGAAGGAGAGAACATGGCTGTAAGCCGGGAATCTGTCGTGATAAAAAAGGAGCCGATCGAGAATGAGCTGGATCCATCGCCCGTTGCGACACACCGAGCACAGTCTACAGATGCTCCAAGCTGCTCCCCGCAGTCATCAGAGCCTGTTGGTGGAACCACTGAAGGCCTCGAGACAAGTCCAACAGCGTCGCTTCCAACACGGCCGAACAAGTGCGGACAGATCCCCGCCCAAGCCGCCCAAGAAGAGAGAACTGTCGAGCCCCCGGCAAAAGAGTCGACGGCCGGCGACGTTTCAAAAGTTGTCACCGAAAGACCAGCCGAGACGCGTGACATGCCAGAACAGACTCCAGATCTGACACCGGACTCGCCTAGCTCCTCTGAACTGAGCGAACCTCCCTCTCTAGAGGAGCTCGACTCGTTCGAGACGCGAGCTACCAAGGCAGACGCGCCCAAAGTGATTGACGCCGATCTGGAGGAAGGCGAAATCGACGAGTCCTGCATCCGCGTCGCACCATGCTCCCCCGTCACATTGAGCAAGACGATTGCCTCATCCACGCCGAAGAAGAAGAGGAGGATTACCGCTGCTGGCTCAGCGTCAGGATCACGAAGAACAAAGCTCCCGTCGACGCCAAAATCGGCGCAAAAGAAGAGGAGAGAGCGACAGTCGTTTTGGAGCCCGTCGCAGATGTCGGGCCCGAGCGCTCATGATCAGTTCAAGACCAAGCCGTGCAAGAAGTGCCCCGAGAGGTTCTACTTTCGAGCCCAGTTGGCGACGCACATGATGAGCGAGCACCCCGATGTAATAATAGTAGAGTAGCGGTTGGCCCCAGCAGTCCACGGCGATGATGGCATCCACGTCAGCGAGAGGTCCATGAAATATACATCTTTACATTTTCGAACTATCTTCTTCAACCTCCGTACTAGGTGACATGACTTTGTGAATGGCAATCATGTCGTCGCCACCAAAGCCACGGTCCACCGCTTCCCTATACAACGCATTACACACCGTCATCAGCGGCGTCTGCGCGCCCACCTCGACCGCCGCCTGCCGCACCAGCTCCGTGAGGTTATAGCAGTCCGCCACCGCCGCCTGCGGGGCCCAGTCCTCCGCGAGCATCTTGGCGACCTTTTGCCTCGAGTACGCCGACGCCATGGGCCCGGCGTCGAGGACCTGCGCGTACGCCGCGACGTCGAGGCCCATTGTGCGCGCGAGGTGCATCGACTCTGCGAGGCCGGCCGTCATGGTGATGAGGAAGAGGTTGGTGGCGAACTTTGTGCGCAGGCCGGCGCCAATGTCGTCGCCGCAGTACACGGCCGTCTTGGTGATGGCGCGCAGCAGCGGCGCCACGCGGCGCGCCGCGTCCGCGTCCCCGGCCAGCATGCCCACCAGCTGGCCCTGCTCGGCCGGCACGCGGCTGCCGCTGACGGGCATCTCGAGGAAGCGGCCGCCGGCGCGGCGCACCTGCGCGTCGAGCGCGCGGCTGCACCCCACGGACACGGAGCTCGTGTTGACGACGGTCGTGCCGCGCAGCGCCGAGGCAAAGGCGGGCGTGAACAGCGCCCGGTACGCGGCGTCGTCGAAGAGCATGGTGAAGACGACGTCGGACTGCTGCGCGACGGCGGTGGGTGAGTCGGCGATGCGGGCGCTGGTGCCGTGAAAGGGCGCGTACTTGGCCGCGCTGCGGTTCCAGACGGTGACGGGGAAGTGCTTGGCGAGGTTGAGCGCCATGGGCGTGCCCATGGAGCCGAGGCCGATGAAGCCGACGCGCATCTCGGGTTGGTTGGGTTCGGTTGTCATTGGTGTCGTGGCAGCGAGTGATAAAAGTTCGGGTGGCGGCATCTAGTTGGGGATGTGCCTGTATATATACAGCTACATTTAGTCTCAAAATCACTAGAGGGGACCAAGGGCGCGCCCTCTCGGCGATGGGTTGAAAGCTGGTTTCAACATGACGCTGATTTGGTGTCCCTCCGGAGTCGGCCCCGGGACCGATTTTAGAGTTCTCGGCTTAAGGAGGTTCCAGCTCATACTATGCCGCGTTTAACCACCAGGACAAACGACTAAAGTAGATGATAGTGATAAAACAAGAAGAGCATAAGATCTATATAAACAAAAAAATAAGAAGAGAACAGAACATAATGACAAATCGCTGTCTATTTTGCCTCCCTGGTGCATCCAATTCACTGAGTTGGACGCATCTTCAACCATTTCAGCGACCAACAAACACCACGCGTAGTAACCTGAAACTTTCAAAACGCAATGACACTAAACCTGCTGACGAATGCGCAATGAAGCTGCAGACGATAGTTCTTGGGTCTGGATGACTCGAGGCTGCAACTGCGTCAAGCGGGCGTGTTTCCATGACTGGACGCGGCATGTCATCCCCAAGACGGAGATCCCATGTAGCATGTAGATGAGGGTTCTGACGCGGATTTCTGGCCAATCCGTGTTCTAATGTCCGGCGGTGCCGCCTAGCGAAATGAGTTGATGCGCGACAACTGAGGCATTGCCATGTTTGATCCGAGCGAGAGCGGCACTGCACCGCGGTCGCAATGTGAGGGAATCTATTTCGACCTCATTCCGTGGTCGCCTTCATGTTCTGACTCAAGACACGCTCAATAACCGTACGCCAAGATTCCAAGTCTCTAACCTTAAGATCCTTCTCCTTGGCCGCATCATCCCATCTCCGCAACTGGCACATGTCCCGACACCACTCGCCGGACCCAAACTCGTCCTTTTCCGCGCCGCTCATCGGCCCGCCCTGGTACGCGAGGCTCCTCTTGCTCGCGTCCGACAGCCTTTCAGCATACGAGGCATCCACGGCGCAGAGATAGCGCTTCGCCGCCACATGCGACTCGACCAGGCGGGCGACCTTTTGCGGAAAGCCCAGCGCGCGGAGCATGGCGCCGCCGAGCGTCTCGTGGCCCGCGCGACCGACCGAGTGCGGCGCCGCTTGGCCTCCGAGGCGCCTGGCCTCGCCGCCGGTCAGGGCGCGCAGGTCGGCGGCCGGCGCGAACTGGCCAATGTCGTGGAGCAGCGCGGCGACGTGGGTGAGTTCGTCGACGGGCGGCGTCGCCGAGGCGGCTTGGGCGGCGGCCTGCAGAGAGTGCTGGAGCTGGGAAATGGCTTCGCCGAGATACGGCGTCTGCTCGGACGCGGCTAGGACGGAGAGGATGTAGTCCGCCACCGAGGCGGGGGTTTTGCGCTCAGGGATGCCCATGTTTGTAGTATTGAAAAAGAAGAGAAGAAGATGACCGAGAAGAAAAAAGATGTCCGTGATTCTTCAACAATGGCGGAAAACCGAGTCACTGCTGGCCTGGTTAGCAGCGGCCCAGTAGCTTCCACGTGCTTAATTGTCAGTCTTGCTTCAAACACCCATGCTTGAGCATGGGTTCAAAACCACCTCATTACATGGCCCATCAGAGCTTTTCAAATCCCAAACCTCATAAAACGGGATAGTTTTGCCGCCTCTCCGTCAATGTGGAGGGCTTCCCCAACTTCTGGGAATAAACGAAGCAACGAGGTCAATATACGACGCACGTGGGTCGCTTGACTGGCTACTTGTCAGCATGACCGAGAAATCGGGCCTGAAAGACGAGGTCGATTTCCAATATTCCCCCAAGGTGGCGTTGAAGGTGTGGATCGACGGATAGCGCAGCCGTGCCGGGGGCCTGCATCGAGGTCGAAATCTGGTCCCAAGGATCCGACGGGCATTTGTCGCATAATAACAACAAATGCGGCATTTCGGCTAAAGGGTCTTGCTACTCGAAAGAGGTAACTGACTTCCTGCTCGGGGTGTAAGGAATGGCTTCTTTCATCAAGTTTCGATAGGATCCAGAGATGGTTATTATCGTAGGGCATGAAATCGGAGCTTTCGGTGGCCTGGTAATCGTGGACCTCTTGCGCCCATGATTTCAGGTTGGTGATTTCCTCGGGACAAAGAAAATCGCGGACAATGAGGTAGCCATTGTCCTTGAAGCTGGCGACGTCGGATAAAGGAATCATGCTGTGATGACAATTTGTTTTCATGCCAGGGAGCCAGCCTTGGATTGTACACGTGCGGGATGAGCTTCGCCTTTATCGATTCCTCCTGCTCGGTGCCCTGTTCCATGCCGACTCCAGCCCTGCAGGTCCGCCTCGTCCAAATGCAACAAGAGGAACAAGCGACCTCGGTCTGCTAGACAAAATACTGCCGTCATCATTCACCCAAAGGGCCCGAAATCACACAGATACGGGACAAGCCGGCCCCTGCGATCTGCACCTACGCCAGCCGACGCCACAGCGGAAATACACTGCATTAGCGCAGGGCGCATTGCTGGGGGCTCATCGGTTTATCTCATGGAATCACAATCGTCGCTTCCGCCACGTGTTGTGGCAGCTTCGCTCCCGCAACGACAATTCCACTTACACGACCTGCAGTAGGAAGGGTTTGGCAAAGTGACGAACTACAGGCTTCTCAGATGCTCGCGTGCTTTCTGCAGCAAGGTGAATTTCCTTTCCCAGGATCGGCATCTCGGCACGAGAGTTGCCCTGTACATTTGTCAACTGCCTCCACGTGGGCGTGGCGAGCGCATGCGAAGCCGTGCAGTCGACTGTTTTGACCGTCGTTGAACGACACGGCATATCCTGGGCTCGGTGTCAATTCTGTGAAACTGTGCATGCGAGCTGTTGCCAACTTATCCAGATTCTTACTACATGAATAAAAAGGGCCCCTTTTCTGCCGTCAAGATAGACTCTAGCCTTGTCTGATACGCCAGTGAGCGAGAACCGCGGCAAATACAGTGGCCATGTCTGAACCAACCATTGCGCAGCCCGTCCACGACAGCGGCACATCGCAAGACAACGGCAAAGACGCTGCCATCGTCCACATCGCGTCCCAGAGCCCCCCCAAAGTCATCGGGCGCAGCAGCAAAATGTCGTCCATGGCCATGGTTCTCGTCGCCGGCGCGGCTCTCTTCTCCGACGGCTACAATGCGCAAGTCGTCGGCCAGATGAACCCCGTCTTGTCGGCGCTCTACCCGGCCGACTACACTAAGCGCGTCAAGACGGGCATGTCCAACGCCTTTCTCATCGGCGAGGTCTTTGGCATGCTCTTCTTTGGCTGGGCCATTGACAGGCTCGGCCGTCGCACAGGCATCTTCTGGGCCACCTTTTTTCTGGTCCTCGGCATCGTCCTGGCGACGGCCGCGCACGGCGCCACCCGCCAAGGCATGTTTTGGATGATGATCATTGGCCGTGGCGTTGCTGGATTTGGAGCTGGAGGTTTGTTTTCTGTGCACTGGCTGCTTCTTTGATCATGTATGACAGGCTCGATATCTGACGACGGTGAATAGGCGAATACCCGACATGCGCCACCAGCACTGCAGAGGCGGCAGACGAAAACGCCCAGGTGCGACGTCGCCGTGGCATGCTCTCCGCCGTTGCCACCGACTTCTCCATCGATCTCGGCTTTGTCTTTGCCGGCATCGTCGTCCTCATCGTCCTCGCTGCGTACAACTACAAGCCCGGCGACGGCCTCTGGCGTGTCTGCTTCGGTCTCGGCCTGGTGCTGCCCGTCGCCCTCCTCTTTGTGCGCCTGCGTCTGGTCAACTCGACCCAGTACCGAAAGCATGCCATGAAGAAGCAGATTCCGTACTGGCTGGTCATGAAGCGCTATTGGAAGCCTATGCTCGGCACCTCGATGGCTTGGTTTGTATATGACTTTGTGGTAAGGACGGATTCGTGAGGGCAACGCTCAAAAGAGTTTCGTTAACAGACGTCTGCAGACCTATCCATTCGGCCTGTTTGGCTCAACAATCTTGGCCACGCTGAACCCTAGCGACAGCCTTATGCAGACGGTCGGTTATGGCACTGTGCTCAATTGTTTCTACTTGCCCGGTTGTCTCCTCGGAGGCTATCTCATGGACAAAATTGGGCGCAAGCAGACCATGACTCTCGGTTTTGTTCTCTGGTCACTCATGGCATTCATCATCGGAGGCGCTCTGAACCCACTCAAGACTGTTTTTCCTCTTTTCGTCATCATGTACGGAATTTTCAACGCGGTGGCCGAGATGGGTCCAGGTGTATGTCCTTTTACTATCCGCTGAATTCTTGTTGGATGCTAACAACGTTCAGGTCGCGACCTTCCTTTGCGGTGCCGAATCTTTCCCTACCCCCGTCCGTGGCCACTTTCTTGGCTTCGCGGCCGCTGTGGGCAAGGCTGGCGCTGCCATCGGCACCCAAGTCTTTACGCCGATCCAAGATTCTTTCCAGGACGAGGACAAGGGCATACAGGGCGTATTCCTGATCGGCGCCGGCTTTGCCATGACCGGAGCCATCATTACCTGGTTCCTTGTGCCGGACATGGAGCGCGAGCTGGAGAGCGAGGATGTCAAATTTCGCCGTTATCTAGAGGAGAATGGATACCATGGTGTCTTTGGCGAAGACCAGAAAGACGAAGATGCATCGGTTTCCCACATTGGCACCAGCTAAAAACAGTTTTCTACTGTATCTTGTTGCTTTCGCCAAAATTCCTGTGTCTGGCCTTGTCAGCGAACCATATGGAGTTGCAGCTGGTAAATGTGCGCGTGTTTGATGACGTCGATATGTCGCTTAAATATGTCGACTTTCACGACGATTGTGACACAGAAGGGTATACACTGGATAATTGACCTCGGCATGTCCCTGCCTGTTATGCAAGGAGATTAGCTTTCTGTCAGCTGATACATTCGTATTTGGCTTTGTCGTTATTTCTGAACACCCAATCATCTCAATCATCTCCCATCTCCATATCCTCCTTATTGTCGTCCGAGAACTCAGCCTCACTCTCTGAGTAGTCATCCGCGAAATTCAAGCCCCTGATATCATGTATGCCCATTTTGCCATGTCGTTCCCTCGGAAGCCGCACATGATTATTCGCGCCAATCTTTCCCTTGCCCCGCTGCAGCGCGATGCGATCCAGGATATAGTTGCAGCAGCGCCAGATGCGCTCCCTGTTGCGTAGCCCGTGCGAGGTGTTGCTCATCGTCTGTAGCGCAAAGTACAGCTTCCGCCAGTCGGTGCCGTGGCGGGGGAGCAGCGTCACCGGCACCGGTTCCGGGATATAGGCGTTCTGTGCCTCGAGTTGCTTCATCTGGGCGCGCAGGTCCCGCAGCTGGGCACGCTTTTGCGCCGAGGACTCGCCGTCGTCCTCAATGGCCCGGATCCAATTGTTCAGATACTCGCGGTGGTGGCTGACGGCCAGCGCATCCGGGGCAATGTCCGACTGCGAGCGTGTCACCCAGCCCGCGTACGGGCGCGCGCACCATGCTTCCCAGATCCAGGGCATCTCGTGGCTGACGTGGCCAAAGTACAGGGACTGCGGGAGGTTGGTGGATGCCTGTGAGGAGAGGTTCATATGCGAGATGCCGTCGATATCTGCCTCGCCCGATGGAGGAACCGCAAAAGCCTCGTCCGTGGCCAGTTGTTGCATCTCCTCCCGCAGCGCCGGCACAAAACACGGGTTCGCGGCAATCCACTCATCGCCTGCTACATGGTCCCAGACCTGCTCACGTGTCGCGCGACGGACCGCGTCTTCGTGTGGAAAGATTTTATCCGTATAGTGGTACGTCGATTCCACGCGGTACCAGCCCACCAGGCCCTCGACGTCGACCGTATTGCACCGCTTGATCGAGGCGCGCTTGAAGACCTCGAAGCAGGCAGGGTGGAACGGCACGGCAGCGAGGCGGCGGTCGCTGGCCGAACTCACCCAGTTGTACACCTTGAATTGTTCCTGCGTGTGGCGCATCGGCGCAAAGATGGTGACGGCGTTGGTCGTGGTGTCGAGATGGTCGCGCAACCCGGACAGATAGCTGGAGCACTGGTCGTCTAGCTCAAACTCGTCATCTCCCTCTTCTGGCTGCCAGTCGCTGGGCTTGGGACACAGCAGTTGGAACGTGTTGCAGCCCCGGAGCTCTTCGGCGGTGATGTTTTGTCCAGAGTACGCATTTCGTAAGACACAGTTGGGGCCAGCGATGTGCTCGCGGCTGCACCATGTCGGGTCTCGTTCCTTGTACTCCTCAGTGAGAGGTACGATGCGATTTCCATTGTCTGCCTTGAATCCCTGAAGAAATTTCTTGTACGAGTGGTCACTTGCGCCGACTTCGGTTTCGCTATCATCGCCATCGTCGTCCTCGTTGTAATCATCGTCGTCTTCGGACATGTCCTCAAAGCAGTCATCGCTAGTCACACCAGAAGATGCCGGCGTGTATTCATACTTGTCGTCCTTGGCATCATCCTCCACTTTGACTGGGACAAATGACACGTCTGCGGCATCATCTTCATCCTCGGTACCATCGTCAGTCACCACAAAGCAACCAACACAGTCGGTATCGTTGCTGAGGGGGATGCCCTGGCGCATGCGTCGCGATGCTGCCTGTGGAGGCTCACTCGCCAGCCGCATGCGACCAACATTGCCGCTGACACCGCAGATCTGGCATCGGACGTCGGTGCGTTTGGAGGAGACCATGGTGAATTTTGCCGGAATGAACTTGATGATGGAATTGTACGCAATGGCGTGTTCGAGCCGGCCTTGATGATGGAGCTGAGGAGGAAAGCGACACCTGAGAGCCGGCCATGATGAAGCATTTTATATGAATTGCGTTGGATGCTCAATTGCCTTGTATCACGCAGGACAAATAGCGACAACTCTTTTCCTACCAATGATGCCTAAAGAGGCAATGGCCGAGCGCATCACGGCGCACGGGAAGATGCAGCCTCTCCGCACAGCCATATCTCACGATGCAACAAGCTCGGAAGATGCGAAAAGGGTGTCTGTTGGCATTGACCGACCTCAGTTCAGGGCTGTGGATGCTGGCCGGGTGCAAGCTCAGGCCTCTCTGCGATCCTGGCTCGTCAATTTGCGGAAGTGGCGGTTTTCACGCGACCGTGAATAATGAGGCGTAGCAGCCCGCAAATTTAGCACTGTGGCGTGAATCTCAGTGCTTTTAGCGGGTAGTGTCAGGCTTCAGCCACTACCACTGTCCTCACTAGTAATGGGCGGGCGCTTGCTCACACAGCTGTGAGTGGCATGCTGATGTTGGAACTTTTGTTCACGCTGGTACCTGAGATTTGGGATGATTTTTTTGAAGGAGAAATTTAGTTGCTGGAAGCTGTTACCCGATTCGTCGCGGATCTAATAGCTACTGGGTAGATCCGAGAGGATTCAGGCGGGCTTCTCACTGAGGACTAGCGACATCTCACTGAGGACCACTATCTCTCACTGAAGACCACTGCTTCTCACTGAGGACTAGTGACTTCTCACTGAAGACCACTGGCTCTCACTTATTTAAGGACCACCGCTTCTCACTGAGGACCAGTATAATCAGCGGCCATGTCACCAACATGCCCCAAGGATACATTCCATTTTGTTGGTCGTCCATGCATGACGCGATCCCATTGACGCGATGCCGCATGAATCCTCCCGTATTTTTGCAGGGCCTCTGGGATTAAATCATCCCGCTCGCAATCAAGCAGTCGCATGATGAACGGAACCAGGTGTCCGTCCAGCACGGTCGGGTTCTTCCCAAAAATCCATTCATCGCCCGGATTATAGACTGCCATGACGCCGCTGAACAGGTCTCGAGCCTGCCCTTCCGCTTCCTCTACTCTGGCATCCGTCAAAGCAGTTTCGAGTGTCTCTCGATGGCTAAATGGATGTTATTAGTGACATCAAAACGAATTTGAGACCGGACCAAGTCAAAGTTACTCTTACACTTTCTGCTTGTACTCTAAAGCTCGCCTATATTTTGGACTCAGGTCGTCTCTCCGCAACGGTTCGTCGGCATCGCACGGAAGCTTGTCCATGCGCTGCCCTTTCGCAATCGAGAGACACAACCCTTGGATCGTATGGATATCCTGCAATAGTTGTCGAATGACCGACTCGTTTGCCTTTGGGAGCGAGTGTGGGTAGTGGGAGCACAGCCAGTAAGAAATATCAAGACTCTCTGGCATCGGCTGCGACAATGTACCGCCACTCAATACAGGCACCTTTTCTGGTTTAGCTCGCGAACAAAGATGGGCAAAGGGGCGAATTACCAAGCCTTTAGGATTTACCCTACCGAGAAACTCTTGGTCAATGTTTTCATCTCGATGCAGATTTACCAGTTTGTTGGAGAGCGTTACTCCCCCATCGCCGGAACGTTGCTTTGCCAGAACATATGTATACATGACCATGATGGAATACAGCGAAAACGGAAACATGTAAAGTGTGTAACTGTTAGGATCCTCTTTCCTCTCTGTCATCGTGAATCTCGTATTGTGAAGCTGGGAAAGATGTGAAAGAAGTGAAGTCTTATGGAGGATTCATTTAATTAGTGCGCGGGGTAGCCATTATCAGGCTGGAGGCCAAAAGGCCACAGCGTGACTCATCTTCAACCGCAGTTGGCTGTGCACAAGGACGACTCTTCAATTCCAATCGATTTCGTCTTTTTGCCAATTTTCTGACCCGTGTCAAAACTTTGTGGCAACCCAAGTCATAGCCATCCATCCATGGCGTTCCAGCTCCAAATCCAGCTGCAGCCTGCCGAGCAGCTTCTCCGCGAGTTTTTACTAGAGGCCGCCCAGCATTTTCCGGGACTCGAGATTTGGATCACAGGAGGCTGGGTTCGGGATCGCCTATTAGGGATACCTTCCTCCGACCTTGACCTGGCGCTGAGTAATCTGACGGGCAAAGAATTCGGCACGTTTCTGCAGACCTTTTCCGCAACGCCAGAGATCGAAGCCAAATACACGCAAAAGGCAGCCAAGCTGGGCCTATCCCGACCCTGCTTCTCGCGGTTTCACATCACAAAGAAGAATGCCAAAACGTGCAAGAAGCTGGAGACGGCCGGAGGTGTCCTGTTTGGCCTCGACGTGGATCTGGTCAATCTGCGGAAGGAAGTGTATGACGGCCAGAGCCGGAATCCGGAAATGGAGTTTGGTACCGCTGCCGAGGATGCATCTCGCCGTGATGCGACGGCCAATGCGTTGTTCTTTCATCTGGAAAGGAAAGAGGTGGTCGACTTTACTGGCCGGGGCCTCCAGGATCTCCAGGCCAAGATCATGAGGACGCCTCTGGACCCCAAACAGACCTTGTTGGATGACCCTCTGAGAGTCCTCCGTCTGATTAGAGTGGCCGGCAAACTTGGATTTTCCGTCGCCCCGGAAACTGCCCTGTGTATGCAGGACCCGGAAGTGCATGGCGCCCTCGACGCAATGATTACTCGCGATAGAATCGGTGCCGAGCTTGTCAAGATGATGACGAATGAAAATTCAGAGGCTAGTCTCAAACTCCTATTTGAATGCCGCCTTTATTCACCCGTATTCGTTCGGTTGGACTCAGCGTTACTCCAGCTGCTAGCAGCGCAGTGTTCTTCGTGGGGAATTCGGTCTGCCTCTTCAGCGTGGCCAACACCCTTACCACGAGCATACCGAACTCTTGCCCGGCTCTTAGATGGCGGAGGCAGCTTATCTTCCTTGATTATTCCAGACGACAATAGACATCTTCTCTGGATATTAGCGGCCTACTCACCATTCGCCAGATTGCGCCACACTCTACGCCAAGAGATAGTACGAGAAGCAGCCAGTTCCATCAGGGCTCCCGCCAGGGCAGTGAAACTTCTTGACGAGTCGCTGCGGAATTTCGATTCCATTCGCAATACAGTCAATCGCTTACATCGCTCCCGAGGCGAATGTGGCATGGCCATCCGCTCTTGGGGGCCAGCATGGACCGCTCAGCTCGCATTCGTCATGTTGGCGGAAGCGCTCGACGAAGATGCAACAGACGACGATGCCGCACGAGGCTGTTCCGAGAATTTATGGGAGAAATTTTCGAGGTTCGCAGTATACATCTCTCAGGAGAAGCTGGAAAGGGCGTCGCTGGAGAGACCTCTTCTAAACGGCAGAGAAATACAAGAGCTGTTTGGGCTCGAAGAGGGTGGCAAATATTTAAAGGGCATATTAGATGAGTTGATTCAATGGCAATTCAATCATCCTTCAGCCGCCAAAGACGACTGTCAGAACTGGCTCAGTCAGAAGAAAGACGACCTCTTAACGCCGACAAGCCGTTAATCAATACACGTATATTCCCCTCGCCATTCAGTCTTTCTTGCCTAACCTTCACATGTGCGTGACCCGTTCTGAGCGTCATCAGCCCTGGTCGGCTCTTTCACACTACCCGGCGAACGTGGTCTTGTTGAGTTCGCGGCGCCGGGTGCCTGGTGCCTCACAAGCGAATACAAGGCAGGATTTTCGCACAGCATCCACAGCCACAGCCGACCGGCGAGTGATTACCAGTGTTTGGCATCTAAGTCCGGCGGAGGAGATGCCATGGTGGAGTTGCGGAGTTGCTTTTGGTTAAGATGCAAACAAGTCGCCAGAATTCTCTGCGCCGAAAGTTTAACCGTTAGCCGTGTAAGCTAGTGGACAGGCCGGTCCAAGTCTCCACCGAGATACCCCGGCTCCGCGTCTGGACCGTCCGGTCTCAAGCCGAGGCGCAGCGTGACATGCAACTCCGCTCCGCAGAATTAATTTCTCGACGGTCCAAGCTGTAGTTGCCTCGTCACCGCTCTCCCATAACTACACCGGCCCTCGACCACTTTCCCAACTGGCCAACTTGCCCATCTCCCACGCAACTCGCTTTCACAATGGCCAAGCAAAACCTCGAAATCTCCACCCCCCTGACCCTGCCCTGCGGCCTGACCCTGCCCAACCGGCTCGTCAAGGCGGCACTGGCCGAGGGCTGGGCGGGCCGCGACATGCTCCCGCACGCGGACCTCGTCGACACGTACCGGCTGTGGGCCGAGGGCGACTGGGGCCTGCTGCTGACGGGCAACGTGCAGGTGGACGCGGCGTACCAGGGCACGCGCGAGGACGTGACCATCAACGAGCGCCTCAGCCGGCGGCACCACGTCGAGGCCTGGGCGCGCTGGGCCGACGCCGCCCGCGAGCGCGGCACGCCCGCCCTCGTCCAGATCAACCACCCGGGCCGCCAGTCCACCATCGGCGCCGGCACCCGCGGCATCTGCGCCAAGTCCATCGCGCCCAGCGCCGTCGGCGTCAACCTCGGCCCCGGCCTCGTCGCCCAGGCCGCGAGCGCCCTCGTCTTCGGCACGCCCCGCGCCATGACCGACTTTGAGATTGACGACGTCGTGCGCCGCTTCGCCACCGCCGCTTCCGTCGCCGAGGACGCGGGCTTCGCCGGCGTCGAGATCCACGCCGCGCACGGCTACCTGCTGTCCCAGTTCCTGTCCGCCAGGAGCAACCAGCGGACGGACGAGTACGGCGGCACGCCGCAGAAGCGTGCACGCATCGTGGTCGAGGTGATTCGCGCGATTCGCGCTGCGGTCGCGCCCACGTTCTGTGTCGGCATCAAGATCAACTCGGTCGATCACCAGAGCGCCGGTGAATTGGCGGACTGCCTGGCGCAGCTGACGGAAATCACCAACGCGGGTATCGATTTTCTTGAAATTAGTGGCGGAACCTACGAAGATCCCAAGGTACGTATACCGAAAGCACACATCTCTTTATACGCCCGGCTTGGTTGCTCATGACTTGATAGATGATGGTCTCGGTCGCCCACGACACTACTATCAAGGTATCCGCCAGCACCGCGGCGCGCGAGGCCTTTTTCCTCGATTTTGCCTCTGCGATTCGCCAGACGTTTCCCAAGCTGTTCCTCATGGTCACCGGAGGCTTCCGTAGTCGACTCGGGTTGGAGCATGCCGTCAAGAGCGGTGCCTGTGACCTCGTGGGCATCGGGCGACCTTCGGTTGTTGAGCCGAGGCTGCCCAGAAGCATCGTCTTCAACGCGGAAATCAGCGATGAAGATGCAAAGCTGCCTACGAAACGCTTCGAGCAGGCCGCTCTCAGCCGATGGTTTGGAATGAAGGGCCTGGGAGGCGGCACTGAAACGGTACGTGACTTCTTCTCAGCAGAGTATTTGAGCAACGCTGACTTCTTTTTCTACGCAGCTTGGGTACGTAGGCGAGATTCATAGAATGCAAAAGAATGCTACTGCTTATGCGGTTTGACTAGCTAGGTTATAGAAAGTTTCCGCTGCGTTTCATAGATTGTACGATGCCTTTGTTTAGATCACCCACATAATAGAAGATTTATCCTGGGAATGCGCCTACGTCAATACATAGTGCACAATAAGATACCGCGGCAGTTCTTGTCAAGACTAGGTTACGCGGCGCCCAGGTACAAAGTTAGCGCAAAGTTAGCTTCTGGGGGCCGTTCGCCGGCCGCGACCCCTCGTTGTCTCAAGACATCCGAGGCAACTCACTAACTTTGCCGAATCAGCCCTGCCGATCCTTCCCCACCGGGCCGCCCAGCATGCGCCGTCGCCGCCGGGTTAGTTGCGCCGGTAGCTAATCCGGGTACTCTCATATAAGTCGGAACCCCAGCCAGCTACTCAACTTATGGCTTGGGTCATTTTCCTCTTTTCCCTATTTTAAGCTTGGAAAAAACACCATCCGCAAAAAATGCCTGCAGCAACAGAAAACCCCAGCGCAGGCGCCAGTCACACCGACTTTGACCTCATCATCGTGGGCGCAGGTATCGCCGGTATCAATGCTGCCTACCGCTTCCAAACCGGCACGCCCGCTGGCAGCTCGTACGCCATCTTTGAAGCGCGCGACGACCTCGGCGGTACCTGGGACCTCTTCCGCTACCCAGGCATCCGGTCCGACTCGGACATCTTCACCTTTGCCTTTCAGTGGAACACGTGGCCCAAGACGGGCACCATGGCCAGCGGGCAGGAGATTCGCACCTACATGAAGGAGTCGGCGCAGAAAACAGGCATCTACGACAATATCCGTTTCAGGCACAAGATCATCGCCGCCAACTGGGAGTCGGCGCATTCCCGCTGGGCGATTACGGCCTCGGCCCCAGGCACCAAGGACCCCAAGGTCTACTACAGCCAGTTCATGTATCTCGCGACCGGGTATTACGACTATGAGACACCGCTTCACACCATTATCCCTGGCATCGACAACTTTCAGGGCAAGGTGCTGCATCCGCAATTTTGGCCGGAAGATCTCGACTACAAGGGCAAGGAGGTCGTCATTATCGGCAGTGGCGCGACTGCGGTGACCATGGTGCCCTCAATGTCCGACAAGGCCAAGCATGTGACGATGCTTCAACGAAGCCCGACATACATATTCCCCTTGCCCCAGCACGGAACGATGGCGCGCATTGTGTTTCTCCTGTTTCCGCAGTCCATCTCCCACCTGCTTCTCCGAGCGGGCTGGGTCATCCAACTCGTACTGATGATTCAGTTTTGCAAATATTTTCCAGGCATCGTGCGACGCGTCATCAAGTACGAAAACGTGAAACGTCTGCCTGCTGAGGTTCCGTGGGACCCTCACTTCAACCCGCGCTATAATCCCTGGGAGCAGCGACTCTGCGCCTCGCAGGACGGCGACATCTTTGCCGCCCTGAGCACGGGCAAGGCGAGTGTCGTCACTGACACCATCAGCACCGTTACCAAGGATAGCATCAAGCTGAGCTCCGGCAGCGTCCTGCACCCGGACATCATCGTCACCGCCACCGGACTGCGGCTCAACTTTGCGGGCGGCATGGACCTCACCATCGACGGAAAGCACATGGACCAGTCGAGGCAGTTTTTGTGGAAGGGCACGATGCTACAAGATATACCGAACCTGTTCTTCACCATTGGCTTCGAGAATGCGTCGTGGACGCTGGGCTGCGACTGCGCGGCGTACCTCACCGTCCGTGTGATTGAGCAGCTGAGGAACAAGGGCCTCAAGGTGGCCGTGCCTCGCATGAGCGCTTCAGACCAAAAAACAATGGTTCCGAAGCCCTTGTTCAGTCTGAAAGCAACATACCTCGATAGTGTCAACGAGAAACTTCCCAAGGGCGGGAGCGGTGTTTGGGCGCCGAGAACCAACTACCCTGTAGACCTGTGGAAGTCGAGATATGGCGACATTGAAACTGGTCTTGTGATGAGTTAGGAAATCTACCTAAATATTAGTTAAGTAAATGACATAGTACTGTTATCACATCACATGTGCGGATACTGCCCTCGCTTCCGAGGTAAATAGAATCGGCTCCTCCGCGGGGCTTCCTGCATCCTGTGGCCTGCGATGGTTACACCTTGCAATAAAGAGGAGGTGCTATGGAACTAAATCTGATAGGGAGTGGGTGATACAATTGACAGCCGCTCAAAAGAAGGACTGCCTAGTAGGCAGCTAGATAAAGGAGCGGCTCACACTTGTTTCATGAGTAATTCACTCCTCACAAGCGCTTAAAACGGGACATTCGCTGGCAAACGGTAGTACAGAAAGTGCAAGAAAAATTTAAAACCCGAGTGCATCACGATAAAAAGAACGGTGATAAATAGCCAATGATCTGGAATCATGTTGATACCTGAGGAGGTGAAACCAACGCAACTTTCTTCTCTCACACCATTCGACCACACCCCAACACGAGGAACTGGGCCATGGTAAACTCGAGGCGGATTGTTCTCTTCAGAATGAGACCTTCTCAGAATACAAATGCTACTGCAAGATTGATGTTGGTGTACGTAGTGAGGTTGCCTAAAATACGACACTATCAACGCCTGGCAGGTTGCCACAAAAACCTAGGCCACGGCCTACCTAGGCGGAGACCTTGGAGGTAACGGTGCCTGATGTTGGGTTGCAACGGAAAATATAAACTTTCGGCGCAGAGAAGTCTGGCGACTTCCTTTCTACAGGCGACCTTGATCGGTCGCTGGTTTGAGGCAGCAATGGCTCTGCCGCATGTGATGAGCCGAGGAGAGCAAATACACAGGCCATCTTGCACAACAACGCCGACAACAGAAACTAATTCAATATCTTCCTGCCAAGCAGGAGTTAATGTGTGAGAGTGAGTCTTGTGACGATAAAACGAAGAGTGTCTGCCTTGATTCTAAGAGTGACCTTCAAACGTCTCTGTTCTGCGTCATGAACACTTCGCCACTAAGCCCTGGTGTAATGAAACTAAGCCCTGGTGTAATGAAACTAAGCCCTGGTGTAATGGACTTGAGTACAAATTACACTTGGTGTAATATGGCAGTTTTGTGGATCGTGGCATTTGAGAAAGGCAAGGCAGCTATCAACAAGACGACTTATTCGGAACGCTGAAACAACTTTGAAATATATATAAATAGGGAACAGCCCACGGCGTATATTAATGTCATCCAAAATAACACCCTTCCCCAGCATCCTTCACCTTATTCTTCCATCTCCTTCACCCTCCTTTGCCTTTTTCTCCCGCTCGTTTCACCGGCAGCTCAATATGTCGGATCTCTGGGACAAAGACACGAAATCGGTCTTGCGTGACATGATCATCTCATACTTGGACAGCAAGATCTCCCCGGAGAAAGATATGGGCACACTGAACAAGAAAGAGGGATGCATCTGGGCCAAAGATTTCTACTTGGTCGTCAAAGGTATCACTGGTATGATTTGGGACCATTATCTGCACCTATCCTGGATCGGAGACATATTACACTGGAATCCCATCACGAAGAAATGGGTCGAGGAACAGAGAACGACCGAGAAGATCCTTGAGCATGCTGCCGAGCGCAAAGCCAATTTGTTGATACAATTCGCGGCTCGCGACGCAATAATCTTTCTTCTCATGCCAGCTCCGAAAGACTTTGAACGGGCACAGGCCTGGTCCATCATAGGGTCGGCACTTTCAGACTATGCTGACAAGTGCGCACTCTACAGCGAGAGCGAGGCGGTCACCTATCGGAGGAGGGCTATCGCCGCCTTCGTCATGGCCTGGGGAGTCTCGGCGGATGGCGACGTTGCGGAAAACGCCCAAAAGGAGCTCCAAGACGCTGTTAAATCGTATTTGAGGGCAAAGAGAGGTCAGGGTCAGACGATAACTGAGAGCAAAAGCACATCCGAGAGCCAAAAGCGTTTGGGTTCACGCGATGGGTTGAGAGCCCGGCATCGCAAGAATCGGGTCACTAAGGGAGGGGGGGCGCGGCGATACAAGTCCGGTGTAGTGAAGCGATCGGTCAGACACTAGAGAAGAGAAAAAATTGAACATGTTCTTTACCCGAGAAAACTATTATATCTGAAAGTGTGCCCTAAAATGCGTCGGAAGTGGCATGACTGTTTGCTTCGCAGCAACCATACAGCAACTCGTCGAAGGCTTCACATAGTGGCGAGTCAGCCTTGTTTGCAGAGCTCACCCGGCTCAGGCTGTGAGACAGCTGCCATGAATGCGCAGACGGCCGACCTCTCAGGCATATATATTTATTCACAACAGGCATTTTAACCTTCACCCGCGCAATCGTGCGGCCTGCGACCGTCACGCCTCAGGAGCTTGTGTGAAATTGAATGGCATGAAAGAAGTGCATGATGGCAGAGATCGAAAGACAATTCCTGCCTATCAGGCAGAAATTGTCTGCCTACCAGGCAGCTGGATAAATGAGCGTCTCACAATCGTCTCAAAGGCTCAATTGAAGAAATGAGCGATTCGCCTATCACGAGCGCTTATAAAACGACATTCGCTGGCAAAAGTAATTCCGTGTGACAGTGAGTCTTGTGATGATCAAGTTTAGAGTGTCTGCCTGAATTCTCGGGGTAAATTCGAACGTCTTGTCTCTGTTCTGTGTTCTGTGTTCTGGGCGTTACGCCACCTAACCTTGGGTTGATGGACTTGAGTACACTGTAGTACTGGGGTTTCGAAAATAATACAATTTGGTGCTGCAAGTCAGTGATACACGCTGTTCTGTAAGGAAGTACGAGAGTGCTGATGATAGCACAAAGGAGTTTGACCAGCAAGGCAACTTTTCAAGGGGCATTTGCCCAGAGTGTTATGCCGACTCAGAAATATGTATAGATAGGGAACACCCCATGCCGTATAAAAATACTATAAGCATCCGATACACCATTCTTCTTTGGCCTCCTTCCCTTATTCTGCGTTCCCTTCCCCTTCTTCACTCGCCCCTTCACAACTTACTCTCGCCCCCTTTGCCTGCAGCTCAACATGTCGGATTCGTGGCCCGAAAACACAGCCTTTGTCTTACGAGACTGGCTCTTCCCATGGATGGACAGCTGGATTAAAACGAAGTGGAGCGAAGATACGAACATACTGGGCGAGAGACTGGGATTGATTTGGGGGGTCACAAACTTCTACGACTTCTACGCAACCTTTGAGCGTACCGAGGATGTGGTACTAAACAAGTATCTGGAACTGCTCTGCGAGAAGGAAATATCTGTCAGAACTACCTGGATGAAGAAAATTCGGTGGAAAATATACCCGGACATTGGACTCGCGACTCGCGAGGCACTAATCGCTGCTCTCAAGAGAAAATGGCAGCTTCCTGAGCAGGCACAGAGCTGGATATACATAGGAAGAGCGATTTCAGTTCTTGCTTATGAGTGCTCGGACCACAGCGAGGCCATCACCTGTTGGAAGAGGGCTATCGTCGCCCTCGCCATCGGCAAGGCCATGACCCGCTTTGAATCTCCTGAGATGAAGCGTGACGCTGAGAGGGCTCTCCAAAAGTGTCTTAAATCGTATTCGAGAAAGAATCAACCTATGAGTTAGACAATGACTTCGGAGCTTGGCATTAGTCCCGTCTCTGCTTTGGCACGGCAGCTGCTCAGGCAGCTGCTCAAGCGCGGTCCAGTTTACGGAAGGGATCAGTTAGACGCTGAAAAAAAGAGGAATATAAATGAAATTCGCCCGAAGCGCCTGAAATTATGCTCTGAAATGCCCAAAGTGACATTACTGTTTGAATCATAGCCACCATGCAGTAACTCGTGGAAGGCGCTCGGAGCGAGCCAGCCTTGTTTGCAGAGCTCACGGCTGTGAGACAGCTGCCATAAATGCGCAAACGGCTGACCTCTGCCGCATATATATTTATAACAGGCACATTCAGCCTTCACCTGCGCAGTAACACCTACTAACCTTCTACTGCAAGGCTTCGTCATGGCCGAGTCCGCGTACGTTGCCTGCGCCGAAAACATTTCGCTACTGCATTTACTGCATGAGATCCCCGAGCCACCATCCGTAAATACAGCGCCTGTGGCTTTTTCCGACGCCGCGAGCTATTCGCTGCCGTTTGCCACGGAGCGCTCTCTGGCAGGTGTCCTCGCGTTCCTGTCGAGCATCACGGACAACCCCAATTTCATCACTGCAGTGTGCGTCCAGGAGGGAAGAGAAGGGGCAGACTTGAAAGTACATGTCGCAATCAACAAGAAAAACGACAAAGATAACAACGCAACACTGGAAACGATATGCGATGGCTTCAACCGAATATTTCTGCGGCTGTCGAGCGCAATGCACGGTATGCGAGCCGGAGATGTTGTGATTCACTGGACTAAACAACCTGGAACAGCCAACTGCGAGAACGACATCCTTACCTGCATCGTTTCACTTTGCAAGCGTAGGATTTTGTGCCGACTCGGTTATGAGAATAAGACGAAACCCAACGGCAAATGCAGAAGCCCGCTCGACCTGGTCCTCGACCGCGCGAGACAGTCGCTGCTGCAGCTGCGCAAAGGAGTCAAAGTACCCAAAGTTGAAGCTCTATCGTGGAAAGGCTGGCCCCTTCAGCAAACAAATACTACAATTTATCGATTCGTCAGCCGAACTGCTCAAGGTCACTCGTAGCTGGAAGCTGCACCAAACAGACGGCGAGCTGTGTGCCGTCGTCGAGGGCCTCCGTGCCTTTGCCGCGATGGACGATTGGAGAACCGTCATCGACTTGATCCCGGACCAGCTGATGAATCCCAGTTCAAGAGACAGTCTGGTGAGCATGTTGCGAAAAGGTGCCCGGTATAGACACGCCGCGCGGATCCTGTATCGCACAGCCAAGAAGCATCCCGTCGCCCGACGGATGGAGGCCCTCGCCGTGCACCTGGATGCCTCCGCCTTCCATGTGCCGCTGCTCTCCTCGCCGCCCACGTCTCTCGACGCCACGCTCAGCAGGGTCCTTTCTGGCCAGAACCACAACATCGCTCCCTTGTGCCGCGCGCTCAAGACCACCGCCGCCCATGCCCGCACCACCTTTGACACCCAGACGCGCCAGACATTGACCGAGGGCAAGGTCCACGCCGAGGTCCAGCTCCTCTGCTACATTTTACAAAATCCCAGCCCCAGCCCCCCTCGCATTGTCTGTGCCAGTAAAGACGCCTGTTTTCTCTGCCACTGCCTGCTCCAGGCGCACGGAAAGCTGCTGTCGCCGCGCTGCCACGGCAGGCTCTATCCTGGATGGCGAATGCCGCCGACGCCCGCGTTGCGGCCGCTGCAGACGTCTCTCAATCACATGCTGGAGCAAAAGATACGAGACGGCGCTGCGGCGCTGTGGAAGCACAATGGAGCGCGACGGCGCGGCCTTCCGATGCCGTGCGAGAGTAGCTGCTCGACAGCGGTGCTCTCGACCACCACGGTGGTGGGCGATGAAGCACCGCCGTCGACACAAATTATAACGGCGACGGAGAAGACTCCGAGTGAGCCGGCTGTAGACGAGACTTTTGTTTCTTCCCACACACTTGTGTCGGCGAGCGACATGGTGCCGACGAGAGAAGTCGAGGTGCAGCCTGTGGAGAGTAGGGACACGCTGCCACAGAGAGAGGACTGGTCCGTTGGTGAAATATACGCGCTCGCCCAAGGAGAAGCGGTCACATCCAGCCTACCGACAGGAAGATTGTCCAGGATGTACACCGCGGAGCAGCTGCAGGTACAGCTAGAGTACACGACGGAGCAACAGGAGATGGGCGGGGAGACACCACACCTGGAGTACCAGATCCAGCAACTCACACCGTGCGAAGGCCGCGCGCTACGGGAGAGCAGCTACACTTCCATCATCGATGTGTCTTTGATGGCAGTGGACGAGCAGCGCAATTTTCAGCTTAATGAGCTGGCAGAGTTATATCTCAGCGCCGGCGACTGTATTTTCAGACTAACGCTGCAGCCCGCGCAGCCATCTTGACACTGAATTCCATCTTTATGTCAGAATTCTCTATCGTGTGCGTCATTTCTATCTCCCATCAACCGCTTTCGTCTGGCTTCTCGCCACGAACATCTAGTACGTATTACCCTCCGTCACGGCAGGATGCCCCCAATCATATTCAAAACGGCCCCAGCCGCCACCCTCCATCTCATGCGCCATCCACAGCGCAAACACGACCAAGTCATACGCCCCATCGCGCGGCGTCTTGCCCTTGCACACATCGCCGCCCATGGCGACATTCAGCAGCACCGTCATGTCCCGCAGCGGCCGCGTGCCCTCGGGCACCGTCGCCTTCATCACCGGCCGTCCGTCAATGTACCACAGCAGGCGTCCCTGCCCCGCCTTGCCCCCGGGCTGGTCCCACGCCAGGTCGTACCGGACGGGCCGGTTGCGCATGTCCGGGATGCGCGTGCCGCGCACGCGGTGCCGGTCCGGCTGGTCGTGCTGGCCCCAGTGCAGGCAGCTGTGGTTCTCGCCGTCGCCGTTCCACGTCTCGGCAATGTCGATCTCGCCGTCGGTCGGCCAGCGAAAGGGCTCCTGCGGGAGCAGCCAGAACGCCGGCCAGATGCCCTCGGCGCACGGCGAGAGGAGCACCGCCGACAGCACCCCGCGGTCGTGCGTCAGCTTCTGCTTGCTGACGAGGCGCGCCGAGGTGTACTGCTGGTCGTCGCCGGCGCCGCTGTTGGCGATGGCGCGTAGGACCAGTTTGCCGTCTTGCGTGCTGTTGAATCGCTGTGTGTCAGATGGTGTGCCCTTTTTTCTTTTTTTCGTTACATGATTGCGGGAAAGAGGAGAGCTTACTGGAATGCATTCTGCGGCTGGTCAGTGTAGTTTTGCAGCTCATGGTTGCCCCAACCATCCGTAGCATGGCCCGTCTTGGCATCCCACTCGTGCGAAATCGGAACGTGCGGGAGGAACTGCGGCTGCCAGAACACGGGCGAGTTCTGCGGCGGGTGCTGCGGAACCGCCGGTGGCGGACCGGTACTGTCCGGATGGGGAGGCACGGGGGGCGGCGCTCCGCTGTGTTGCTGAGAATTGTTTCCGGGGTAATTCCCCGGCGGAGGCGGCGGAGGCGGATACTGCTGCTGCTGGAGGTACTGCTGGGGCGGCGGCTGTTGCTGTTGGCTACCGCCACCGATCATTCCGTTGAATTCATTCTTGATTTGGTTGAAGCGGTCTTTCCACGGCATCCTGGCAAGTTGTCTGCTCGGCGGGTGAGCCTAGTCTTGTGAATTGGGAGAGTGTTTATGGATTGAGCGAGATGAGCGAGAATCGGTGTAGCTGCGGCGTAGTCCTGAACAGAGCTTCGATATGTCACAACAGTGCTGACTCGTGTTGTTTGAAGTCTATTCGGACAGGTTCGGGATATATACCGCAACGAAAATTCTTGTTGTAAAGGAGAGGGGTGAGGGAATAGGTTCGGCGGTGATGATGATGTTGGGCGGACGCGGACCCACTGACCAATGCTGGGCAGTGGCAGTGTATGCCGGCAGTGTACGGAGTAAATGCACGGAGTAAGAAATGTCTTGTTCAAATAACTAGATGAGCCGAGCGCATTATATCCAATCGAGTGAGCGTTTATAAACTATAATTACAACCCGTCGTTTCTTTTCCCATTACTGTAGTCCCCAAAACGCCTGGTGAAATGACGCCGTAAAAGAAGTCTACCTGCTCCCCAACGCTCTAGTTTTTTTTCTGTGTTTTCTGTTGGACCTCTCTACAATGCGAATCGAGTCCCTTTTATCCTCGCAGATTATACATGAATATTGTTACAGCCGGCCTTGGTTGTTGGCCGCGCGGTCGCAAGCCTTAGGCCGGGGTGTTGCAGAGGCGGAGTATACCCTCATACATGGCAAACATGATGGCGGCGCTGGGCACCGTACGGAGGAGATGCGGCGTCAGGCCACCGTACAGCCCCATGAGGCCCTCCTCTTTCCAGACGAGCCGGAAGCACTGAATAAGCCCCGTGTACTTGAGGCGGCCGTCGGCCACGGGCGCCTGCCGCAGGCGAGTGCGCGCCACCTCGTGCGGGTAGGCCAGCACAGCAGCGACAAACTTGGCGACGCCCGCGGCGCCAAAGTTGCCCGTCCACGCAACGGCGCGGTCCCATCCCGTCCGCTCGCGGCCGCTTCTCTCCAGATGCAGCTCGCGACGCGCCAGGTACGCCTTGAACTGCTCGTACAGCACCCACTGCAGCGTCGACTCGGCCACGCCCAGGTAGCTCGCGCTCATGCCCTTGTACAGGCCGCGGACGCCCTCTTCGCGCACAATCTGCCGCACGCAGTCGTAGCTATTGCGGTACCGCCGGTGCACCTCGGCGCCCGTACCCGCCCGCTGGGACACGTTCTTGTCGAGTTGCATTCGCGTCTTGATCATCCAGATGGGGTTGGTCGCCGTCGACGTCGCGATGCCCGCCGCGCCCGCCGCCAGCATGTGCACCCACGGCGCCTCCTTGCCGTCGTTCCAACGCTCCGCCAGGATGCGCTTGCCGTTGCCGTAGACGTAAAAGTTGATGGCGCGCGCCGGCACCACGCCCACCAGGTTCGGACCCAGACCCTTGAACAGCGCCTTTGTGCCCTCGGTCCGCTGCACCGTGCGCAGGATCTGCAACGTGTCGCCGAGGTGGTAAAAGGCGGCCGAGAGCGGGTTGCGCGCCGTCTGCGCCTGCATGGCCTGCGCCGCGCGCAGCTGGGCTTGGTAAATGTCGGATTGGAGTCGGGTTTTCAAGACATCGAGCGGAGCGGTGAGTGTCGCGGCCGTTATACCGCCGATACTGCAGGAAAGTTAGCAATGCCAAGTACGCAGATATGGGTTCGAAAGCGCACCCTCCGGCCATGAAATGCACCCAGGACTTGGCAAACGGCAGCGCCTTGACTTGGCCCCTGGGCGCCACAAGGGTGTCGTCTGGAATGACGTCGCCCGTCTCCCGGGACTGAATCAGCGCGGCATGCTCCGCCGTTGCGTGTGTGTGTTGAAAGGGCCGGCGGTCGTCGCGCCCAGGGGCAAAGACCGGCTGCGGATGCGCCATGATGTCTGGTTTTTGTTCGGTCAAGGGTGTTTCCTGCGCTGCGTCGCGGTGGAGAGGATGATTCGATCGGGGGAGGACACCCAATCACAACGTGTAGTCGTTACAAACGGAAATTGTTGTCGGTGGCAGAGATGTCCATCGGAAAAACGCAGGCAAGGTGTTGGCTTTGCAAGGACGGAGAAGACAGTTGGAGAAGGCGAAAGGGATATGATTTTCGTATAGCCGCCCCGATTTTTTTAAGGCGCGTTGTAAAAGCCGGCGGGCTGGCTGCCAAGTGTCATAGGCCTTTAGAGATCGCGCTAAGAATTCGTGAAGAATAATAAACACAAAAGAACAGATGTTCAACGACTTTGTAATTTATTGGGCAAGAAAGAACGGACTCTTACGAAAAAGCTGCTGTGGCAAGTTCTAATGGTTCTTATACCCAGTAAGCTCAAGTAGTACAGTACCCGATCACAGATGCAACACTGACAACCAATATTGGCCGTGTATGATTGTACTGCCAAAAATAATTAGACTGCGGTCAGTCTATCGTTTATTGTAATACTTCAAAAAAAAAAAACTTTCGCCTCTTTCTTTTGAGTTCCTATAATACACCTGTTCGCCGACCTCTTACTAATGCCCAATGACTAACATGGCTGGTTACATACAGCGCATTTTCAAGGAAGCAAATGCAGCCGCGGAAAATCATTTCGCTTAACTGAGTCCAGAAAGCAGGGTCACAAAGAAGCCAATACTGGTCACGAGGGGGCGTGTTACTATGCCCCTAAAAACCGGACAAATGTTCACAGACGCGAACAAGTTGAAAATGAAGTTGCGAAAACGGACACGATATTTAATCCATGCAAGTAAATGAAAATTGCTAGCTGCAAAATAAGGAAATCTAAGCAAACAATAGATGCATTGTCATGATCGTCTTCATCATTTAGACATAAGCCTCGCGAGAAGCGTATACTATACATTGTTTTCACTCGACATTGTTTCAACCACTGGTATCAGTTTTCAATACACATTATATACATGAAATTCGGGTTTTGGCTGTCCATCAGCCTGCAGCATCGCTCAATGAGGTGGCGGTGGAGGCTGCAATGGGGATTGTTGTGCGGAAGGGTATGGTGGAGGGTGATAGGTGTGGTACGGCGGTCGCATGTAGTTTGAATCCGTTAGGATCGACGCCATTTGATTTAGTCGCGACGGATCACGACCTCGCGGTATAGAGGGCGGCCCAGACAAGCCAGAAAGCACGGGCGGCAAGCTCATCCTGCCAGGTTCGGCGCTGAGATCAGAGCGTGCGCTGGAGAGTGGACCGGGACTGTAGGCTGTCGACGGTACAGAGGTGCTGAATTCGGTCTCTGCACGGCTGCTTGGTCGCATTGTCACACCCTCCACAGTGAACGGCGCGGGGAGCTCATCGGGTGGCGAGACGCCCTCCGAGGCAACCCGCGCATCGCGCTCCACGCGAATGCCCATCTCACGTTTAAGCAACTCTGCTTCCTCGTCCGTAGTGGTCCGCCAGGTGCATTTTGCATGCTTCTTCGTACACCCCTGGCAAGCCGTCAGGTGCTTTACGCAGTGTAACCGCAGGCGGCGACAACGATCGCAGGCCGGGCTAATGACATCGCCGCGCTTCAGCTTCTCGGCTTTTTGCGTAACGAGCGAGCGCATGAATTCTGCGCGGTGGTCCATTTCTGTCATGGCAGAGCTCTCGGTCGGGTGGCTGCTGCTGCCAGAACGCCCCGAAGTCACGGACAGTCGATGCTGGTTGGGGTGTGGTGATGCCACGGATGGAGAAATGGGTAGTATCCCCATTGGTGATAAGGCGGTAACGGACTGTGAACGGGACGGCGGGGCTGTGCTTTGTGCTGACGCTGCGAGAAACTGCTGCAGTAGGTCGGCATGGAGATCATGCGGCGCGCCGGTTGCCGACAGTCGCGAAGGCGGAATGCCACCAGTAGATGGATATCGTTGTCCATTTTCGGCATTGCGCCTCCTGGAGAGCTCGTGCTTCCGTTGTCCTAAGCGGTGATGTAGTATGCGGGCCCTAGCTGCGACTTCATCGGCCCTCTTGTACAGAACAGAGGCTCTGGATTCGAGGATATCCAGGGTGGCTAATTCCGCCGTCTCGTCTTCCTCAAATGGATGTTCGAGTGGGAAGCGATCGAGCGCGCCAGATGATATTAATCGCCAATCATCCTCGGTAATTTCGCACTGCAGACCTTTGTAGTGAAATTGGCAACATCGAGTGCCATTAGGGAGGGTGGCAAAGACAAACTCGTTGGGATGTGCCTTGGCATGTAAAACAACATCTATCCAGCCGATTTGGTTTGCAAAAGGCTGGGTTGCGTTTGTTTTTATTGGGCCGTCAAAGAAGCGCTCAATGCCTTTGAGGATCCGGGGCCCTGTAAGTTTTGCGCCAAGATTGGCGGCCAAACTTTCCTGTCGGTCAAGCGCGCCTTGGTTGTGTAAGCGAGAAAAGCGTTGGCAGGTTTAGGAAAATGCATACCCTCGTAACCCGCAAGAGAATGTAGAATATCGGCAAAAGTATCCGCGTCAGCCTGGATGAGAGCTAGACGCTCAGCATTAGGCCTAGGTAGAAAGTTGATGTAGCCGCCGTGACCTGTGCGAGTTAGCACGATGGGCTCCGGTATCGCGGGAAATCTATCAAGACAAGATTATGCAGAAGATTCGTTTTCCTTCCGTCCCTGTAACAACCTGCTGTGATCATCTTGGCTGCAGATGCCAGAGTCGTACTCGCAGCATGTCGAGTGGAGGGGCCGCTAGTGACACTTGTGGTACGGCGAGGAAGCGGAGCCGCATGAATCGTGCCTTTTTCGGATGGAGACTGGAAGCTGAAGTTTCGGATCTTTGCGCCACCGAAATGCCGGGAGTAAAGGGGAAGGACGACGAAAAAGACGGAAGAATTGCGACAAGGATGGCAGAAAGAATTACTGAAAGGGATAACTCACTCTGCTGAAGGGGATTCTGTTGCGGTGAGGGGTAGCTGTGCTGGCCGCCGGCGTCCAGGACAGAACGCTTCCTTTTGTGCTCGAGGTCGGGGGTCTGCGACATGGTCGTGTGGAGCAGGGAAAAGGAACGAGGGCGCGAGAATGCGTTCTTTTGGGCCGTCTTGGCAAGATTTTTATAGCAAGAAATAAGGCTATAACTATCGTGTTGCGGATCTTGGAGTAGTTATGCAAGCGACGTAACGAGGGACAGAGTCTGCGTTCGAGGAGTCGGCTTCGAGCATATGTGGTGGTTTGGAGAGGCGAGGCGAGCGGGAATTTACACGCGACAGACGAGATGTGAGGTGTGTGACGAGGGGTAATAATAGGCGATATGAGGACCAACAAGGGTTTGGCAAAGTGAGGAGAAAGGAGAGGAGAAAGAGAGGATCAATTGAGGGTCGACAATATACCCAAAGTAAAGACTGCGTGTTGCGGTTGCGTTGGAAATTATATCGGCGCGAGATGCGAGTATGTCGCGGCTCCCCTGTTATATGCAGAGGATGATTCTGCAGCCCACTGTTTCCAACGGCGACAACTAAATGTCTGGGAAAAGGTAGACGGGGAAAGCTTCCCGTCAAGCCTTCTGTGACCCGATGCTGTCTTCCGTTGAAGTGGATGCGCGCACGAGGTGATAGTTACGAAGTATGATGGTGGTGGCCGGGCAGGGGAGCTGCCAGTTGGTGGGTCAAGACGTACATTTGGGGGAGGTGCGAGGTGGTGATCAGAGTGGACAAATAACCCTGGCTCCGTTTATCAAAAAGGTAGGGCCGCTTCGGATTCGGAAGGGGTTGTCAATCAGACGAAAAGAGAAGCGGGTTGGCCGGCGTCGGGGGGAGAGAAGAGGAGACCGGGGGTGCCGCCGAGGCGTAAGTGGTGGTGCGCGGGTGATGGTGGTGGTGGTGGTGGTGGTGGTTGAGGCCAGTTGACGATCATGGGCGTGTGTGCGAGAGAGAGTAACTCTGTGTGGTGATTTTCAATGGCGTTTCGGGCCAACTGGGAATAAAAAGGCCCGAAGGTTTCGCGAGGTGGGGGTGGAAGATGGCTAGAGATTTTTTCTTTGCGAGAATTGTAGATGGATTAGCAAAGAAGAGGCGGTCGAGGCGAGTTTGAGATGTGTAGACGGGCACTTGGAAACGGCCATCGGTTGGCCACGCGTTGGGCGACTGCAGATCCTTTTCTTTTTGTTGCTTGTCGAGAGGAGGGGAGGGTCTTTGACAGAACTAGTTGGTCTACTAGCCAGGGAGCTGAATGGGTATCATGTTTCGGGGTTTTGGAGAGGGGGTGATCAGCAAGTGATGATGGTAGGGAGGGGAGAATTGGACTGACGGACTGGGAGACGAGATGCGGCGTTTGCTGTGAAGTGGGAGGCTTTCCAGGCGCGCCCAGCACCGTCACCAACAGCGACGTGCAACATATCTGCTCTCCAAAAGACGGGACGAACGAGCAAGAACCCGTTGTTGGCAAGCCACGTACAGGAATAAAGAATAGTTAATAAAAAAGACACAGCCGCGCGCCGCAGGTCCAAGCAAGCCACCACGCATGCATCATCTCACCACCCAAGGACGTCCCGGTATCCCCCAAAGAGAGCCCTGATGCAACATCCACAGCGGGGTACCAATACAACAACGACCGCGTTTCCAGCTCGCCAACACGGCAATGATGTGCAAGGCGAAAATCCGCAAAGATGCGGCGGCCAGGGGACGCCCAATCCATATTTTCCCACCGACCGGACTGATCTAGCCCGCCAACCCACCCGCCGTGACGAGACCATCCATCATTCAATGGAGAATGCCCGCCGCACATCACTTGCCCTATTCGCCCCGGACATGGACATGGGGAGGGCACTTGGCTGTTCGTGCTAACTATTGTGTCGGGACCTTTTTTGTCGGTGATTTTCAGCTAGGGAGCCACGCTTCCCCGGCGGAAACACGGCTCGGCAAAGGGCAAAAGCCTCTTTTCTTTCTATTCGAAACCGGCGGGGAGGATCATCTACACACATCTTTCCGGATTCCACATGTTCATTGGTAGTTTTACGCAGCTGCTGGCGTAAAGTGGCTGAGGCTGTAAGTCTGTGGCTGTGGCTGTGGCGGTAGCTACCTACCTAACTACTAATTCCTCGCTCAGCCCAACAATAAACACTGTCAGTGGCCAACTTTTCAACTTCTTTCTTGATTCCGCCTTTTTCACACAGGTAGATGCACAGATCTCTCTCTCCTCTCTCTCTCGGATTTTATGATTTACCGATACATGCCGACAACCAAAGATATCCCGCCTCTCTTTTATTTTTAGCCCAAACCCTCCTGCTTACACCCCCCATGTCCGCACATCAACCATCCACTCTATCCCCGTCTCCATGTGCGCCTTCAAGAACTGAGCTTCTCAACCTTGTCTCCCGCCACATGCGCCGGCGCATCTTTCCCCGTGTCAGCTAGCTCAACATTATCCTCTTCGCTCGTCTCATGTCCCGTTCGCCATGCAATCGCATGCACACCGAGTCATGCCATGGCGCCTCGCCACTGCCCCCTGACAGTTGCTGCATGCGTTCATTTATCCGTGCCAATTTAAAAAACCACGCTCCCTCAATTTCCGCCAGCGCGGGATATGCGCCACCTCGTCTTGTCGCAAAGCATCCCTAAACCCAATCGCGCATCACGAACCACACGGCATTGTGATACACGATACACCCTGCAACCTTGTTCGACATATGCTTTCTAATAGCAATCAGATAATCGCAGACAAATAATCCCCCATTCTCTGACAAACCCTGGCCTAGCGTCTCCTTTTTACTGCCCTGATCAGGAAGGCAGAATCACACAATGCAACGGTGCAAAACATGGCTGACCCCGTCCACTCTAGTTGGTTACCCAGAAACCGCTTGGGAGCAAAAGCAAGTGGGTGGCACGATGCACACGACGGATTGGGAACAGCTTTGATAGTTACTTTGTGAAATACAAATTAGTCGTGCTCCAACTTCCGCCGAGAAACGCTTCGGTCCCCCCCCCCTGGCCCTTTCCGATCCACGGATCAGCCTGATGATCTGCCTGGGCTTGCTGGGGCTACAAAACTCGAACGCTTCTGCCGTTTGCCGCCCGCCTCTCGCCGTCGGCATTTGATCAGGTCGCGGCGGCCATTGGACTGACCACCACCACCCCCGGCCTCGCCGCGGGAATTTAATGTATCCAAAGCATGATGAAATTCGAGAGCAGTCTCGCCTCAGCTTGCAATTATCACTTGTAGTATTGCGGCGTTCTGGTTCGACTGCCACCACATAGTTAACATGATGGCGCCTCTAGAAACTCGCTGGAAGCCGCGCCGGCTAAGCCTAAAGCAGTCGTAGCCCTGTTTTCTCACTGACCAACCAGAAGCAAGAAAAAGACGACAAAATCTCCACTTTTGAACGTCGAGCTTGTCGATGGTTGCACGTCCAAGGCTTTCTGAAGGCAATAACTCGCCCAGCCAGACACCTCGGCACACCAAGAGCTGGCCACGAACGATTATCAGCCCCAGTCGCATCAACCAAAAACATTGCCTCGACCCTACCAGCATACCCCCACCAACTACCGTTTCTTTTTCTTTTCCGCTCCGTCTCTCGCCGCATCCCGACCCCCGCACGCGTGACGTTTTTTCTCTTGCGCCACTGGTCATATCTCTGCCATCATCAACCCAACCCACCACACACACACACCATGTCGGAGAGACCTACTTACCGGGGCGGTCGCGGCGGTCGCGGCGGTCGCGGCGACGGAGGCGGCCATCACCGCGGTGGCG